CAGCCAAGGAAAAAAACACAAACATTTGCTTTAATACAGAACAGTTTTATTGCATTTGATATTTCAGTGGAACTGAATTGAAACTGGGTGAACAAATAAGGGGTTCCAACTCTTTAATAGAAATAATTTTCCAGGACTTTTCCGGAACGTTTTCATGCTATTAGTTTCTAACATTGTGGCATGAACATTGTCTGTTAGCTATCTTTTTGGTCTGGCTTTTATGGAGTGTCTCACTATAAAAAAAATATGGTTTATATTAGGTTTTAATCTTTATATACTCTACTTTTCTACAAACAGATATTGCTGCCGAAATTTTATTTTGCCAGCTTTATAATTCTATGTATATATGTATAAATATATATATATATGTATGTATGTATGTATGTGTGTGTGTGTGTGTGTGTGTGTGTGTAGTGTGTGTGTAACACTTTCTATATTTGTATGTAGGGCAGTCACTGAGGCACATATTCACTATTCATGATTTTTCATTCATACACCTTTTTAAAGCTACAGCTCTGTAACACTTTCTATATTGATATGTAGGGCAGTCACTGAAGCACACCACTGGATGGTGCTGTCTTACCATTATCAAAAATTACTATGGTAACATGCTGACTGCAATCATCTTTTGAGTATTTCCATACTTTATGCAGAGTTTGTAATACATAAATTGCTAGGCACTTGTCTTTCCAAAACACCTAGACTGAACACTATTTCTTTTTATTCACATACGTCATACAACTTTTTCTTCACTTGAGCATTTTTTTAAATTCATCCAAGTTTTTAAAATGCTGCTCTTAATACTTTTGACATTAATACCACCTATTCAGCACTTTAATTAATTGAAATTTATACAGATTTTTTAGCTACAGCTCTGTAACACTTTCTATATTGATATGAAGGGCAGTCACTAAAGCACACCACTAGATGGTGCTGTCATACCATAATCAAAAATTACTATGGTAACACGCAGACTGCAATCATCTTTTGAGTATTTCCACATTTCATGCAGAGTTTGTAATACATAAATTGCTAGGCACTTGTCTTTCCAAAACACCTAGACTGAACATTATTTCTTTTTATTCACATAAGTCATATGATTTTTTCTTCACTTGAGTATTTTTACATTCATACAAGTTTTTAAAATTCTGCTCTTAATGCTTTTGACATTAATACCACTTATTCAGCACTTTGATGAATTGAAATTTATACAGCTTTTTTAGCTACAGCTATGTAACACTTTCTATATTGATATGTAGGGCAGTCACTGAAGCACACCACTAGATGGTGCTGTCATACCATTATCAAAAATTACTATGGTAACATGCCGACTGCAATTATCTTTTGAGTATTTCCATACTTCATGCGGAATCTGTAATACATAAATTGCTAGGCACTTGTCTTTCCAAAACACCTAGACTAAACACCGTTTCTTTTTATTCACATAAGTCATACAACTTTTTCTTCACTTGAGCATTTTTTAAAATTCATCCAAGTTTTTAAAATTCTGCTCTTAATACTTTTGACATTAATACTGTTATTACCAAGGGTCATATGTTTCCTGTTTTCTTTTCATCAGCACATTTTGTTTGTGGTTAACCCTCCCTACCTGTGGTAGATGCTGTTCCTGTGTCTGTTTTGTTTTTTCAGGGGGGAAACTGTGAAAAGGGTGACTGCTGGAGGAGCTCACTCTCTCATGCCTTTGTCTTGACTCCCAGCACTTTAATGAATTGAAATTTATACAGCTTTTTTACCTACAGCTATGTAACACTTTCTATATTGATATGTAGGGCAGTCACTGAAGCACACCACTAGATGTTGCTGTCATACAATAATCAATAATTAATATGGTAACATGCAGACTGCAATCATATTTTGAGTATTTCCACATTTTATGCAGAGTTTGTAATCCATACATTGGCACTTGTCTTTCCAAAGCGCCTAGACTAATCATTATTATTATTATTTTTTTATTCACAAAAGTCATTCAACTTTAGCATTTATTACCTTTTATACAAGTATTGTAACATTCAGCATTTTCCACATTTTCTGCAAGGAATTATATTTTTCATCTTGTAGTTGATATTCCTGTCTGCCATTTTTATTCTTCTGCCAGTTTTGCCACTTTTCAACTTATTCCCACTTTGTGCTTTTTCAACCATTCAAACTTTATACAAATGCACTACCTCCGGACATGATAACTATTACTTCTCACCTTTCTACCATTTATACTTTTTGCAGTATTTCACTTTTTCTGTACCATTAGAAATGGTCATGAGAGAAATGGTCATGGTACCACATAAGAAAACTGCGCCAGGGGAAGAAGTTCAGACGGTATCCGCTTCGTCCATGATTGGAGCACTTCTCATGTGTTGTATGCTAGAGGATTACTCACACATGCTGCCCCCACGCACGAGGCCATCTAGCGGTGTGCTTCAGTTTGATCAGACAGTACCTGAAGCACACTATAGGGTAGTGTTGTGCCACTACCAGTGACTATGGTTACATGCTGCTGACTGCAAACATCTTTTAGGTATTCACACATTGACTGGGGCCATTGTTTCCTTTAGACATTAGCTTTACTTAAGCACTTTTACTTTTACTCATCTCTGTTTCTTTACAATACTCATATGACTTTTTTCTTATTTTTTACTTAAGGTTCTCAAAAATGTCTGCATATATAACACTTCTCCAACTGCTTTTTTTCTACAACTTCATGCATGTTTAACTGCAGCTATGCTAAAATTTCTACATAAGTTCTTCTTGTTCTCCACCTCCCCAACAGTTTTAACATTTTCAATTTTTTCTTTTGTAGCAGTTCTGCATGGCTGTTTTAGCATTCAGCATTTCCACACATTTTCTGCAAGGAAATGATATTTTCCTTGTTGTAGTTGATAGTCCTGTCGGCCATTTTTATTCCTCTGCCAGTTTTGCCACTTTTCAACTCCTTCCCACTTTGTGCTATTTCACTAATACATAAATGTTTAGGCAATTGTCTTTCCAAAGCACCCAGACTGATCATTATTTCTGTTTATTCACACAAGTCATACAACATTGTCTTCACTTGAGCATTATTTACATTCATGCAAGTATTTAAAGTTCAGCTCTTAATCCTTTTGGCATAAACACCACTTATTTAGCACTTTAATGATTTCACATCCATACACCTTTTTAACTTAAGCTCTGTAACACTTTCTATATTTGTATGTAGGGCAGTCACTGAAGCACATATTTACGATTCATGATTTTTTATTCATACACTTTTTAAAACTACAGCTATGTAACACTTTCTATATTTATATGTAGGGTAATCACTGAGGCACACCACGAGATAGTGCTGTCATACCATAATCAAAAATTCCTATGGTAACATGCTGACTGCAATCATCTTTAAAGTGTTTCCACATTTTATGGGGGGTTTGTAATACATGAATTTCTAGGCACTTGTCTTTCCTAAGCACCCACACTGATCATTATTTCTGTTTATTTACATAAGTCATACAACTTTTTCTTCACTTGAGGATTTTTTAAAATTCATCCAAGCTTTTAAAATTCTGCTCTTAATACTTTTGACTTTAATACCACCTTTTCAGCACTTTAATAAATATAAATTGATACAGCTTTTTTAACTACAGCTGTGAATCACTTTATATATTTATATGTAGGGCGGTCACTGAAGCACACACAAGGCATGTGTCTTTCCAAAGCGTCTTGACTAATCTTATTTTTTTTTTATTCTCAAAAGACATTCAACTTTAGCATTTTTTAACTTCATACAAGTATTTTTACTTTAGCTCTCTAACATTTTCTACACTTTTATGTAGGGCAGTCACTGAAGCACACCACTACATGGTGCTGTTTTTCCATTATTACAAATTTCTATGGTTACATGCTGCTGACTGCAAACATCTTTTGGGTATTCACACATTAAGTGGGGCTATTGTTTTATTTAGGCATTAGCTTTATTAAAGAACTTTTCCTTATACTAATCTCTCACTCATCTCTGACTTTTTTTTTTATTTTTTACTTAGTTATCAAAAATGTCTGCATATATAACACTTCTCCAACTGCTGCTTTTCTACAACTTCATGCATGTTTAACTGCAGCTATGCTAAAATTTCTACATAACTTCTTCTTGTTCATGATACCACATAAGCAAACTGTGCCAGGGGAAGAACTTCAGACGGTATCCACTTCGTCCGTGATTGGAGCACTTCTCATGTGTTGTGTGCTAGTGGATTACTCACAAACGCTGTCCGCACACACAAGGCCATCTAGCAGTGTGCTTCAGTTTGATAAAACAGTAACTGAAGCACACTTTAGGGTAGTGTTGTGCCGCTACCAGTGAATGAAGCACACTTTAGGGTAGTGCTGTGCCGCTACCAGTGACTATGGTTACATGCTGCTGACTGCAAACATCTTTTGAACATTTCCACATTTCATGGGGAGTTTGTAATACATAAATTGCTAGGCACTTGTCTTTCCAAAACACAGAGACTGAACATTATTTCTTTTTAATCACATAAGTCATGCAATTTTTTCTTCACTTGAGCATTATCTACATTTACGCAAGTATAAACACAGGCTTGACAAACTGTGTAGAAGCCACCAAGCCCACCTCTCCCACTAGTGTGCTGGACTCTCTGTCTTACACTTCCAGACACAATGAACACACACACAGGCAAGTTTTTTATTCTTCTACTGTCTGATCTGTCAAGTTTGTTGGAAAGTTTATTATTGAGTATGACTGTATTCTGGAAAATATTTTAGTGGATAATATTCATGAATGTTAGCAGAATAAGTGTGAGGCTTGTTTAAACTGAAACTTATGTTAATGTTGTGAAGACAGGGCTTATCAATAAAAAGCAAATCTAAAAAATTTTATAATCATTGTGTTTTACATGTGTATAGCATGACAAACATAAAGCCAAGGCTTGACAAACTATAGAGCCACCAAGCCCTCCCACTTATGTGCTCACTGTCTCTTTCTCTCTCTCTCTCACACACACACACACACACACACACACACACACACACACACACACACACACACACACACACACACACACACACACACACACACACACACACAGGAATGATATTCTGAATGTTAGTTGAATAAGTGTCAGGCTATACAGTGTTCAAGTTTTCCTTGTTTAAACAGGTACAACTGTGAATGTTGTTAATAATATTTGCATTATTGCATCATTAAAAGTAAGGAAATTCATTCAAAAGTTGTTGTTTCTTTACATAATCCATAGTGTATCGTATAGTGCCAGTAGGTATGCAAAGGGGGTCCCCGGCCAGAAGCTAATGCTATTTGGGGGGCCTTGGCATGGAAAAGTTTGGGAACCCCTGTCTTAGCTTTATTGCTCTCCCTTCATCCTTAAGAACCTAGATGTCTGTCAGAGTAAATTGAAACTGTACTTTGAAAACCAAATTTGAATTGTGAGAACTCAATGTGAAGATGTATCGAGAGTTGGATTTTCAGTGAGGATCAAATATTATTGGATATCAATTTCAAATTATACTATTCAGATACAGGCTATCAATGCACTGATTCAAATTAAGCAATACAATTTCAAATTATGTGTTTCAAATTCAATGTTTTCAATTCCTGAGGAGTGACACATTTTATTTGCACTTTGTTTTCAGAGATCTCAGTATTTTTGACTTATTTTTTTTCCATTTTTTTAAACATTTATTTTCCTGAAAACAAACTGACAAAGGAACTTAGAAAAGTGTTTTCTCCTTGGAGGACCCTGAAAGACATTAAATAAACTGAAACAAACAATGGAAAACAGGGAATAAAAAAAGGACAATTGAAACCATTAAAGGGGAAAGAGACATTTTTTAAAATTCTACCTTCATTATTTTCTATACATGTACTTACCTGATTTCATGTGTGTAAGTCTGAACATTTAATATACATTTACACCGCGTTCTGTGGTGTGTAATGTGGGTTGGAGATCAATTGCTCTCGTGCTTCGGTGCTACTGCCAGTATCCTTATCTGAACCTAGTTGATCAGACAGAACCCAAGAAGACTAAGAAGAAGGTTACACTGGCAAAATAAAACACACTCAATCACTGGAATTATAGTTATAAATCCACTAGACTCCTCCCAGTCTGCTGAGAGGGATGATGTAGGTCCTACCATAGACTGTATATAAGATGGACGCTGTGATTCCGCCTTCCGCCTGTATACGGATTTGAAGCCAAACGGCTCTCGGTAATTCCGGGTTTTTCTCCGCTTCCTTGAAACCAGAGCTGTGCAGTAGCGTTGTGCGCATTCGGCCGCACAGTCGCCGAGAGTCCCTGTGATGACGCTCGGGTCAAACAGCGTATTCCCCCCGGAAGAGCTACGGAATCCCTGAACGCCCATAGGCTGTACCAGGTGTCAATCATAGAAAACATGAACCCCCTAATAACTTTTAAAAACGGAGCTGTACAGAAAAAAAAGGACTTGGGCACAAACCAGTCTTACAATAACTACATGTCAACATCACAACCAGGGGGAAGAAAAAATTATGTTCTGTGTAAAAAATTTCTGAAGTTTGCCCACAGTCCCATAAGCTTTGCTGGCAGAGGCGGGATTTATGACCTGTACTGCAGCCCACCATCATAGGGTGCTGTTCTCGGAGTGGCTTCATCCAGCGAGGAGGCAGACTCTGTCCATCTTATATACAGTCTATGGGTCCTACAGGGATCAATAATTGGCTTAGCATCCAAATTTGGAGCATGGAGGAATCTGAATCCTGAGATATATCTTCAAGTATATTTATTTTCTGAGAATTCATTCAAACCACTGATACTGCTGCTGATAAACGAAGTTCACTGTAAATACACATGTAAATTACAGAATAAGCAAAGATACTTTGTCCAGAAACTTCTTACGGGAACTTTAATAAAAGACTGAATTACTGCAGCTCTATATGAATGTGGTCCATTGGGTTGGACACTTGTTAAGTTCCTCCGGTCAGGGCTTTGACTTTAACTGTACTTCTGATAAAATCACATTGTCTCTTGTGTTTAAAAGCTCACAAGCTACAGGAATTGACATCCTTAATAAAGCTTAATCTCTCCAAACAGGAATAAATCTCATTTTTTGGTATCTCTTGAAGCTAGCCTTGCCTTGGGGCCACTGGCACAATATTGAGTGAAAATTAAGTTTACCCTATCATGTGTCTGCTGAAATGAGGCTGTGACTGTGCACAAAAAACAAGAATATGCCAAAGAGAAAAGAAAGGTGAATAGTTATTTCTTTCAGAAAACAGTGTTATCATGTTATCTTTTATTTGCACCAGTTTACACTTGCACTTTAGATTTTTGAGGGATTAAAAAACTGTGACTGATTAAAACAACAGAGAAAGGGGATTATTCCTGAGAAGAGTAAATAGCGAGAAGAAAAAGGTGGAACAGGAACTAAAACAAAACAAAACAAAACAAAAAAAAACCACATTCTTCCTCCCTCCCTTAGTATCTTCCGCTCTTGTCCTTTTCTTCCCTCCCTCGCTCTGATAGTTGCCATCATAAACAGCGCTAATGCTAACAGTCACTCCAGATCCTGCCTGCAGAGTTAATCCCTATCGCAACAGGGCCAAACGTCAAGCCTTGACAAAACCGCTGATATAGAGCAGAGCAGAGCTTTCTGCTGCTGAGCTGTAAAATAAGTCTGCAGACACAAACACTGACACTCTAAACTCTCAACCAAGCCAGCCAAACAGATACCAGGAGAGCAAGAGGAAGAGCAAGTGATCCAAATAACTGCTGGTAGTCCAAGTATGTGCATCCTAACCCTAACCCTACAACAGAGACTTCCAGACATGGAATGTTTGAAAACTCACGAGGGGAAACACTATGCATTTAAACAATATGTGCAATGTACCATGTGTCTATATGTGCAACTTCTCCTCCTCTGTCTCTCTCTCTCTCTGTCCATTTCCTTTCTTTCAGTGTGACACCATTTAACCTGTGGGCGGCTGCAGTTAACAGCACATTTCCTGTTCGCTAAGCTGCATCTGAAGATGTAGGGAAACACAGCCGCCCCCCCTTGAGACATTCAAACACACCTGTGTGCGCGTGCGCGCACACACACACACACACACACACACACACACACACACACACACACACACACACACACACACACACACACACACACACACACACACAGGAATGATATTCTGAATGTTAGCTGAATAAGTGTCAGGCTATACAGTGTTCAAGTTTTCCTTGTTTAAACAGGTACAACTGTGAATGTTGTTAATAGTATTTGCATTATTGCATCAATAAAAGTAAGGAAATTCATTCAAAAGTTGTTGTTTCTTTACATAATCCATAGTGTATCGTATAGGTATGCAAAGGGGGTCCCCGGCCAGAAGCTAATGCTATTTGGGGGGCCTTGGCATGGAAAAGCTGGGAACCCCTGTCTTAGCTTTATTGCTCTCCCTTCATCCTTAAGAACCCAGATGTCTGTCAGAGTAAATTGAAACTGTACTTTGAAAACCAAATTTGAATTGTGAGAACTCAATGTGAAGATGTATCGAGAGTTGGATTTTCAGTGAGGATCAAATATTATTGGATATCAATTTCAAATTATACTATTCAGATACAGGTTATCAATGCAATGATTCAAATTAAGCAATACAATTTCAAATACAAAGTCAATACAATGTGTTTCAAATTCAATGTTTTCAATTCAATTATTCAAATTTAGCAATTCAAATTCAAATATAAATGATTCAAATTCAGTTTCAGGTGGCACGTGTTTCAGCCCATAAGCAGTACACTGCAGATAAAGTCTGTTATATATTTTTCATGGCAAAGATTTATGGCAGGATGTGGTTTTTAGAAAAAAAAATGAAAAAATTACTTATGCAGAAGGCAAGATTTGCAAAAAAAGTTATTGATCTTACAACACAAATCAAAGCTGCTCATAGATGCTGTATGAATAACCTAACATCATCAACATCATCATCAGAATAATAATTAAAAAAAAATGAAAAATAAAATAATAATAATAATAATAATGTGTGTTTTTCTATCTCATTTTGCTTTCCTTTTTTTTACACCAAAAACTAAAAGGCATAATTAATGAGTGGATCTACAGATGGACAAATGACTCTGCCCAGCTGACCCACTCCCGGAAGAAATCTTCATTTCATTGCACTCTCTTTGCAAACCTTACTCATCATTTACTTATCAGAGGAGAAACAAGAGCAGCTCACAGCCACATTATCAAACATGAAAACTGAACCAGAAACAGTTCATTTAAACCTTCACAAACTCGGGAAAAACAGTGTGTGCAGTGTGAGATGAAGAGTGCAAGGAGCCACAGGTTTTTGAGGGGCAGCCCAGAGGTGCCTGGAGCCAGGACCTTGGCAGGTATGGAGGTCAGAGTTTGAGTACATAAGAAAAGCTTCCTTTACCCAGATTGTAGGATCACAGGGTTATGGAAAGGAGTTAGGAAAGGACAACTGGAGCATTTGGAGACTGTCTGCCCTCTCACACAATGGATGTTACTAATGTCCCATAAATCTACTGTGTAAAAACTACAGTTCACTGCTAATAGACCAAAAACCATGGTGTGCTTTTACCATGTTGATTCGGGTAATCACACAAGTACAAAAAGCAACCTGTGTAACAGAAAAAAGGACATTTCAAACAGACCCAGAGGAAGAAAGAGGAGATCAATTTTACTCAGAATATCCATTTTCTCATCCTAAAAGGCTGCCAGAAATTTGACTTGACTGTCTGATTTTACAGATTTACAGGGTATGTCTTTTAACTCACTCACTCTTGGGGTTTCATCTGATCAAGTCCTACAACACACCATGTATAGTGGACTCACTGATGATTGAAAGTTCTCAACTTTCAAAAAGTTTAAAAAAAAAAATGTATGAAGGAGTTACTTTAATTTGCAGTTTAATGGCACAATGACAATCTGTTTGATATTACATACACATGATTAAGTTTACCGCTGAACATATGTGCCCATTTCTAGACTAGACACATAGTACTACCCTGTGGAAATACATGGTATTATCTTTCACTTCCAACATCTGAAACCAACTACATTTTACAGGTTTGATGATGGTTCCAGCCGTAAGTCATCAACACACATATTTTTGTCAAAGTCATAGGTCAGACATTGGGGTATTAACTGTCATAAACAAATTACAATGACCCTTCACTGCACGCTGTTTCACGAATATGCACTTTTACTCTAGCAGACAACCTTGTCCAAGTCTAGCCAGTGACAGTGCTGGAGGTGGCTGTCACCCACTGAGGCTATCAAATGACAGAGCTGATATTCCTGCAAAGACTAGGGCATGGGTGTGTGTGTTTGTTTGTGTGTGTGTGTGTGTGTAGAGATGTGCAATTTGACTTCATTTCAAGAAATCATTTTGCAACTGATTTAGTATTTAGCTGATTATAGTGCAGCGGCAACAGCAGTAGCTTCAACTTCTATTGTCTTAAACATTTCTTGAAACACTTAATCTGACTGTAACAATCAAAAATGTCCCACCTCCTGTCACCTATTTGTAGTTCATATAGCCAACATATAACATATAGTTCATACTGCACTTTTAAAAAACCTCCTTATTCTGCCAACAATTTTTTTTTCTGTAGAAGGTCAGAGAAAGAAAATGAAGGTGGGCAGGGAGCCTTAGACTCTGTGTGATTAACACCTATAGCAGTTATATCTAAAGGGAAGTATCAATTCAATTGAACGGAGTACAAAAGTAGACAATGGTGTAGGTTAGATTTATTTTCTAATCTGCATACAGATACATTTGTTCCTCTAAAAGTTTTATTGAATAAATAATTTCCATGTGCAAAATATAATATCATTGCAGAAAAATACAGCCTGAAGATCATACAAGAAAAAAAGGGGATTGGCTTCACATGCTTTTAAAATCCAGCTCTATACAATAGCAATATATCATTCCTACTTCAATTAGTGCAAAGAATCTTTGGTATGACATCCAGCGAGAGGGTTTACATTTTTGGAGACATATTTGATTCATTCTAGAAAATTATCAGATGAATGAAATATGCATAGACTAGGCCTGCACGATATATCGTTTGAGCATCGTCATCGCGATGTATGTGTGTACGATAGTCACATCGCAGAGCCTGCGATGTCAGAGGCGAATGAACTCAGTTAATTTCAAGGGTAACTGACTGAGATACACTGCATGTGACTCTGCATGTGCAAAATCAGAGAGGCGGAAACCCACCCCTGCACATGTTCTGCACATGGAGTAAGTTGCTGCCACTACCAGAATTGAGCCGAAAAACGCTTGTCCGCTGAGAATTACTTTCGGAACATTACTCATCACTGTTTAGCCCAACAAATAAGAACTGTATGGGTTTTAAATTGTACATTTCCGTGGACCACTCTACTATAAGCAGTGTACATTTTGTGAGGTGCATGCAATTCTCGGAGGACATGCATTTCTCAGCACCCCGGTAACAACAACAACAATCGCAAACTGAGCAACGAACAGAGAAAACCACCAAAGATGAAGACTTTTTGCCAAAAAGAAAAGGAACGTCAGTTATCTGGAATTATTTCGGTTACAAGATGAATAATGTCGACCAAAACACATCTTCTGTGTTCATCTATGCACAATAACGTCCCAGCACAATAAAAGCTAAAAATATCTCTGAGACAGACAGAAGCCATTCTACTATCATTCACAAAAAGAGGTAAGATCAGTGCAGGTTAACTGTCCTCAAGATTTCAGCAGTGCAGCGTAACAATAAGTGCTATTCAGGTCATCTGGTGAAAATTCCTCTATTTTTTTATATCGCAATATAAATATATCACAGGGTTGAAAAAAACGCAATGTTAGTTTTTTTCCAATATCGTGCAGCCTTAGCATAGACTGTGATATGATTTGGTTCAGCTATTACATCAGTGATTTGGTACATTACAGCTTTAAGTTTTGTTACAGAATAGACAGCCTAAGACTATACTGGCATCCTGTGGCTGTTTTTCAGAGTCACAAAGTTACAACATCATGCACCCACTCCATTATATATGGAGTGGTTGTCTAACAAATATACAAAGCAGATGCACAGATGAACAATAAACCCAATAAATTAAATTATAAACACCTGGTGTACAATTAAGAGGACATCACAAAAACCTTCACTGAATATGAGATTGCACAATCATGAATCACAGAACTGTTTGATGAGATTATATATCACAAAATCCTGTCATTCACCCAGTGAAACTGGATCAGAGTGAGTCATTAAAACCAGAGTAGGATTGTCCAGTTAATTTTGTGTTGGGATGGAGTGAACATTTAGTTGGATCTCTTTGAATATCAAGAGTACCTTTAATCACTGAGCAAAGACAACCCCAAGAGCATTTTAGGCTATACTGTAATTAACGGGAATCTACACCTTACTTCATATTTGAACTCTGTATAATACAGGATACATTTGGTGTTGTTAGGCTACACTGTAATTGTATTAAACACAGGGGTTATTAAGGATGCTGTAAAAAATTATAAAGATCATGGATGGAAAGCCTTTCTAACCTCCCACTACAAGTTAACTTTCTCTTGAATTAGTTAGTGGTCAACTGAGACTAATTTAGACATTTTCTTATACAGATTGATCAGTTGTTTGATCATCTTTCATAAATAGGAAAGATTATTATGTAAATCTTACACAAAGGCATGGCTTGTTTCACAATTCAGTTCTCATTCTTATGGTCAGGGTCATGGTCAGAATCTTGCGTAAGGGAAGTAAAAGAGCTGGCTTTGCCCAGCCTGTAGTGGTCCCTCATAGTCCCATCTACCTGTGTGTCTGGTCTCTTCCTGTCCACTGTATTCTTTCTATCAAACTCTGCAGTAATTTCAGCCAGTGTTTTACCCTTAGTCTCTGGTAAGGTAAGTCCCAGAAATCCTGCAGAAACCAAACATACGGCCAAGAATGGCAGAAAGCAGAAGTCTCCCAAGCCTTTAACAATGAAGGGAAACAGCATTCCAACCAAGAACAGGCTGATCCACATGAAGGAGCCAGCAATCATATACCCAGCTGGCCGAGCTGCTTGATCAAAGATTTCAGCAGGTAAGATCCCTGTCACTCCTGCGGGGCCCAAGCCGAAGCTGAGGATGTAGGCAAACACACATGCCGTGCTGAGGTAAGGCATTCCAGCCACCCCACGGCTCTGCAGGGTAAGAGCTACAGTGAAGATTATAGACCAGCAAGACATAAGACAGTACCCTCCAACAAGAAGGTATCTGCGGCCAATACGCTCAATCAGCAGGTTACTCAGTATGGAGGCAGTAAGCTCAGATGCTCCCGTTCCGATAGTAGCATACTGTATTTTCTCTGGCGGGATCCCTGCTTGGAGAAAGATGTAAGAGGCATAGAAATAGATGGAGTCATTGCCACAGAGCATCATAGCACTGCTAGCAACCATGACTGTTCTGAGCTGGCAGCGCAGATCTGAACTCTTAAACAGAGACCAGGGTGTCTTTGTTGATGCTACAGATGTAGGATTTAAGGCTGTGGTATTTTGGAGCTGCTGCTCCTGAAGCAACTCATTCATCTCCATGACAGGAACTTCTCCACCACGAAGCCTTTCAAGAGCCCGGACACATGCTTCCCTGTCTCCCTGGTCAATGAGAAGGTATCTGGGACTTTCAGGGAAATGAGGTAAGGTTAGAAGTTGGATCAACCCTGGCAAAGCATTACTAGCTAGTAAGTAGGACCACATAGGCTCTGCTCCAAGCAACCCAGTAAGTCCAACAACTTGACCCAAGAAGATTCCAAATGCAGTGAAAACAGCAGATGAAAAAGCCACGGCTCCTCTGAGGTGTTTAGGAGCACTTTCTCCAAAATACATGGGTTGAACATTCATACTGACTCCTGAGTTTATCCCTACCAGAAATCGAGAACAGATAATCATCTCAAATGATCCAGCGGCCCTGCAGGCCAAGACCAGAACTGCACCAGTTAACACAAAGCAGTTATTCAGAAGCAGTGAGTTCTTCCTCCCAAAGCGGACTGCCAGAGGTCCTGCTAACATGGCACCAAGAAAACCCCCCAAAGAGAAAGCCGACACTACCAGAGTCCACACTAGAGTCACCTGAGGGGTCTCCAAACCTATGCCCCAGCGCTTCATGTAAGTCTCATTGATGAACACCTGGATGTAGCTGGTGGGTGCGTTGATGATTGAGATGTTGTACCCATACTGGAAGGTTCCTCCGATGGCAGCAGAGAATACAGTCAGAGCAAGGGTCCAGGAAACGCCTGGGGGTCTGCTCTTTTCACCGGGCTCAATATGGACTGACGGAGACATCGGGAGATTCTGAGTCCTTTTCTCTGTGGTCCCACCACAAAGTAACTCCTCTGAGAGATCTTGTTTACTGTTAGAGCTTCAGCCAACGTTTCCTGGTACAATATGGTTTACGGTAAACCTCCACAATATCTTTACTAGACAAACGTCAACGTGCTCTGAGAAAGGTGAATTATGATTGTCCTCATCATATCCGGCAACGGTTTTTACCGGTGTTTGAGCTTCCTCAAGGACACCGTAAGGCATCTATCATTTCCATCACTTTAATGTTAGCTATTAAGACAAAAGCAAAACAAAAAGGTGAAATAAATGATTTGGCTATCCTGTGAGAAACGAAAATTAGAATTTTTTTGTCCGCTATTGAGCATCTGGGGCTGAAGAGTTACACTGACAGCCTTCGCTGAGGGAGAAAAATATATCATACCGCTGTGTAGCTGTCTTGCCATTGGCTCACACCACGCCAAGGTAAAACGTCATCTCTGTGTGACCCCGTCGGTAAGATGTAAGTAAATGCCAGTTGTGGTGCGAGCTGCAGCTTTTTATTCTTAAACATTCAACTTCATATCAAAAAGATAAATTGAGAATAGGATTAAGTCATTTACATATAACATGTAAGTTTTGAAACGATAGGACAGGGTTCCTTGTGCCATAATAAAGCCACGAGAAAGAGTAAGCTAATGCTATGGGTTGAGCGGGGTTCGATGATTCAAGTCTCAGTGGTAACGGTCAAAGGGGATCCTTTAAAGCGTCATTCACCTGAATTTATCCTGTCAATATAGATATAAAATAATCATTTCCAAGTTTTTCACCTGTTATTGTCAACGTGAAGAGTTAAAATGTTTACAGATTGACAGGAAAGTAATTTTTAACAAACCGGATCCAGGAGACCAAACAGCTTCTGAATTTAGTTTAAGTAGACTCTTTCCGGGGTATTGGCAGATACGTATCATCAGGTCACAATTCCTATAATTAAGTCATAACCATAGACTGTATATGGTATGGATGTGGTTCTGCATCTGCATTTCTGCATTTAATTTACTGGGGGTGGGGTTTATGACCTATACTACAGCCCGTTACCAGTGGGTGCTGTCCTCACGGAGGCTTCACCCAGCGAAGTCAGATGACATTCATTCAATATACCGTCTATGGTCATGACATTTAATTAATAACCTACCCCCTGCTGTGTTATTCAGTTCTGAATAATGAACATCATTCTCAGATGTGCACACACTTACACATTTCCTCTGAAATTGGGCCTGTGCTGCTCTACGCTGGATTGAAATGTTGTTTAGACTGAGCAGATGCAGTACTCACCTCCCACCTACTCACCACCTATTTCATATCATCAAGGTACTGACACCTGAATTTTGTTAACTTTCCTCTTTTTCAATGACAGGGCACCTTCTCCAACCAAGAGGAAGGAGGATGAGAAGAGTAAACAGCGAGGTAAGGAGAAGTTAGGAGCTTCAAAAGAAGGAGCTGAGAAAGGCCGGGGCCGAGACAAGAACCGCACCAGACGCAGTGCTTCAAGTGGGAGCAGCAGGTCTGAATCTTTATGATACTAAGGACAATCAGACTTTATGGTGTCATGTACTGATTCACTCTTTTCCAGTCCCATAATCCAAACCTTTGTCTGTTTCATGGGTTTAAAAGAAAAGTGCTGCTTTAAGGCAGAATGGGCTAATGTATGTGATGGCTCTCTGTAATCACATTGTAAATAAACTGTTCATAAATCAGGTGTAACCAACGCTTTCCATAAATCTTATGTCCTATAAGTTCCAGCTCCAGTAGCAGCTCAGGCTCCAGCTCAGGCTCCTCAAGTGGCTCCAGCTCCTCTGCCTCCAGCCACTCAGGGTCCTCCAGCTCCCGCTCATCTTCCTCATCTTCCTCATCCTCCTCCCCAAGCCCAAGCCGCCAGCGCCACAACAACAGAAGACGCTCCCGCTCTAAGTAAGGAATTGGTCACTCACTGAACCAGCAGTGAACTTGTAAATGGCTTTCTTGGGATAATTTTGGGAATATGATTTCCTTTTCAATAAATTTTGATTAGTAAGAAGCATAAATGGTTCTCCAAATGTAGAGTTTTACATTGCTGTCTATGGACCTTATGAATCCTGAAACTTGGCAACAACTTTGATATCGGGAAGTATGAACTAAGACTTGATATTGAGTGTAAAATCATCTTGTGGTTAGGTATGACAGAAACATTAATGTCAAAATGTCTCCAGGTCAAAATCAGCAAAGAAAGATGACAGGGACCGTCGCCGTAGGAGCCCGACTCCGAAACCAACGAAGGTCTACCTGGGCAGACTCACCAGAAATGTTATCAAGGTGAAAGCTGAATATCTTACATCTCACTGCTGATCATTAACACTCTATTAGGAGCGGAAGACAGAATGATCAAAAAGGATTACTAATCTCAACTTTTAATTTGATTAGGAAGCATATATTTACAAATAGATATACAGTATCTGCACAAATTATATAAGCAGTATTTACATACAGTATTTATAAACTGTATGTATATATATATATATATATATATATATATATATATAGATAGATAGATATGTATATGTGTGCATATACATATACATCTTTTGCACATGTGAGTTCGTCACATTTTTCATACATTTAAATACAGTGATTGGAAAGGAGCAGGATTGAGCGAACGCATGATACCTGCACTTTTCTTAAAACAAATAACCGCATACATCAGAGGAATTGCCATTATAATGACTTTGTGTACATGAGTCAGAACAAAGTTGTCAGAGGACCAGAGAAAGAGCCAGGAGAAGTTAAAGCTATAAGGAGACACCTTTGGAATTATTTGGTGAAAAAACGGTGTAAACACACTGATTATAGCCTTTTTGATTCCTCAGAGTAGACTCTTCTTGCTTTGCACACTCTTTGCACACTCTTTGCATTTTCTCCTTTCCTTTCCTTTTTTACTTACCGAGTTACAGTTGATGTTGTTAACGTCTTGGTTTTCCGCTGTTTTAAACTTCAACTACTCTGATTTATAGCTGTGAAAGTGGATCAGATGAAAGAAGTAAGAAGTGACGAGTTGTTAAAGATAAAGTGAAGGTTAATGATGTCACTCAGCTGACTCTCTTCTCACATTCATCCACATGAATCAGAAATTTGATGACATTCAGAAAGTTGTTTAATCCAGTGAGTTTGGCTTTAGATCAGCTGCTGTCATGCTGGACTTCACTTGCATGCTCATTGAAAGGAAATAACATAAGATTTAGTTGGCAAAGAGAATTGTTGGTCATTTTCCATCTCCAAAGGATAGTACAGTCAGTGTATCCTATGCTAAAGGAAGTAGTGAAGGAAGCAGTGAGGCTGCTTTTTTCATTATTGAAAGATGTCAAACAGCTCTCACCATTGCTGACACTCAAATATTTCAGGGTCGATTTACATATTTTGTAACCTTTCTGAATTGAAAAGGAAGATTTAAGTAAGTTCCAGTTGGGGGCTGCATCAAAGTGATTTTAGATCAACATTAATTGTAGAATAGTCCTGGACAACAAGGGAGTGGTGACAGCATGACGCATTTGATGCCCTTTGACTGGCATTACATATCCTGTGATGTGATTTTTTTACTATTTTGTGTTCTCAGCTCTTCTTTTACCAGCTCTCTTTAAACCTAAGTGAACCTGGCAGACCAGGTTCTAGAGTCTGAAGTTAAAGTGTTGTCCCATTCTGGCCTGATAGAGGATTTCTGCTGCTCAACAGCTCAGGGTCTCTTTTGCACTGTTTTTGGGGTTATGATGCTCCAAATTTTTTCAATGGAGGACAAGTCAGAACTGTAGGCAGGCCAGTTTTCAGTAGGGCTCTTCTCCTACAGAGCCATGCTGTTGTAATCCCTGCAGAATGTGGTTTGTCATTGTCTTGCTGAAATATGAAGGTCTTCCCTAAAAAAAGTCATTGTCAGGATGGCAGCAGAAAGATTCACAAACTAGCAACAACTAAAGACAGCTGCAGTAAAGGCCTGACAAAGCATCACAAAAGAGGAAACCCAGCATTTGTGCGTGTCCATGGGTTCCAGACTTAAGGCAGTCATTGCCTGCAAAGGCTTCCTGACAAAATATTGAAAAAACATTTTACTGAAGGTTATGTTAATTTGTCCAAATACTTTTGAGCCCCTGAAATGAGGAGAGTTTGTATGAAAATGGCTTTAATTCCTAAATGTTACATTGGATATTTTTTTTCAGCCCCTTGTATTATTGTTCAGCCCTCTTGTATAACCTGATAGTCTGCATTTCAATTACATCTTAGTTGTTCCATTTCAAATCCAATGTGGTGGCATGCAGAGCCCAAATCATTGGATTGTGTCACTGTCCTATTGTTTCTGGGCCCAACTGTATATCTAAATTGGGTGGTTGTAGTAATGAATAATTATGAAAGATGATGAATAACTGAGCTCTGTTCCTTGAGTCAGTACAATCTGCCCAAAGGTATTCTTATCATCCCTAATATCAAACTTTTATGACCTCTGACAAAAACCTAAATACACCCAAATGTCATGAAAACACATACATCACATTTTGAAGTATTGACTTTTCAGTAAAAAATCAACTCCAATCTTGCTTCATGAAAAAGCTTTTCGTACAAGAAGTTGAACAAGAAGCATATTTCAATGGCAAATTTTGGATCTTTTCTTGGTTTCCCTTTTAAAGGAACATATCCAAGAGATATTCTCTACCTATGGCAAAATCAAGATGATTGACATGCCTATGAATCGGATCCACCCTCACCTGTCCAAAGGCTATGCCTATGTTGAGTTTGAGACACCTGAGGAGGCAGAGAAGGCCCTAAAACACATGGACGGAGGTAAGGTCAATGAGAATGGACTTTTAAAGGAAATAGATTGCAAAACAAGCTGTGTTCTGTCAGAGCGGTTATGTAAGATAAGTGTAATATAACTACAGACTAAATATTTCACATTGGTCTTAATAATTGAACTTATTTCTAATGAAAATCTTCACCCCCTGATTTCCTGAATTTTGTTCCCTCAGGTCAGATTGATGGTCAGGAGATAACGGTCACAGCTGTGCTAGCTCCCACAGTTCGCCCTCCACCACGCAGGTTTTCCCCTCCTCGAAGGATGCCTCCTCCACCACCAATGTGGCGACGCACCCCACCTCGCATGAGGAGAAGGTAAGCAACGTATGATGAATAGTGGTGCAGTAAGGGGTGGTATAATTTATTATATAAAAAGTTTAATAAGTTGCACGTAAATTAAAATGCAGATATTGACAGTGATATAAGATTCCATCATTAAAAATCTTTTTAAATCCTATTGCCATTGACTTTCTGTCTGAGTCCCAAGTTCTTGTCTACAAATGTTGAGTTTTCCCTTTCCTGTAGGTCTCGATCTCCGCGACGACGTTCTCCAGTACGACGCCGGTCTAGATCGCCTGGCCGCCGTCGTCACAGGTCGCGCTCCAGTTCGAATTCCTCACGCTAATGCAAAGAAACCCCTTCATCTCCACCTTGGATCTGCTTCTCTACTGAGTCAGTTGAATCAGTGTCTTTTATTATTAATCATCCAAACGTTTTAGTAATGACAACACAAACACCAAAGCAGCTTTGAAGTGAAAGTGTGGCACATAAAATCTGTGATTTAAGTCATTTATAAACAGATATTCAGACTTCAGAGGTCTCAAGGTCTTTCTGCTTCTAACCTTGTGGGTCTTGTGATCAGATCTACTTTCCCATGACACAAAAACCGCCAGGTCCATAAATATTGGGACATTAACACAATACTCATCTTTTTGGCTCTATACACCACCACAATGAATTTGAAATGAAACACACAAGATGTGCTTTAACTGCTGACTTTAAGCTTTAATTTGAGGGAATTTATATCCAAATCAGGTGAATGGTGTAGGACTAACAACAGTTTCTATATGTGCCTCCCACTTTTTAAGGTCCCAAAAGTAATGGGACAACTAACTAAAAATTATAAATCAAATCATAAATCAAACTTTCACTTTTTTGCAACCAAATGCAAACCCTTTGCATGACCAGACGATTGACTCCGCCATTGCATAACATTCCACTTCTTTGCCTCTCAAAACTCTTGAGTTGCTTTAGCAGTATTCTTGAGGTCATTGTCCATCTGCACTGTGAAGAGCAGTCCAATTACTTTTAAAGCATTTGGGCTGAATATGAGTGGAAAATATTGCCCCAAACACTTCAGAGTTCATCCTGGGGCTTTTGTCAGCAGTCACATTATCAATTAATACAGGGGAACTAGTTCCAATGGCAGCCATACATGACCATGCTATGACACTACCATCAGCATGCTTCACTGATGAGGTGGTATGTTTTGGATCATGAGCAGTGGCTTTCCATCTCCATACTCTTCTCTCCCCGTCTCTCTAGTACAAGTACAAGTCGATCTTCATCTCATCTGTCCATAGGATGATGTCCAGAACTTTAAAGGCTTTTTTAGATATTGTTTGGCAAACTCTAATTTGGTCTTCCTGTTTTTTAGGCTCACCAATGGTTTACATCTTGTAGTGGACCCTCTGTACTCTAGTGAGGTCTTCTCTTGATTGTTGACTTTGACACACACACACCTACCTCCTGGAGAGTGTTTTTGATCCAGTGTTTCTTCACCAGGGAAATAATTCCTCTGTCATCCACCACAGATGTTTTCCATGGTCTTCTGGGTCTTTTGGTGTTGCTGAGCTCACCCATACTTTCTTTCATTTTAGCAACGTTCAAACAGTTGATATAACCACACCTAATGTTTCTGCAGTCTCTGCAAAACAAACCCAGGAGAAATATCCCTGTTTCTGCTGGGTTTGTTTTGATTTTTCTGCCTGATGATAGCTTGTTTCACTGATAGAGACTGATGTCGCATCTGAGATCAACTCCAGACCTTTTGCCTGCTTAATTGATGACGAGTGAATGAGGGAATAGCCCACACCTATCCATGAAATAGAGTTTGAGTTGGTTGTCCCATTACTTTTGGTCTCTCAAAAAGAGGGAGGCACATATAGAGACTGTCGTAATTCCTACACTGTTCCCCTGATTTGGAGTAAATCCCCTCTAATTAAAGCTGAAAGTTTAAAGCACATCTTGTTTGTTTCATTTCTAAACCAATGTGGTGGTACATAGAGCTGAAAAGATGAGTATTGAGTTAATGTCCCAATATTGATGGAGCTGACTGTAAATAACATTTCCGCTATATTAATAAAGATTAATCACCAACCATTTGTCAGATCATTACAACTTTCTGAGTTGGTTTCCTTATCTCTTTGGCATATATTACCATCATTATGTTTCACTGAGCACAAAGGAAAAATTTGGTGATATTTTCGCTTTTAAAATGTAGGCGGCTACAGAAATCAAGTGTGCACAAATCATACAGGAATCACATCATTGGTGCTCTCATCTATTGTCTTACAAGCCCCCTCAGTAAAATTAAGCAATCAAGATGTGTGTTCTGAAAACAGTCTTTGCTGTCAAGAGGGATCTTGTATTGTCCATGAATTGCAGGCTCTGAATGGGGCCTCTAGTCATAATTGTGGTTTCAATGGTCTGTAAGTTGAGTCCATTCCTTCTGTGCCACTCTAGTTCATTTGCCAACATTGTTCCAGAGTAACGCCTTCAGAAAATCACTAAAAAGGTTTCTTTATAAGTGAGAAAATAAAATATCAATAAGCAGCATTGGTCTTCTGCAGAGCTCCGATAATAACATAGGCATTATTTTTGGGTCAGTAAGGACTTAATGTCAATCAATTAATCAATCCGTGTTCATATAGCACCAATGACAAGTGTTTCCCTGAGACTCTTGAGAACAAAGACCATATTCTGTTTACAAGGTAAAGCTGGATGTAATGTGGTATTAATGGTTCGGTATTTTGTTTTTCGGAACTCACTAACCTTGCGATTATGGCCTTGATTTGGAATTTTGTTTTGGTATACATTTGTTCTCATCAGTGCTGTGGTGATGCTTACTGCTTGAATTTGACATCTCTCTGTGTATGTTTGTGTTTGTTTTTGTACTTTTCCCACCAGTCAACTTTAAGATTTTTAGCTGTTCATAGATTAGCTTCAAATCAAGGACAATAAACTTAATGATTTGAACGAAATTACATACTTTTGTCATGAAAAGAGTAAATGTGTTATCCATCAGTATCAGTATCTACTTGAGTATATTTAGCAACAAGGTGCTGCAATGTGTGTCAGAAAAGCAATGGAAGGTGCATCTTCTCCAATTGTTGTGCTCAGACAACAATTACTGCCATCAGCCACACAAACACGTTTAATGAACCAAGTGTTGCATTTGTCCTTAAGCTAAGGGTAACGGAACAGTCTGAATCTGATTTGACCATCCAAGGATACAAGTTCAGAATAAATCATTTTCCTCAATCTACTTTTCTGTTCGAGGTGTGGGGTGCTCCGGCTTAGTATTTCTATATCAATAATGGCATGTTCATTACAGGAAAAAACTTGTTGGTTCTATTACCTGGGAACTGTTGCACAAAACTAGGATAAGGGATTAAGCCGGGATATCTTGGTTATTCTGGCTGAACTTATCAGTGACCCAGTTGCACAAAAGCAGTATAGTGGGAATTAAGACATGTTGTGATATAAGTTACCATGGAGATTTATCCAATGATGCTAGCCTGCTCAAGACCAGGCTAATTTCCAGGTCACGGCCCACTCCTTCCTCAGGCAGGCCATATTGTGGAGGACAGCACAGGCCACAGTGATGTCGAATGCCCTCAAAGGAATGACCCTAAAGTCTTTAAGACAGTGACAGCACTCCTTCAGGAGGCAAAAGGTAATTTCAATCCTGGCCCTTGTCCTGGTATGGGCATGATTGTAGGCCTGCTGTGTTTCCTGGGGGGTCTGTGATTGGTGTCAGGAGAGGCGGCTGGCAGGAGTAGCCCCTGTCAGTACAAACTCTCATCATCACAACCTCATAATAGAGTGACATCCTGACACAGCCATTATGTAAACGCTGGTTATGAATATAGGTTGTGTGGCTCACCTTGTAATAGGCACTGATAGATTCCAGAGTTCTTTAGGACTCAGGAGAGACTTTAAGACTGAACCAGGCCATTTGGCCACAATGCTGTTGAGACAGTCAGCATGACAGACCATCTGAAATCATAAGATGAAGACTATGAGAACTTCTGCCTCAGACAGGGAAAAGTTAAGTTATGGATGCTCTTGTTTTGGATTTGTTCTGTCATTTATCCTGGATGTCTTAATCCTAGTTTCGTGCAACGGGTCCTAGATCTTTATAAAACCTATCAGCTCTTACCAGCAGTAACACCAAATACAGGTTATACATTTGTTTTTTCATTTTATTTTCAAATGAGACCTGAGGATTTTTTTTTCCTCCTGGGTAGGTGTTGGAATGGTGAGTCAGCACAGCATGAACCTATTTAAACATTGTCACCAATGTTAACAATAATGCCAATGATACAATGCAAGTCTGTGATTCTGTATATTTTCAAACTCATTGTCTTTCTTTGATGAGGTAAATGTGACTTGAATATTTAAATACCAACTTTGCACGATGTCAGCAAATGACGCTGTAATAGAGTAATGCTTAGACTAGAAAATGAAAAGAATACAAAGAGCTCACGGCATGCATGACTCCATGCACGTCATGCGTGCATGTGTGTGTGTATATATATATATATATATATGTATACATATATATACATTTACATATATTTTTATATATACATATATAATACATATATGTATATATACACATATATAAATATACATATATATACATACATATGTATACATATATACATGTGTACATATATATGTATATATATACATGTGTTCATATATACACACACACGTATATATATATATATATATATATATATATATATATACATACACACATGTGTACATATATATGTATATACATATATATATATTGAAGCTCACAGTACCACCCAAGGGGGGTATTGTGAATTTATATATATATATATATATATATAAATTCACAATACCCCCCTTGGGTGGTACTGTGAGCTTGAAGAGACACAACACCGCTCACACACTAAGGCCACCCGCATCTTCTTGGTCTTGCAGGTCTGTACTGTCATGAAGACCAGCCTTTCAGCATCAGTGTTACAGCAGCCCGGGATTTTTTCTCATTTTGCTCTTATAGTTCAGGGTCTTTAAAAGATTAGTGTCTTTGTCTGCTTGGCTAGGAGGTGGATCTATCAGGTCCTTGAATCCCAGTTTTTGTAGAGGCTCTTTGGCCATCAGCTGACTGATCAAGACCAGCCTTTCAGCATCAGTGTTACAGCAGCCCGAGATGTTTTTCTCATTTTGCTCTTATCGTTCAGGGTCTTTCAAAGATTAGTGTCTTTGTCTGCTTGGCTAGGAGGTGGATCCATCAGGTCCTTGAATCCCAGTTTTTGTAGAGGCTCTTTGGCCATCAGCTGACTGAAAACACAAGACAAGTTAAATGTTGATCTGTAATGACAAATAAAACAAAAAATACAAATAGGTATTTTTTAACAGCTAAAATTACAAGATATTGCGAATATAAGGACTGCATTTTCCCTTATGTTTCTTACTGTTCCATGCGACATTCCAGGTACTCTTTGGATTGCAGTCTGCAGCGTGAGCTGTCAAAGCTGTTGTCTCGTAGGCATTTCATAAAGGTTTCTTTGAAGGCTTTACACTCTCCTAAAATTATAGCAAAATGAATCTTACATTATTCTCAGGTATATCACAGCATATCTTCCACAGTAAAGTTGAAAACATTTTGTATTTGTTAGCATGGTTTGGTTATCAGTTTGTGCAAAGTCACAGCTGTTTTCCTTACAGAGTAAGAATGTCAATGTTTACTGGTTTAAAAGGGCAACGGTTGAAAAAAAAAAAAAAACAGGCTTTGATGAATAGAAGAAAAATGACAGATTTATCAAACTGTGAGGAGACCTCTGCAATGACAGATCTTTACATGGTTTGGGGGTCATGCTTCGAGGGTTAGGGGTCATGGTTCAGAGCATTTTGTAGAAAAATATCTTTACATGGTGAAATTAGAAAAGATACACTGAGTCCACTCTAAAGGACATCTGTCCCCAGAGTTTGTTTGCTTTAGTGGGGAAGAAAAACTCTTTTGATAAAGACTATTGTGATCAGAGAATCAGGAGTTCTGGTTCTGTTGGGTTGTGAACTGTTTATACAGAGAACAGTCTAGGCTTTGGAGCATCATTGACTGTTTAAGCCCAATGAAAAATTTCCCCCTCTGTATCTGAGCCCGTTTTCACTGGACTTTTTCTAATTGTGCTGAGAAAGATCATTTTCAGGACTAAGTGACCTGTTCTGCTGGTCTTCGGTTCGGTTCCGCGTGAAACAAACATGAATATCCTTGCGTTTTCTCACCGAAATGATCCAGAGGGAACGAGCCTTTATCGGGGGGGCGAGGTTTAAAAGTTTTGGACCCAAAATTCATGGCTGTCGACATTTTCTGAGATTCCAACTCTCATTTACTAATGCAGGCTTCTTTTGAGATCACGCGGTCGCGTTGCTATGACGTAAATATAAGAAGCCAGGCGTGAGCAGTCGATTGTGCCGCTGTAGCCCGTTAAACGCATAGATTATATTCTATGGTTAAGCGACGTGCCTTCGTGGCAGCCATCTTGGTTGGGGCAACAGTCCCGTTAAAGGCATAAGAGGAACAAGAAAAATAAAGCGTATCTTGCTCATTTTTCAGCCGATTTTCGGGTGGTTTATTTTGTATTCAACACAAAAAATCAAAAGTTCTTTATTGATATACAGAGCTTCTGTTTTTTTTTATCAAGTGTTTTGTATAAATAGCACGTTTCAATGTTGACAATGAAGCAAACCGCATGAATATCGGTTGAGAATGAGAAATTTGTGATACATTTTCATTATGCATGCATTGCCTTTAATGGGGACGATGCCCCCGCCAAGATGGCTGCCATGTAGGCACGCAGCTCAAACGGGCATGTCGTATCCCTAGACCGCATTGTCGTATCTACTATTTATATTCATGGTCGACTGAATCAAACCAAATGAATCCAGTGATTGTTTCGTCAGTTAAATTCCCAAGTGTTTGTCGTCACTGAAAATGTAAATAGAGCAGGAATAAACAGTAACCGTATTTCTAAGAGACATTGAGACACCACAAATTTAGGAAAATATATCCAGTGGTTTCCAAACGACCATTTCACACATTTCAGAATTGTCTTGACGATTATGCAAAGAAACTGAAGTCTCTGTATTTCTCTTTTATTTCTTTTATTTTATGTGTAACTATGTTACAACCTAAATGTAGGCCTACATGCTTCACTGAGGACAAAACACCGAGGCATAAACAGAGTACTGTGGTGTATGCTGTCCAGTGCAGCGCGGAATGCTCGGTCCTGTACATTGGGGAAACTAAACAACTGCCTCACAAGCGCATGGCTCAACACAGGAGAGCCCAGGTCAGGACTCAGCTGTCCACCTTAACTTAAATGACACGGGTCACTCTTTCGAGGACAGCAATGTAAAGGTGTTGGCTAGAGAAGACAGATGGTTTGAAAGAGGAGTTAAAGAAGCCATCTTTACCAGACTGGAAACTCCACAAACATTCACACCTGGGACCAGATGACTCATGACATTCACACCTGGGACCACATGACTCAGGTGACATGAGTCACGTGATCATGTTAGGGGTCGTTAACGACCCTTTCAGGTTAACGACCCTTGGGGGGGGGGGAATGGTTTCTACGACCCATTCTTTTCAACTCCTCCCAGTCGTTGTCTGTCCCCTTCTCCAGTAAGATAAATATCTGCTCCTCACACTAGCAACAATTAGAACTGAAGAAGCTTCTTGGATAATAGGCGAAACGTCTTCTCAACTCTACACAGTTCAGTTGCCTGATTTTGGAGTCTTCAAGAAAACCACGACCTGGATGAATCAGAATCTACATGGACATGGCTATTTGCCGTCAAATAGCCTAACACAACAAAACTTTAAAAAACGTGCTTTCCATGGATTCAAACCCAGAAAGGGACCGACATGAAGCAGTGAATAACCGAGTGGGCTCTGTTTTATTAGGACTAAAAATGTTATTCACTATTTTATGGCACATTTTAACTGCAGGCTACTTTAACTTTAACTTGTTTTACCTTTCACATACCTTTCACAAGTGTGTGTCACACACACACGCACGCACGCACGCACACACACACACACACACACACACACACACACACACACACACACACACACACACACACACACACGGAGGGGGAGAGAGAGAGAGAGAGAGCCACCGTATCCTCACCTCCCTCCCTCATAGCCTGTTCTTCTTTAGGTGTCTCCTCTCCCTCTGACTGGATGTGACAGGTGATCAGCGGTCTTTCTGTATGTCTGTTTGTCAGTCTGCAGGGCACCAGCACCGTATGTTCGGGGACAGACTCCTTTCTGCCGCGGTGAGACTGGACGGATAAACTCACCATGGCGCAGGAAACCGGGGGGATCAACCGGCTTCTACAAGACGTGCTTAAGAGACCAGGCAACGAAACGTGCGCGGACTGCGGCAATCCAGGTACGCCCCGCCGGTCGGAGCCGAGTGCCAGGCTGTGATGTAGCCCGGTGTCTACAGCTGCAGTTTCACAATAATGAGGTAGACAAAAGATCCTTTTGATTCTTCATGACCCACCAGGTCTGGTTCTGATTTGAGATGGGGCCTAGCAGGACATATCTCCCTGAAAACACCCCTTTGGTTGATATATATTAAAAAAGACTAACAGACTGGATTTAGTAGGCCTTTGTGCCCTAAACACATTGTCAGCTTATTGCTGAAAAGAGAGTGTGCTTCCTTTGTGTGTTAGCAGTGTGGTTTCATTATGGTGACTGTTAGCAGACTCCTGAAGCATGGTTACCCAGCATGGTCAGTTTGCTCTTATCCTCTTCTTCTTCTTTTTATATTATTATTATTATTATTATTTTTTTTTTTTATAATTTCTTTTGCAGGATTATTCTCCTGTAAAGGGCTTCATCCATTTCTCCTTTTTCCTGCTCTCTTCTCTCCCCATGCATTCCCATTTTAATCCTCTTCATCCCACTGCCCCTCCTTTCTTCTCTCTGAAATGGCAATAAACTAGTAAGTGGCTACAGAGGCTTCAGTACGGGATGTACACCCAGTGATTGGAGCCCAGTCTGCTTAGGAGGTCTATTAATTGGCCTCGGTTACGGCTCCTTTGAGAACTGATTGTTGTGAGGTACAGTTTGGAGCCAGAGGAGATCATATTTGATAAGATAGCTTTGTCTGAGCTGCAGACACTAAAAGAGAGATGTGTTTTTGTTGAGAAAGAGGCAGGGATACCTTTTATATACTGTCTACATATCTTTTCATTATGTGGCTGTGCAGAAGGGTAACTGCCTGGTACTTTTAAGTATCTGGACTTTTTTTTGGCCTTATTCTTATGCCTTATGAACATTTGTTATGTATGTGTATTTAAAGCTCAAGAGAGATAGTTTAGAATAGTTGCCTGCTGCAGAGCAGGGACCAGGGCAGGGGGCAGGGGATTGGACAGGACAGGGAACGGGACAGGGCAGGGGGCTGCGTTTCAGTCTGGCACATGCCAGAGTTTAGGGGCAAGCTCTTTGCCCAATTTAAACAGAACTTGCCAGCCGAAATCACATCACATTTGACTACATGTAACCTTTACGCCCTTTTATTGATTATCTTTATTTTTTTCTGGTCTGCCATCAGGATTTTCTCTTCAGTTTTCTGACTCATCGGTTCACCTGCAGGTTGTGCACTGGTAGCATCCACAGTCTCAGTTTCAGGGCACTTCTCATCAGCACTTATCATTGCCAGGTTACGTTAGTAGTCTTGTGTCTCGTGGTATTAAAGCTTCCTTTGGTGGCAGTGTAGCGATTTCAAATTCAAAATAAACGTAGAAAATTAATCAAATTAAATTATGACATTTATGCACTCGTTGAAGGGGCACCACCCACCTTTCTGGTGGGAAAAGGACGAAACAAAGTTCAATTGAGTAATTAAACGTTAGATCAGTCTTAAACAGATTTAAATCAGTCTCTCATCTGAGGCCGGAATTCTTCATTCAGGGACTACTTTCTTAAAGACCACTAAGACGACAACTTAAAATTAAATGGACAATTTATTAACAAGCTATATGATAACAAAACGTCAATAAATGATGATCAAATAATGAGAAAATCAAAGCACATCTAATGAATAAACGAAGGAATGGTTTAAATTAAACCTAAGACTGGAGGTTAATGATAGTGAGTGAATAAGGGTAAATTTAACCTACGTTAACGGAGTTACGAGGGTAAATTAAAAAGGAATTTGGAGAACTAAACTATAACTTATGAGAGTAAGCTACTGAACGGTTGACGGCATCATCCAGTTCTCATCACAGCAGTTTCGAGGATTTTGCCTACTTTGGACGTCGGTTCTCAGCGGCACTCTTGGAATGGATCAGCTGAAGTTCTGTGGCTACCGGACCGGATACTGAAGGTTTGGCGGGGAGTTCTTCCGCCGTGTCTGGATCTCAGCTTCAGGACCGTGTCAGCGCCGTTAGATACTTCGGATCTCTGGGCCTCTCGGAACCGGGTGGTAAAGCAGCTCGGCAGATGATGCTGGTCGGCGTTCAGGACTAGCTTGGTTGCAGATTAATTCACGCCAATAACTTAAGAAAATAATTTAGCTGGCCAGTCGATATTATCTTCAGGAGTCACTTTAGTGAACAAAAATGGATTAAAAAGACTTAGACTGAGGTTCTCTTATGCGCGCAGCTTGTTACTGAGGCTTTAATCGACTTGGGTATGGTTTCATCCCAAGTTTTAGAAGAAAAATCTGAGCTTAAGGCACTTAATAAAAACGCGGGGAAAATTGCGAACTATAGACGGAGACAAAGAAAACTACGAACAAGACTAAACAAAAGACTAGACTCAAACGAAGACAAAAGAAAACTAGAACTAAAACTGAAGAGAAAACAAAAACTGAAGAGCGAGCAAAGACTCCCGGGCTCTTTTTAAACAATCCCGTGTGGGTGTGAACCAAGAGGAAAGTGACAGCCAATGTTGTAGCCCGATGCAGCACATCGACTGGCAGCGAATTAACTCAACTTGATATTAAAAGCGAGCTAGATCTAATTTACTCACTCACTATGATTAAACTGTTTGTAACATCACATACGATCACATTTCACTTCATTGTTTCTTATGAGCAGATGCATTAAAGCATGACATTGAAAACAGTAAACTTTGATCAGCCGTCTTCTCGATAATAAGAGGATTAACGACTTTTAAAAGTTAGAGAGGGACAGAAAACAAATTATCTGTTCGAACATAAACACCATCCAGCATAAGAAACACATACGTAATAATATTTGACAACATTATAACCTTGTCAATCAAGCTTCATAGATGATTAATATATATATTTGTGTGAGGTAGACAAACATAGTATGGATACATTCAGAAACTCTTAACTTGAGTCTAAACGAGTTTCACGTTACTACTTCTAAACTACTAGCCTATCTTGGGAATACCATTTCCTAAGCTATGAAGTGTATAAAACAAAAGGGAAGAAATACACATGATCAGATTCCTGCCATTTGGCTCTGATCAAACCATATTCAGGCATCACCACTAGGAGGAGCTCTTGATCCATGGAAAACCTGGAATAAATTTGTGAAGTTAACAGTTTGGCTTGTGGATATGTTACAAAATTGGGAAAAAGACCATTTCATTAAGAATGTGGTGTGCAGACAGAAAATTCTGGTGAAGTGTCCATTAAACATGAAGTTAAACCATTTTCAAGCATCCTCTTCCTCCTGCTCCTTGAAAGAACGCCATTGAGAGAAACAGTCACTCAAAGAACTTTATGGCAGGTATCTGGTTTTTCGGACCTGGCGCCAAATGGTTTGTTTTCCGTTTTAGGTCATTGGGTTAATTCTGAAGTGTCAATTCTGATCTTTCCCAGCCAGGGTGAGAGACTCCGTGTTTATGGGTCTGTGTGGTTGATAAGCAACTTGTCCTTTTGGGAGGCGTTAAAGATTCACTATCACCTCCCAAATGGTTTCCTGGGTCGTAAATGGGAACTTGGTGTGTAAACCGTTACTCCCCCATTGCCTGTCCAAACCAGGGGAGCCTGCATTCCTTTGAGGGGTGGATTCAATGTGGATAGCAGAAAGCAGTTGTCTCGCTACAGCAGCTAGGGCAGCAATTGACCAAAGAAATTCTTGGTCAACAAAAACTTGAAATTTTTCGACCAAAAATCGACTTACGGGTGTGGGGGGGTGTCCCCCGACTCTGCATCGGCTCGATAGGGCATGGCTCGTTGGAGTGAAAATATACTGATATCAGCACAAGAAGGCAATTAAACATGAAAGTTGAAACGCTCATTATAAAAATAAATATTCAGCAAACCACCGGACAATGATGAACGTGGACACTCTTCAATCTTCCTGTCTCCAGCCAGTCTCCAGTGGGTTGGGCGAATCCAAAATGGTGAAAACAAGGGAGGTGTTATGAGACAAGCTGTTACCTGTGATATAGGGGTGCTCTGAAAACACCCCCATTAGCCTTTGGTATATTCCTCCTGATAAAATTAACCATAGGCTGTAAATTGATTGAAACTCTCGCCTTCCATGACGTCATGGACGGCAATAACTCCTCCCCTCCAGGTTGGTGACTCTGCCCAAGATGTTTGTTCTGCCCCCCTAAAGAAATTTCCACTCAGACACTATTTTTCTCCCTCGCAAACGCTGGTTCAAAATGGCTACTACTTAATCTATTTTTACCTTTTTCTTTGTCTGAAGTTTTAAAGGTCCAGTGGATTCATTTTGTTTTTGATGGAAATGTACCCACAACAACTCCTAAAATGTTGTATGTGTGTGCCTACCACTTCACTTCAGACTGCTTTCTCAACAAGTGCCAGTACAAAGCAGGATTTCCTAAAACCTGAAGCTAACGCCTGGATCGGTACCCACTGTCCACGACCCAACTAACATGAGAACTGTAAGTTTTTCTATTTTATACAGTCACGAAGGATTACAATACTTACAATGTTGCGCATTCACCAAAAGAGCGCAAAGTAAAGAGAAGACAGTGGTGTAGCATCAAGACAACCCTGTGTGTGAAACTCACACATTCCTGAGAGGAGGTCAGAGAAGCAGGCCACTTACCTCCAGACCTCCGTTGTAAAACCCTGCCAACCAAATACTGATAAAACTGCATTCCCGAGCAGAAAGAATACAAATGACTGATCGTGACATGTTATGCATTCAGCAATGTACTAATCAGTCTAATATTAAATTTGTGTTAAAATGAGATGTGTCCCATTTTTCTACGTGCTCCAGAGGCCAAGTTATCACTCTGACAGAATAAATCCTTTATTCTTTAGTTTCTTTAGACTAACAGCCTTTCAGACAGTTTCATGAACTCTTAAGAGTTAAATTTATTAAGTGTAAATCATAATTTTACTCTAAATAACAAACAGTTTAGAAATGTTTGGTTGATATTTTCATCATTTATTTAGTATTTAGTATATATATTAGGTGGTTATAATGTCAGTGAATAATCTGAATGTGAGTATACAGAACCCATTTTTAATCATGATAGGGTTCATTCACATGTATTTACTCTTTTGTTGTTCACAGTTTCTATGTGTCACTAGCTGTTTCAGTTCCGAGTAATTTAGCATGTTCAGTGTGATACTTAAAACATAATCAGAGTGTTTGATATAATTCTACAATTCTTTATATGTGTTTAGTATTAAATCATTTATTGTGAACCAAGCAGTCAATAACATCAATCATCGCAAGCGAGTATCAGATCTGACTCTTTTGCTACCCAAAAGTATAAATTGGATTAAATAATCAGGGATCTTGAAGGTCTCCTCTCAAGGAGCTGCAGCAGGAGACAAGCGACTGCTCCTCTCTCTTCTCACACACACACCCCAGAGACACTCCCAGTTCGAAGAAGATAAAACCAGTAAAGTTGGGGTTCTCACTTCTCCTTTTGTTTCCGCTTAGTTCCCTCTTGGCTTGTTTTTGCTTAGCTCTTACTCTTACTACTTAGTCTTACTTTTTCTACGTCCTCCTCTAAGTTTTACACCACATGTTCATTCACGTTGTTTGATTTTTAAAAATATCATCTTAGTTCAAGTTTTGAAACTTCAACTATTTTTGTGCGAATAGCAATTCAAGATTAAGCCTGTAACTTATTTTTCTTTAATTTCGCAAAGTCAATTTTGAAATAGTTTAGATGGGCCATCACGCTTCTTTTTCTTAGTTATCTGACTTTGGTCCTCTTCTGGGCCAAACCTCTCAAACCACTGGCAGCCTGGACTTTTGGTGAACTTGCTCCATCTTCTCCAAGGACCAGCCTCACATAAGTATGCAAACTTCCAGAGCTCCAAACAAGACTGATGCTGTCTCATGCATTCATGATTCAAATAATCGCACATTCAGGTTATCCTAAATTCATCCAAATCCGTGTCCAAATTTATCTCTATACCAAAGTTAATGTATGTTAATATGTTAGAGCATATTCACTCACTAACTTTAGTAATCCTAGCTTAACTTAGAATCTTTTTTATTCATCTATTATTATTTATCTTCATTATCTAATTATCATTAATCGCATGTATCTTGTACCATCATATAGCCTGTAATAAACAGATCATTTATTTCTAAGTTCTTGTCTGTTCATGTTCTTTCAGAAGTGCAGTCCGTGAAGTGAGAATTACGGCTTGAGATGTGAGATTGATTAATTTAAGGTTGACTAAATGGTTGATTTCTGAATTACACTTTTTTTTTCTTAATTTTTCCCACTGTCAAGGGTGGGTGGTGCCCCTTTCAATGAGTGCATAAATGTCATGATTTAATATTATTATTTTGGGACATTTATTATAATTTCAAATCGCTACAGCAGAGATGTAACCATTAGCAGGAGCTAATGTTACCTAGCTACATGTAAGTCACTGTGTACCAACACACGAACAAAGAAAAAAGAAAAATATCAAGACATATAATATTTTTAACTAGGGCTAGGCGATAAAACGATAACTATATACATATATACAGTACAGGCCAAAAGTTTGGACACACCTTCTCATTCAATGTCTTTTCTTTATTTTTTTATGACTGTTTACATTGTAGATTATTACTGAAGGCATTAAAACTATGAATGAACACATGTGGAATTTTGTACTTATAAAGAAAGTGTGAAATAACCGAAAACATGTTTTATATTCTAGTTTCTTTAAAATAGCCACCCTTTGCTCTTGATGACAGAAGTACCTTGTCAGGGTTACTTCAGGCACTCCTGTGAAGTAAAAACCATTTCAGGTGACTACCTCATGAAGCTCATTGAGAGAACAGCTAAAGTTTGCAGCGCTATCAAAAAAGCAAAGGGTGGCTACTTTGAGAAATCTAAAATATAAAACATGTTTTCAGTTATTTCACACTTTTTTCTTAAGCACATGATTCCACGTGTTCATTCATAGTTTTGAGAATCTACAATTTAAATAGTAATGAAAACAGAGAAAACGCATTGAATGTACTGTACTGTACTGTATATATATAAAATTAATTGTCCTTAATACTGATATAAAACATGGTCAATGTGCTTTTTGATAGTTGGCATTCTGCTATGTTTTGGTAGACTATACAAAAAGCCAATGATAAGGAGAGTTGCTCCGGGTCTGCTTCATGCTAAACCAATCATGTGCTGAATTAGAACCAAGTAGCAAACAACTGCGTAGTAGCATACTGCAGCTACATGTAACCATAGCACTTTAACACATGAAGCTGACAGCACTGTTGGTGAGAAAATAAGGAAATGAGTGCTACCCCTGGCAGATGAAGGCTCAACAGATGATAACATTGTCGACAACACTGGCACGAAAATGTCGGTATTGGTTTTTTGAGGTCAGACATGAAGCAGAGTAATGTGCACTGCAAATTATGTTGTACATTTTCTCACAAAGTCGAGGAATACCTCAAATAATTTTCATCTCCTGAAGCAGTGCCATGCGGCCAAGCATGCGCAATGCAAAAGATTACAAACCCTGAACGGAGTAAGAAGGCCATGGTGCCTGTGCAGCCAAAACATTCAGTCCGCTTTCTCTCACGCAACGCCCTATGACAAAATGTCAAAGAGACACAAAGACCTCACAGATGCAGTAGCCTATTGTATTGCAAGACATGCTACCAATAAGCACTGTTAAATTTCATTTAAGAGAAACAGAGAACATTTAAGATTGACAAGTGATATTTCTATATCGTGATATCAATATCGACTGACATGTAAAAAATGTATTGTGATAAACTTTTTCCCATATCACCCAGCCCTATTTGTAACTAACCATTCAGAAACGTCCTGCTGCAGCTGCAGAGTTGGAATTTCTTTAGGAGCCTCTCCTTTTGGGTCAGACACTGGATCAAACTGGTACAGTTGGACCACAGTGCTTCTACAAGCCACACCTAGCACTCTGTGTAAATATTAGCCATAGTACCATAGCGCAAGCCACGCCCCCCTCTTCCAGAGAGACAGGGAGGGGCGTGGTTTGTGCTGAAAGAGGCATGGCCAGACACAGCACTCAGGCTGTGTCTCATTTCAGAGACCGCACCGTCGAATTGCGCATTTGAAGCGTGCGTGAGGTCATCACGCGGCGCGAACGGTGTCCCCTTTGGCACAAAATTTAGAGATTTAGAGATTAAAGTTGTAAATTTAGGAGAATAAAGTCATAAAGCTGCTTTTGTGGAGGGGGAAATGACTGAAGCTGGTCATCTGTAGGGTCATCGGTGGATGTATCAGCGGGTCATTCAGTTTTTGTGGTTTCTGAAGAAACAATCCAACTGATGATCAACATTTGAGATCCAGAGGGAGTCGAGCTCCGACTAGCACCACGTCTAAACTAAAGCTCAATGTCATTCACGGATATTAACGGCTGCATAAACGGATATATCCTTAGCATATTCATTTCTGCCTCCACAAAAGCAGCGATTTCCTTCAAGTACACCTGTGTTTTTCCCCGTGGAAAAGATGTATTTCTCATATATTCTTTTTTAAGTCCTTATACTTATGACAATGTAATGCTGATGTGCCAAAGGATGAAGTATCTCCTTGTTTGTGAAACCTTTACTGAAGCACAGTTCCTTTAAATGCTTCATGGCCCTAATCTTAACAACTCTCCTTTGAAATAACAGGCTACGACTTTATTCTCATAAATTAATGACTTTATTCTCGTAAATTCACGACTCAAAGTATTTAAAAAAATTCTCAATATGGCACTCATGCCCCTTCATACAAAATAATCATTGGATTAATTTTTTGGGAATGATCTGTGCTTGTATGAATCTATTGTTTTGTGTCTGTGCAAGGTCGCACAATTAAAAAAATAAATGCTGCGCTCTGTGGCTTTTCTTCAAGTCAGTCTTGACACAAGCCTGAGGGTGGAGACATTTGGCGACTCAACCAGGAAGTCCTCCAAAGGGTAGTGTGTCCCATTTCAGCGACCGCATCAGGCTGAGAGCGCTTTAACGCACTGCCGTTATGTGGACTGGAGTACCCTGGGTGAGATGGTCTGTCAGGCTTGCGTCACGACTGACTTGAAGTAAAGGAGAGTTGTTAAAATTAGGGCCATGAAGCATTTAAAGGAACTGTGCTTCAGTATAGGTTTCACAAACAAGGAGATACTTCATCCTTTGGCACATCAGCATCACATTGTCATAAGTATGAGGACTTTAAAAAGAATATATGAGAAATACGTCTTTTCCATGGGGAAAAAAACAGGTGTATTTGAAGGAAATCGCTGCTTTTGTGGAGGCAGAAATGAATATGCTGAGGAAATATACGTATATACAGCTGTAAATATCCGTGAATGACATTGAGCTTTAGATTATGATATGAATCCATATTCATATCATAAAGCGCACTTAAGTGCGCTTATCCTGATGCGGTCTCTGAAATGAGACACAGTCACAGAAACAGCGTGTTCTCAGTAGAGCTCACTAGAGAGAGTTTTCAGGCTGGCTGAAGTCCAGGAAAAAATGGGTTCTCAACAAACTTCAAATTGACTGTTCTGGGCACTCTGAGACCTATGTGAACCTGCTGAAAAGGAGTATAACATGGAAGCTTTAAGATTGATTGGCTGAGGATTGAGAAGAGACAATAACAAGCTATTTAAGATATGGAAACAGCATTTGAGAATTTTCTTTTTCTTTTTCAATAGACAACACATCACTGCTCTTGTTGGTATCATCAGTCTTTTTTGGCAAAAGTGAACTCCTTTGAACTGAGGGAGCTGTGAGTTTAGAAAGTAAAGTCTCTCTCTTGAAATTGTAGGGTTCATTTTTGCCCTTAAAGAAAGGGTGACATTATTTCCAAATGTCCAATGAGGGACACTTTGATTTTGACCAACCCACAATGGGGATGAAGGTAGCAACCCCCCCCCCCCCCCCCCCATCAAGTGGAAATTAACAGCAGAATGTAAATGTTTATGATATCCAAAGACACTTTCCAAATAAGAACAGGTCTAGACCACACTCATTGTATTATGAAACTAAGACCCAACCTTAAGATGGGACAGATTTTACCCATCTCATCTAACCTGAGAACATAACTTTGAATTTTCAAGTGCATTCAAGACCATCCAACCCACCATACTCAAAGATAAGCTCACAGAGATGGGAGTGGATCCTGCCTGTGTTTCCTGGATCACAGATTACCTGACAGGAAGGCCACACTTTGTCAGGCTGGGGAACTGTGTTTCTGGGACATTAATGAGCAGTACAGGTGCTCCACAAGGGACAGTGCTAGCGCCATTCCTGTTCACACCGTATATGTCAGACTTCAAATACAGCACTGAGTCCTGCCACATCCAGAAATATTCAGATGACACCGCTATTGTGGCATGTATCAGAAATGGACAAGAAATTGACTACAGAGATCTGATAAGAGCCTTCAGTGAATGCAGTCACAAAAACTGCCTCCTCCTCAACACCTCAAAGACAAAGGAGATGGTCATAGACTTCTGTAGATCCAAACCCCCTCTTCAGCCAGTGAACACCTGTGGAATGGACATCTAAGTGGTGACATCATATAAATACCTAGGTGTACATCTGGATAATAAGTTGGACTGGTCTAAGAATATAGACTTCATTTACAGAAAGGGAGTCTTTTGCCAGAGAGGACTCCGATCAATGGACATCCGTAGTAAGATGCTGCAGATGTTTTATCAGTCTGTGGTGGCAAGTGTTCTGTTCTACACTGCAGTCTTCTGGAGAGGAAGCATCAAACAAAAGATGCAAGACGTCTTAACAAACTGGTGAAAAAAGCTGGCTCTGTGGTTGGACTCAAGCTGGACTCAGTGGAGGATGTAGTGGAGAGATCTACACTGAGGAAGGTGGTGTCCATTGTAAAGAACATGGATCACCCACTTCACAACACCTTGATGGAACAAAGGGCCAATGGTGGTGAACAGCTCCTCTCTCTTCGCTGCAGGACAGAACGATTCAGAAGATCTTTTGTACCAACAGCCATTAGACTTTATAACTCTTGTGTAAATAGTAGATAGCTTTTGGAGACAAATTGTGTGAGACAACAGACAATTGAATTTCCCTTCGGGGATAAATAAAGTTATTCTTATTCTTAGAAAATAATATGTCCCCCAATCTTCTCCGGTGAACTAGGTTGTCTTCTAAAGATTTCAATGAGACACATGAGTGATCGTCAAGCCAAGCAATGACAGGATGTAGCTGGAAGGATTGGTGGTATACTTTGAAATCTGGGAGGGCCAGCCCGCCCTGGTCTTTGGGTGGATCGGAGAGAGTGTCTGTAAACAGCAATTTTCAAGTCTAGCCGCAGATGCTCAATGGGATTTAGGTCTGGACTTTGACTTGGGCATTCTAACACATGAATATTGTTTGAGCTAAACCATTCCATCATAGCTCTGGGTCTATTTAGGGTCATTGTCTTGCTGTAAGGATTGCTCTGTATTTAGCTCCATCCATCCTCCCATCAACTCTGAAGAAAAGCATCCCCACAGCATGAGGCTGCCACCACCATGTTTCTCAGTGGAGATGGTGTGTTCAGGGTGATGAGCAGTGTTACTTTTCCGCCACAAATAGTGCTTTGCATTCAGGCCAAAAAATTCAACTTTGGTCTAATCTGACCCGAGCACCTTCTTCCACATGTTTGCTTGGCTTGTGGCAAACTGCAAACGGGACTTTTTATGTCTTTCTGTCAACAAGGCTTTCTTCTTGCCACCTTTCCATTAAGGCCAGATTTGTGGAGTACACGACTTACAGTTGTCCTGTGGACAGATTCTCCCACCTGAGCTGTAGATTTCTGCAGCTCCTCCAGAGTGACTATGGGCCTCTTTGCTGCTTCTCTTACCAGTGATTTCCTTGCTCGGTCTGTCAGTTTAGGTGGACAGCCATGTCTTGATAGGTTAACAGTTGTGGCATACTTCTTCTATTTTATGATGATGGATTGAACAGTACTCCTTGAGATGTTCAAAGCTTTAGATATTTTTTTATAACCTGATTCTGCTTTAAATTTCTCCACAACTTTTTCCCTGACCTGTCTGGTGAGTTCCTTGGTCTTCATGATGCTCTTTGTTGACTAGTGTCCTCCAACAAAGCACTGAGGCCTTCACAGAACAGTTGTATTTATGCTGATACTAAATTACACACAAGTGAACTCTATTAAATAATTAGGTGACTTCTGAAGGCAATTGATTGCGCTGCATTTTAGTTAGGGGTATCAGAGTACAGGGGGCTGAATACAAATGCACACCATGCTTTTTAGACTTGTATTTGTTTACATTTTTGAAAACCATGTATCATTTTTGTTACACTTCATAACTATGTGCTACTTTATGTGCTAATCTCAATAAAATACTTTTAATTTCATGGTTGTAGTGACAAAATGTAAAAAAGGGGTATGAATAATTTTTCAAGGCACTGTATATGTAGGGACATCGTCCACAAAGGTGGACAGAGTATGAGATGTCTGTCTGATTCGGAAAAGGGACATGACCAAATTTTGCCAAAGGTGCTGCGTAAACAGTTTGAGGGAGAGAACAAACAGGCTTGGGGAGAGGCAGCCGCCCTATCTCATACCACTGAAAATAGGAAAGGGTCTGGATGTTTGTGTTGACCATAGCCAAGGGGTTTGCATACAGAATTTGTACCATCTTAATAAAAGCTTCACCTAGTTAAAATTTTTGCAGTACAGCCCACAAATGCTGCCACTCAACCCTGTCAAAAGCTTTGGCCGCATCAAGTTACAAATTAGCACATGGCACCTGAAGCTGTTTAGATTCTTCTATTATATGCATTAAACGCCTAATGTTATCTGCAGCAAGATGGCCCTTCATGAACCAAGCTTGGTCAGCGTGAATTAGTTTTAGTGCCAGCAACTTGGAGTAAATGTTCAGATCCGAGTTTATCAGAGACACGGCTCTATAGTTAGAGCATTGCAGTTTGTCCTTGCCCTTCTTTGGAAACAATGAGATTAAAGCTACATTGGTGTGTTCATGAAAGGCACCTTTTTTTAAAGCAGTCTGGATGGAGCTCAGAAGAACCGGTCCGAGGAGGTCCCAGAAATGCAGGAGCACTTCAGGCGTAATCCCATCAGGGCCTGGAGATTTCCCTCTTAACAAAGTTATCGGACAGCCCAGGTCAGCTGCCTCTCCAACCCTTCCAAAAAATTATCACACACTTCTGGGTAAAAGCTGTCAGACGATGTGTATAAATCCATTTAGTATCCCTGAAAGGGGTTGTTTATCTCTGCTCGATTCGAAACCAGGCCTGTAGTAGGGTGGTGTATTGAATCGATGGACGCTTTTGATTCACACTGTTTTAATTTTAGGGCCAGAAGCCTGCTGGGCTCACTTCCGTTGCAATAGTAATTTTGCCTAGTTCTATTAATTCTGCTTATTTGCGTAATAAATCATTCAGCTCTTGTCTAACGACCTGCAACTCGTCACTAACTGTGTCAGAATAGTTCTGCTCAAGAGCCCTCCCTAGGCATGAGCATTTCTCCTCTAACTCCTTAATCTTAAGATTCCTAACCTTTTTCACATGTGAAGCGTACGACGTAGTAAAATCAAGGCTAAAACCCTTTGTTGCCATCCACACAAACCTAGCATCATCAACAGAGCCTATATTGTCTTGGAGGAATCTGGACAGTTTAGTTCTAAATTCATAGACAAATGCAGTGTCATTTAAAAGAGAGGTGTTGAACCCCCCCACTGACACTGCACACTGACACTGTTCTCTGTGGGAGTTTAGATCCTCAGCTAAAAATTATGATAAAAATCATTTGAAACCATAACATTTTGATTAAACTAGCCACAAAGTCAGAACTTAACCTAAAACAATGACTAAAAAGAAACAAAAAAGGTTTTGAACTCTGGGCTCATTGTATTGTTGTCTCCTACAAATCAACAACACAAGGTACAACACGATACAATATCCAAACCTATAAATAAACAGTTTCAATGCTGAAACATGTCTGCCCATGTTCTAAGCCCAGGGACTGCCACTGTGTTAGAGTCCTTAACCTTTGTATTAAACTGCAGAAACCTTGCGCAGAATCAAACTCATGTTAAAGAGCCATCTGTTGAGACCACATTGGGCTTGGAAAGAAGGACAGAGAGAAATGCAGAAAAAGAGAGTGACAAAAAGATTTACAACAACATCAACAACAATGACAGCGAGAGCAGCTTATACAGACTCCTGGTTAGAGTGCCATCAGTAACAGTAGAATTATGTTGTTTTTTTACCAGCAAATTATTGCTAATAGACTGGCTTTGATTGATGGCACGTCTAGCACCAACATTTTCAAAAATCATAGACAATAAGTCAGTATTGGATGAAATAATTTTCTTAGCCAGCTTGAAGATCATTGATGTAATATTTTCACAAAATTTTAGTAAGAAGTTGATCCACGTCATGCTAGATATATATTTTTTCTTTTATGAGGTTTCATGTTATTGACTGATGCCAAAAATGGTATACCTGACAGATTCATATTTTGGTCTATAATTGCAATAACTCACAGTTTTAGTTACCCAGAGTCAAAGGAGAGATGGATCCAAAAGTCCAAATGTTTGTTTTTTATGCAAGTATCAATTGTAATATTTGTCATATTTTGCGCTCTGAAAATGATCCAGTTTGTGTTTCTGCCTGACAAGCTTTTATTTGAACATCAAGATTATTTCTACACTGAGGGCTCTATTTTCGTGCCTCGCCGGAGACGTAAGTAAGTCAGGTCCGCCACGCCGACAAGGCGTTCCCAAGCACAATTTGGTATTTTGGTGAGCAGCGCAGCCCGGCGTAAGTATCCCCCCTCCCTAACTCAGCTCCTCCCAGCGGCATAAGTTGTAGTGAGGGAGGAGATAGGGCGTGGAGTGGGTTTAACACAGCCGAGACCTGTTTTCACCAATCACATCAGCTCCTCTCCTTGCCTTTAAATCCGCCACAGGCGAGGCATATTACCATTTTCGGGAAGTAGTCAAAGAGACCAAGAGACGTCTGAAGACAGTTCTGCCACACAATGGCGACAGAAGGCAGCTCCTCAACAAGTGTCACTGTAAGCGCAGCATTGGGCGTCCCCCACACTCTCTTATATGAGCACAGATGGATTTGGTGTGTGTAATGTTGGACCCACTGGTAAGACAAACACCCTTTTCCACAAATAAAGACACTCACATGAAGTTGCACCGCACGTGACAAAGGTGGGTTGTGCGCACAGATCACAACATTAACTCCAAAAATGGCATTAAAATTGGAACCATCTGTGCGTAAATGACACATCGCGCTCCGTGGCCTGGCTCTTTCTTTCATAGATGTTGGCATATGAAAATAAATTTGCCTCACAAAACTGAATATTATTATATCCATATGTCGGCTTAAAGTAGATAACTCATCTGAGCACTGAAACAAATCATCTGTTCAGCTGCTGCTGCAGCAGGATGGAGAGAGGACACGGAGACGTGTCCAGGTCGAGCTGTGCGAGAAATAAGAGGAAGAGGAAGAAAGAAGAGGGAGACGAATTACATATCTAGCTAACTTCATCATGTGTGTCTATTTACTAGATATTTAATTTAATTTAATGCGGTTTCAGCTGTGTTGATTCGGTCAGGTTGTGTGTCCAAACGCATGCCAAACGCGCTCATCAGATCAGATATAGATCAGAATATATCGATATAGATCTAAATGTATGTGCTAACTCAGATTATTAGTTGTTGATGATTATTTATTGCACTGAAATTTGCCTGACACTGTGGAAACCTGGCGGTGAGGCATCAGTGACGTATGCCGATACGCTGCCGGTCTACCAAAATACTACTAGACCAGCTGCGCTCCGCCTGCGCTGAAAGCTGACCAGGTTTGAATCGGCAAGCTTTCAGCGCACTTTACACGCCGGTGGTGAGCACGAAAATGTCACTGCGCCCGCTGATTCTGTCGACACCTCCCGCTGCCACGCCACCACGCCCAGCTTGGCAGATCTCGGTTCGCCTCCGTGCGCCTCAGTCCACGAAAATACCAAACTGGCTGTACGCCGGGCTCCGCCAGACAAAAATACAACTGCACGGGACTCGCCACCCTCCGCCGCCTCACGGGCGTACACGAAAATAGAGCCCTGAGTGTAAGATCAATCTACACTTTCACTTTTACCTCTTCATAGTTGACACTTACTTCTCATTAGTCTTTCACTGTCCCTGGCACACTCCAACCTCATTAGCATGAACAGACTCAGAGTCAGAGTTAATGTGTGATTCTGTGACTCATTGTATCTTTGCTTAACACCCATAGATGCTGCATCACACTGAGAGAAAAGCCTCTCTTTTCCATTTTATTACTACCTGTGTAGTGAGAACTGCTTATTTCTCTAGCATTGAAGTTTGTATATTTTGTTTAGTCACATTTTTTTATGCTAGCAGCAGGCAGCATGCAGACTGTTTAAGGTTAAAGTGTGTGTGACTTTTCACTTCTCCTGTTACTTTTCTCCACTTTTGTTTGTGGGTTTTCACCTCAAGTCTATATGCATGCAGGTGTATGTATTGGGGCTGGTGTTGTAGCCTGGTAGCTTTCCTTTACAGAAGACACATTTAGCCAGATTTTAATTATGACATTTGCTCTATTGCACCTATTCCCTTTTTTCAGCATGACCATTAACACTCTCAGAATACACAGCCTGAACCTGCAGCTGTAGTTACTTTTCCTCTCTCCACCAGCATTTCACCTATTATGACGATTCGCCTTGCCAAGTTTTTATTTTCCTCTCTCCACTCTTTCTTCTTTAAGCTTACCCCAACACTGTGATTTTTTTCAGCTCTGATTCTTTTTTGTCTCTTTCCTCCTGCAGAGCCAGACTGGGCATCGCTGACATTAGGTGTGTTTATTTGCCAGGCCTGCTCGCTCCTTCACCGGAGTATTCCCCACATCAGCCGAGTCAAGTCTATTCAGGAAACATGGGATGCCAGTGATATTGAGGTAGGTTGATGACAGCAAGCATCTATAGAAGGATATACTGTACATACAACTCCTTATATTCAGTCAATGAACTAATCTTTGTACAATGCCAATTCACAACTGTCGTCTGGTCATGTCCCCTGTGTCCCCCCTAAAAAATACGTCCGTGGTCTGAAGACACTTAACAAAAAGCTGGATTAAACCTCTATTAGAACTCTATTTGCAAAGACCCAATGTAAATATGTGAGCAGACTGAGCTTTGTTCTGAAAAATCAGACCCACTCCCATCCCACCTTCAACCAAGGAGTGAAACACTGTACAGCATTTATCAAGATACATTGGAGAGGAAAAATTTCCTTTAACAGGCAGAAACCTTGAGCAGAACCCAACTCATGTTAGACAGTCATCTGCTGAGACTGAGCTGGGTTTAGAGTGGGGAGAGAGGGAGATGGAGAACGAGAGAGATGAAGAAAAAGAGAGATGGGCAGAGGAGAGACTGCTGCACATAGACAAAGAGAGGATGGAGAAGACAGGAAAGGTGTTCAATATACCAGAACCCTGGCGGTTTAAACCTATAGCTGAAAAACTCAGAGCTGTCCGGACCTGAACCAGGTCTAACTATAAGCTTTATTGAAGAATGTCTTCAGTATACTCTTAAATGTAGAGAAAGTGTCTACCCCCCACACCATGACTGGTAAATGATTTCAGAGGAGGGGGACCTGATAACTGAAGACTCTCCCACCCAGACCACTTTTAGAGGATTTGGGTACAAGGAGCAGACCTGCATATTGGGACCTTTGTGTTTTAGAAGGGTAAATGATGTGGTCTCTTCTCCTGGTTCTGGTCAGTACTCGGGTTGCCGCATGTTGGACTAGCTGAAGAGTCACCAAAGACTTGTTAGGGGGTCTGATTAAAGGGAATTACAGTATACCAACCAAGAGGTAAAAAATGCATAGACCTGTTTTTCTGGGTAACTCTGAGACAGGATGTGTCTGTTTTTTAATATTACTCAGGTGAGAAAAGGCAGTTGTGGAGATTTATTGAATATGGGAGTTAGAGAACTTGGGCTTTTACCAGTGGTGCGTGATGCCAGACTGATGCTATCCACTGCAGTTACATCATTAGAAAATGTCTCTCTTAGGGGTTTGGGGCCCAGAACAAGATGGGGCCCAGGTGTTTATGTCTTTAAGACGGGCTTCAAGTGAAGGTAATCTGTCATTTTCTCCTGGTTTCAGTAACAGGTACAAGTGAGTGTCAATAACTAACCTTGGTATGCTCTGAAGAATTTTCATCAACTTGTACAAACTGGTAACAATCTGACAAATCTGATTTAAACTAAGCTAAGGCAATTCCTGTAAAACCTATTTGTAGTTCAAGCCTCTGTAACAGGTTCTGATGGTCAATCGTGTCAAAGCAGCACTAAAATCCAACCAAACAGAAGACCAGTGTGCACGGCCATTAGGAGATCATTGGTCCCCTTGGTAGTGCAGTTTCAGAGCTATGGTGGACTCTAAATCCTGACTGAAAATCCTCAAATAAATCTTGCTGCTGAGAAAGTCACATAGCCGATTAGCTATGACTTTCTCAGGTAACTTTTAAAGGAGGGGAGGTTTTGATACCCTTGTTTCAGAGCGGAAGTACCGTTGTTGTGTGTTGTCGCCCGTTGATCAGCAGCTTGCTCTGTGTTAAAGTTTAGCAACTTGTGGAGGTAAAAATTGTAAATATGAGTTTACATTTGCGACTAATCAAAATCTTTTTTTTTTTGACTTAGTGTTGATCAGTGCTCTGTAGCTAACCAGCTAGCTATGTCTAGCATCATCTGTTCTGCTGTTATGGGATGCCATAACAACTGGATCGAGAGGAGAGAGCAGTTGAAATAGCGTTGTTGTAAGTGTAAAGTGGAGAGACAGGACTGTTGTGGAGTGGCATGCAACCTGCATCCACCCTCTAAAGGCGAGGAGCACTTGAGGCTGTGGCTAAAGGCACTGAACCTGAAGCAATCCCCCAAGGGTTCGTATGTCTGCTCCTTCCATTTCATGGATAGTAAGCCAACAGACGAGCACCCTTATCCCAAGAAATAGCTCGGCCATGATTCTCCGGAGAAGAAGTCATGCCAGGTGTTAAAGAGTTTGTATGATTCAGGTAAGCAAGCATATTATTGACGTTGCCTTTGTTGTTAGCAAAAAGTTACACGTATAAAATTCTGTGCTCTGAATATATTAAACAATCTGTAATGATCAATTAACTGATTGCAATGAATTTGTAAGATTATCATTGCAGTTACCCACATTTTTTTTTTTTACATTTACAGTGTTATATTAGCTCATATTCTCTAGCTATAGTTTTTAACCTCTACAATACAACACCATTACCCCAATACAACCATATTACATTACAATACAATACCATTCAGGGGACTACAAGCCAGCTTCGACACAAACAGCCAAATTCAGAGCACTAATCATGTAGAAATATAGCCATGTTGCACATTAAACTAAACAGGAATAACTCAGCTACATGCCTAGACCTTGAAGTTGCAGAGATGTAATATTTTCTTTATTGACATATAATTTTCAGGCAGATGGCTTAAAAAGAGGCGGGGGCTTAAGAGGTTGTAATGCGTGCCTTGCATGATTTTAAGGGTTGCCTGGCATTGTAATAATTCTCATGATGACTGACCCTCAAAAACATTCAACATTGACTTGTGCAAACACTTGGTTGAAGTTTTTAGGCTCAGTGTGAAAATATGTTTATGGTTATGCTTTTTCAACAGATACATCAGTGTGTGTCAGCAATGCAGCACAGAACAACACAGAACAGTGAAGACGAGTGTGAAGACGAGGATGACCATAAGCTAGTACCTACACACTGTAACAAAGAAACCCAGTGGTAGTACTAATCCAAAGTACCACTTCACCTGAAGCCCTGTCCATATGATGTAGGGACACAGTACAGTGAGCCATGTGCACTGTACAAAACTTAACTGGGGAATGACATCCTTTGTCAGCTTTACACAGGATTGTCTTTGGATGCATTTAACTCTGTTGCTGAGCACCTCATCAAAGTCTACAATGACAGTTTTCATATAAACCCATGGGATCAGCTTTTGATGACCCTGATGAAGCTGCGTCTGAACTTATTACAGAGTGACCTTGCTGAAAGGTTTGGTGTCTCTCAAACCATTGTAAGCAAGATTATTACAAGCTGGATTGACCTCATGGAGGAGAACATGCGGTGTTATATACCATGGCTTCCCAGGGAGACAATACAAGCAACAATGCCTCAGTCCTTTTAAATTCATAACTGCAATCATAACAACTTCAATCATAAACATTTACATTCTGCTGTTAATTTTCACTTTTGACTTTTGAATTGATTAATGATATATATTCAGACAGAAGCCACAGGAAATGTAAAAAACTGCTGTATTAATTGTTCATTAATATGACAGTTTATTACCCACTTGTAAACATGAAAATGTATTACCTGTTTGTAAATATGACCAGATGTTACCTATCTTTTTTATAAACATAACACTTAGACATGGATTAACTTTTACACTTTGAGAAATAAACTTTGATTTTAAAGGAATTTATATGGATAATAAAACTTGTTTTTAAAAAGGCAAAAGCTTGTAAGGATTTTATCTTTATTTATTTTAATAATGTGCTTTGAAAAGTTAGAAATTAACTTCTTTTGGGTTTCCAATTGTATTAATTTTTTTAATTGCATAATTAAATGGATTATGCAGTAATGGATTAGGCAGTAATTCAAAATATACAAAATATTAACTTAAGAAGCAACAATAACATTTAACAATTAGGCATTTCCTCAATATGGAAGTAAAATGGAACTAATTATTAACCTAACTTCAATAATACATTTGAACATTCAAAACCAATGTCTGTACCAGTCCTACCTAAACTGCATTTTCCAGGTAATTCTTTGCAAAGCTGTGTGTATGTTGAGGACAGCAAAAGAAGGCCTGCCTGAAACTCATCTGACACTTGAGGGAGCATGTGCTTAAAATAAAATGATTTAAGTCTAACTACAGCTGTGTTGCTGAATTGCTCATTGTAGGGGACCAGTAGCAAAAATTGCTGTGAGGGAGACCAGATAAACAGCTTACAGGCTCTTACCAAGCTGTACTTGCGTGTAAAAACCCAGAGGACCATTTGGCTGCAGCTGAGTTAATCCCTCCACCATCTTTACATCATACCTCTGACTCCTAACCAAGACCTCCACAGACTTGTCACTCTTGAGGAGGGGGCATTTTATATCCAGCAGCTCCTCTGAGTTTACAACTCCATCAGGGCTTGCTGACAGCCAGGGTGCATTTGCACATACGACTCTGCCTCTGTGGCTGACTGCAAACCCACGAGTTTCTAATCCAGGGGTGGGCAATTAATTTTTACATGGGGCCACATGAGAAACCTTAACTGTGTTGGAGGGCTGAATTAACAATTACTTCAACCTTTTTCTACTCAATATTCATTATCACCCATTGTAAAAAGCAGTAATTTAAACCCACAGACATGATCTATGTAAACGTCTCATTACTTGCTGGAGCGTAATCCAGCGTTGCTTACATATTGGATGGGCCTCTTCCCTTCAGGCTCGCACAAGATCATATTTGTGCACTCTACAAAAATCGACTCAGTACTGAAACCAGATCATGTAGATTTACATTTCACAAGTAAGATTGAGAAATAATTTAGGGTATTTTTAATGTGACAGTGTCCTGTATTATAGCTACACCTCTGCTGTTTGTAACAAACCAAACCATGTAAAAATCAGGCAGAAATTCAGAGAGTTATGATTAATATGGTTCCTACCTACCATTCCTAGCTACCTTAAAAGGGTGTGTGTGTGTGTGTGTGTGTGTGTGTGGGGGGGGGGGGGGGGGGATCCCACGGTGCATCGCCCATGTGCACTGCTATGCTGAAACATACTGAGTCCCAGGTAGCACCACAATTAATAATATGTAAGGGAAACCCTGTACATTTCTTATAACATTATGCATTCACAACGGCAACATTATGATAAACACAGTTAACATAAAAACTTTGAATAACTTATATTTTTAAACTTTGACTAACAGAAAAGGGTTTGGGTTGACATTTTTATTTTAAATATTTTCTCCACTTACTGCCAATCATTTTATTCTCTCTCCTCACTCATTTCTCTGTCACTCACGTGTGAGTGTGTCAGGGGGTGTGCCAAGTATTCGAGCGGGCACGATTCAGGAAACAGTGGTCTGGAAAAGACAAACTACCTTCTGCACTTGCGTTTTGCTTTGCTTTTCTGGAGAGCTTTGAGATAATCAAGGGGGGCTCACACAGACAGAAAAGAAAGACCAAATAAGCAACTACGAGTTAAAAACAAGCTCAAAAAAGCACACCCACAACTCACAAGTTTTACAAGCGACATCTGAGAAAAACAAGCCCAAAGTCGTTTATAATAAGCGGACTTTGCAACTATGAGGCTTCTACATGTTTAAACTAGTTTCTGTTCATGAATGCAAGTCTAGCGCCTGGTTCACACAGGAAGCGCCGCGCGTGGAACGGAAGCGCCGCGCACAGAGTTTCGGATCGGTGCCCGTGTTAACCTATGAGACTGTTCACACAGCTCGCGCACGGAAGCGCCGCGCGCGGAACGGCTCGCGCTCTGGAGTGCGGCCGCTCCGCTTCTCTCTATTTTTGCCGCGAGCCGCGCGCGCCAATTGTAAAGCTGGACAGAGCAGATCGGACCAGACAAGAAGTCAGAACAGCAGATGCAAGAGAATCCGGTCAATTTTCAAAATAAAATAAATTTCAATAAATTAGAAAAAAGGATTTATGGTGTTGTTTGTCGGTCTATTTTTTACCGATGAACACACACACACACACACGGAGGGAGAGCTGCAGAGATTCAGTGATGTTATTGAGACAAAGGAGGGGGACTTTATTACGATACAGTCAATAGCCTCGAGCTAACAAGGCTATACATACAACGGAGTCAACAGACTCCCCAATTTATTCGTTGTTTACCCCTATATAATAATTTAAAACAATACTTGAAGATTCTGCCAATATTTAATTTATGTATGACGAAATAAAAACGTAAATAAAAATTGATTTACCCATTTTTAAAGCACTCGTAAGTGTGGAAAACTGAGGGCAGACGGAAACGGCCGAGCACTGCTGGGCTCAGTCGACGTCTGACCGGTGTGTCAGAGCGGCACAAATGCAACACACTTGATGATTGACGGACCTCACAAAGGGCCAGGCAGGGCCGGATGTCTTATCTTAAATTTTCTTGTTTTTTAACAGAAGCATAGGAAATAACTCATCCACATAAAGTAACTTTTGTAGCTTCCCAAATAATACAGGGGTCTGTTAAGGGATATTGTTATCCTTTACATTTTTTTTTTTTATCCCTATTCGCATTTTCATTATGAATTCCTTATCCTTAAGTAAATTAGCGTCAAATTTCCAGGGCTTAATGTGACAATTTGTCCCTTTTCCTGTTCTAATCACTGGCAGGCAGATTTTTCATTCTGTAAACCATGGTGAGTTGCAGCATTACCATGGAACTGCGGGAAAAGGTGCTCTCTAAAAAAGTTTTGAGGGTTGCCTCTGATAGGGATCTTATTTGCTGTGCTATTTGTGTGATCTTAGAGGCTCCCACAAAATTGAAGCTGCATGCCTGCAAGACCTCCCTAAACCAGCAATTCAGGAGCAGCCTGTAGTCTCTGCGGCTCCCTGGTTGCTTAGCAACCAGTTACCGGCAGCTGACTGGCTGGGACTCATGGCTGCTTTCAAAAAGATGTATTATCTGGTGCTTTGTGACAGCACACTACCCACTTTTTCACTATGTAAGTACTGGTATGCCTCAGTACATTTATAGATTCTCATCGCTGCCCCATCAACCCCCAATGACAGTGTAACGACCTAACCTTTCTTAAGTCAGCATAAATTACACAACAGGGAACTTAAACGGAAAAAAGAAAACCTCTAAGGTCAGAGAATAAAGCATAATGAAAATAAACACCAAGTCCTATCTAATGATAACCAATAAAGCTATCAAGGTACCGTTATAAAGTATAAATGTTTCCAAATTTAATTGCACAAAATCAACCAATTGCGCACCCCGCCCGTAAAGCCAAATCAAATGTCGGTCACAACTGAAATAATGATGAAATCACAGTCTATATAAATTTGTATGAAACCAGAAGTCCAAAACTAACAGAAAATGAAATCTCATCCTTTTCAAAGCACTTTAAGTGTCCTTTTAATCCTTTTTGAGTCCTGCTAGAAATTCAAATTGTCCTTAATCCAGAAAATAAACCAAGGAGAAATCCACAGGGTACAAAATACACCCCCAAAAAACAAAAGTATGTGATCGCTCACTAAACTGGTATACCAGAAAAAGTAACTCCCCCCCCAAAAATTCAAATGATTCAATATTCAAATGACGCACTTGAACCGAGAGGTTGCTGCAAGTCTGGTCTCTCTGTATTATCTGTAATTTTTGCTAGATTTTTTTCATATTTTTGTTGTCATTTTGTTGGCTGCTGATGGATACTTCTGCTGGGCGAAGAGTTTACTCAAGAGAAGAGCTCCTTTCACCATGGAAAAGCAAATCTGTACAACAACATACAATTCCAGAGGACATAAGAAGGTGTTATCGTAGTTGCTGTGCTGGTGCAAAGGTGAAGGCAAAGCTGAATGCTAGGAGGTGGCGATATAAACCCTTTCTCCCATCAATCATCATGGAAAACGTCAACTCTCTGCCCAACAAAAGCGATGAGCCGGAGATATTGGTGACGACTGAGAAAGCATACCGTGAGTGCAGTTTCCTGTGTTTTACTGAAACCTGGTTGAATCAAAACAACTCTGACTCCAGTGTGGATCTACCTGGCTCTTATAAGGTCAGACAGGGATGCTCAAGCCAGTGGCAAGAAGAATGGAAGAGGTCTGGCTTTATTTTTCAACCAGGGATGGCTTAACCCTTCACACATAATTGTCAAGGAGAAGTTGGGTTGTCTTGATATTGAACTGTTGGCAGTTTCTCTTCAGCCATATTATGCTCCAAGAGAATTTAGTCATATCATAACAACAGTTGTTTACATTCCACCCAAATCAACTGGAGAATGTTGCAATGTTTTGCAAAATAGTGTTGCCAGGCTACAGACTCAACATCCTGAAGCACTAATAATAATATCGGGCTTCAACCATGTCACCCTCTCCTCTCACCTGACTGGATTCACACAGTTTGTGAACTGTCCTCCCAGAGAAAAAACAAGACCCTGGATCTGCTGTATGCCAACATCAAAGAAGCCTACAGAGCCAATGCCTTACCACCACTGGGCAAGTCAGATCATGACTTGGTCTATCTGAAAATCTGTTACAGACCTTGTGTACTGAGGCAGCCTGTGACCAAAGTCAAAATAACAAGATGGACACCTCAAGCCAGTGAAGCTCTAAGGGACTGTTTTAAATCAACAGACTGGAATGTGCTGCTGGAAACAGATGTGGCTAGTATGAACATAGACAAACAGGTTAACTGCTTTACTGATTATGTCAAATTCTGTAGAGACACAGTTGTACCCACAAAGACTGTTCGCTGTTTCCCCAACAACAAACCCTGGATCACAAGAGACATAAAAGCAATCCTTAACTAGAAAAAGAAAGCATTTAAAGATGGTGAAAAAGAATGACTAAAACAAGTGTAACAAGAGTTGAAGAGAAGACTGAAGACAGCAAAGCTGGAGTACAAAAAGAAGATAGAGAATAATCCACAACACAGCAACATCCGTGAAGTGTGGAGAGGAATCAGCACCATCTCTGGACACAGCAGTCAAAAGAAAAGACAGCCAGTGGTGGGTGATGTGAAAAGAGCTGATGAACTCAACCTGTTCTTCAACAGATTTGACACTGCTGTCACACCCACTTCCACTGCTACTCCACCTTCCTCTCCGCAACAAATCTCCACTACAACTTCTCCCATTCCTCCTCCATCTCGTTCAGATGTCTCAACCACTTTAACTGCCTCCCTCCTAGAACACCAGTCCTTGTCTGTCACCGAAACAGGGTTGAGGAAGGAGCTTCGAAGACTTTGTCCTTGGAAGGCAGCTGGTCCAGATGGTGTGTGTCCAAGGCTGCTTAGAGACTGTGCTGCAGAACTGTGTCAACCTCTCCACAAGATCTTCAACCTGAGTCTACAGCTGCGGTGGGTACCTGCTCTGTGGAAAACATCCTGCATTGTGCCAGTACCAAAAACAAAATGTCCTGCTGAACTCAATGACTACAGACCAGTGGCCCTCACTTCACACATCATGAAAACCCTGGAGCGGCTGATTCTACGCCTTCTGAGGTCTGAGGTCAAAGACAAACTTGATTTCCTGCAGTTTGCATAAAAAGAACACATTGGAGTGGATGATGCTGTCCTCTACATGCTTCACCGTGCCCTGTCTCATCTGGAGGAACCTGGGGGTCATGTGAGGATCATGTTCTTTGACTTTTCAAGTGCATTCAACACCATCCAACCCACCATGCTCAAAGACAAGCCAACTGAGATGGGAGTGGATCTTTCCTGTGTTTCCTGAGTCACAGATTACCTGACAGGAAGGCCACAGTTTGTCAGGCTGGGGAACTGTGTTTCTGGGACATTAATGAGCAGTACAGGGGCTCCACAAGGGACAGTGCTGGCGCCATTCCTGTTCACACTGTACATGTTAGACTTAAATATACAGTACTGAGTCCTGCCACATCCAGAAATACTCAGATAATACCGCTATTGTGGCATATATCAGAAATGGACAAGAAGCTGAATACAGAGATCTGATAAGAGCCTTCAGTGACTGGAGTCACAAAAACTGCCTCCTCCTCAACACCTCAAAGACAAAGGAGATGGTTCATAGACTTCCGTAGATCCAAACCCCTAGCCTGGCTGGGCCATCCTGTTGCGTGAATCACTTGCCGTTCCTTCACACAACAGTCTGGACTTCGGCCCATTGGGAGTGTGTATTAGCGATCAGAAAATAACCTGGCCAATCAGTGACTGTGTTTCCACTGTTCCCTGGACAACAGGGAAAGGCAGCCCCTGATTGGTCCATGTGTAGATGGTGACGTCTAACACATGCTGCGGGACTTTTCAAAGACCCGTTCATTCAGAACGCCGTTAATTCTGCAGTTGACTTTGCAAAGTCGGCAGAAATCGTTTAGATCCGCAGAAGATGTCGGATATATATGATTTCTGCCGACTATGAGATGAACTTTTTTTGTTCAGGGGATAATTTAAATGAGATAGCAAAAATTACAAAAAATGAGATGGTTAAAATTAAAAAGTGGTTTAATAGAAACAAGTTATCGTTAAATGTAAAAAAAAAAAAACGAAGTTTATAATCGAAAAAAAGAATGAAATCCAACTTACTATAGATGATATAAACATTGAGAGAATTTTGGAATTTAAGTTTTTGGGTATTATATTAGATGACAAATTTACATGGAAAAACCATATATCACATGTAAAAGCCAAAGTGGCCAAGAGCCTTTTTATTTTGAACAAAGTAAAATATGATGTGGATACAAGCACTTTCTGAATATTGTATTGTACACTGGTCTTACCGTATTTTACTTGTTGTTTGGAAGTGTGGGGCAATACGTACAAGACGAATATTACTCCCCTGATTAAGTAAAAAAAAAGAGCAGTTGTAGTTGAATATAAGACTTGTCTTCTGTCTGCTCCTTTTCATTTCACATGATTACGCGTGAAAAAAAAGGATGAGTGCAATGTATTGTATTATGTATTATGAATGAAATGAAATAAATAAACATGAAACATGAAATGAAATATTTTGTGAAAGTTGTGGTAAAACTGTTGGTAGAAAGTGAGTGTGAAGAGAAACTTACCTGACTCAGACGAGTGTTTCCCCGGACTTTTCTAAACTATTCTGGTGCATTAGCTGCACCGTTAGCTTAAATTGCAGTATCATTCTGGTTTAGTACACACAGGAAAAAGCCAGTCAGAATAGTAAATAGCTGTTTAATGGTACTGAGACATGTTTTTTTTTTCTTTTTTGTGATGCTGTGGTGATATGTTGTTATTGTGTGTTGCCATGACAGACGGTTAGCAATTTCCCAAGCTACTAGCTCCTTGTAGTTAATTTAATAAAGCTGTATTGTTAGATGTGCACTGGAAAAAAAGTAAACAGACAGAAAAGTAAACAGACAGTCATTTAAGCTGATGAATAATTGTTTTTCCTTTTTTTTTTTTTTTTTTTTTTGAGGGTCGAGTTCTGTTCAACTGTGATATCAATAATAAAAAGGACAATTGAACCCATTTAAAGAGGAAAAAGGCATTTTTATTTTATTTTATCTTTATTATTTTCTATACGGGTACTTACCTGACTCAACAAATTTCATTTCATGTGAGTAAGGCTGAATATTTTATGTTTGAACATTTAAATATATACATTTATACTGCATTCTGTGTTGTGTGTTATGTCGGTTGGAGATCGCTTGCTCTCATGCTTCAGTGCTACTGCCAGTCTCCTTTTCCAAACCTAGTTGATCAGACAGAACCCGAGAAGACTAAGAAAAATGTTACATATACAGGAATAATATTGGTAAATTATTAAACTGTTGGAGGTTTATGACTGATAATGTTGACTGTTTTAGACACCAGAGTGGAGGTAAAAACTATTTCCTGAAGGTTTGATCAGTTATGTCTCTGCCTGGATGTGTGGTGGACTGAGATTAGGAGGTTTTGTATTTTTTTAGTTCGGTTTATAGAGTTAATACCAATGTTTACATCAGATCGCTGCTCTATGTGTGCGCATGCATGAGTCTAACATTGTGAACGATCCTCGGTGTGTCAGCCTCTCTTCCAGTAGTGAATGACTGTCACCAGTTGTTCGAAGCAGGATGCTTGTCTTGCTTGTTTGGTCCTTTGAGTGGCTGGGGCAAAATAGTAGGCTACTTTCGTTGACACTTGCCACGCTGCGCACGCAGCTCCTTGATGGTGAAGGCTGTAAAATGGTCTATATCCAACTGCTTGGGACTCTGCTAAATCTCCTTCTGTACTAATAGCTGCCTCCTGTCCTGTGAAACGTTGGACTGTACTCGGGATGACAGAACTCCTAGGAGTTGAAGAGGAGAGGAGCTGATGTGATGGGTGAAAACAGCACTTGCGTGTGTACCAAGAAGTTGACTTTCAAGTATACTTTAAGTGTACTTTTATAAACTAAAATTGGGCCAATTTAGTTTTAAGAAGTTTCCTTGTAAGTACACCAATAGTATATTTATATTAGCATACAAAGTATACTTTGTATTGTATACAAAGTATACCATGAAGTATACTAAAATGAACTTAAGTATACTTCATAATATGTGCTTGAGGTATACTTATTTTTGGTGCAGGCCGGTTCATTACTGCGAAATAAACAAACCAAGAAAACACAGAATAACAGGACACTTGTCATTGCAGTCAATGCTTTGTCAACTCTGTCTCTCATGTGCAGATGGAACTCAGAGTGGCTCTCATTTATCAAGCTTGCGCAGATCTGAGCGCAGGATTCATCCTATGATAGGACACACGTGAGATTTATGAAAGGGTTCGTATCTGTCCATTCCCAGTGTACATATGATCGGGTCTTGATAAATGCGGCGGCTGAAATTGTTCGTCATTAACATGTTTACGCCCTTAAATATTCGTGGTCCAGAAGCCTCGCCCACTGAGGTCAAACATGAAAGAGGAGAAATATTAGAAAGATGCGAAACTTTTCCGAGCTGAAAGTGGATATCCTCGCATCTGTGGTGGAAACTAACAAGGATTTGCTCTTTGAAAGCATCAAAACTGGTCTAAAAGCAGTCCAGAAAACTCCTGTCTGGAGCAGGATTGTGGTGGCGCTGAACAGCACTGCTGCCGAATAGTGGACATTGGCTGAAGTTTGAATAAATCATTAGTCAATAAGTTGCTCATGATGATGAATTAATATCTCATACATGCCTCATATTTTTTATTGCCATGACATAGGGTACGTTGCACCTATCATTGAAAGTATTTAGTTTTAATCTGTTGCTTCTTTGTAATGTAGAGCAGACTGGAGAGTCTGACAGAGGCTAAACAAAAATAATTATTAACGTCACCAAATGGTGTGTTGCTGTCCCTGAGGCACATTTTTATGGATTTCTATTGGATTTTTATCACTGATTAAATAGCAAGAGCACTTTCTAAACTTATATTTTATATGTCAGAATCCCTCTATAAGGTCCTGTCTCCTCTGTACAGCACCTTTGTGGAGTCTCTCCTCGTTATTATTCTCCAGGCATCGGATCCTCACGTTGCACCGGCACAGCCAACGGCACTCCATTCACCAGTGCAACATTGTGCAAAACTGTACTGGTCCAAATGATGTCCCACACCCTTCCAGGAGTGTACAACAATGTCCCCGCTGCTGGGCCAAGATAGAGACACCTGCCTTCTAGGAGTCAAACGCAGTGCTCCACAGTGGCGTGTGTGCGTGAGGGCGCAATGTTAAAACGGCGCTCCTGCTCTGTGGCAGTGTTTCTGGGCAGAGTTATCAAATAGGCCTATTCACTAAGGATAAAACTAATTTATTTTATTTTATTTACGTCTTATTCTTTAATGAAATCTGTCTGATTGTGCTTAATGACAGGTTTGAGGTTTGTTTATCAATTATTTTGAGACAGACATTTGCTGCACCGCAGGTCCACACTGACTCAAACTTGCATACACCATGTCAGACCTGTCGTGAGATTTGGTCGTGCGTACGCTTACGTGCAGATTGATAAATGCCGATCCTCACGTCAAAATTTTCGTACGCAAGGTGTAAACAAGTTTTCTTGCCGTACGCAAGCTTTAAATGAGGGCCAGTGAGTGCAGATTACTCGCTATCATCAGTCTTGGATGCTTTTCATATAAAAATGTGTTAATGTGCAGGTACGAGAGACCTACAGGTCAGAAACACTGCTTTTACTATCAGCCTCGTCATCATATTTTTCTACTTAAATATTACCTTGTATACAGTGTAGTTTACAATTTATTCCACAAAAATGATCTTTGACAATGGAAAAGCAATATCTGAAGACAACGTTATGCCTGTAAATACAAAGAGATAATTTTATCCTGTTTTTTGTGGATCCGCCAATCACAGCTTTTAAGAGAATTTGTCATACCTAGGAACAAGGTCATAGACCTCCACAATAAGATAAAAGTTTCAGACCTGTGTTTTCTCAGCATTCGTCTGACATAATTTCTAAAATACTCCAAGGCTAGGACTCCCTGAAAAAGACACATTTTTCGACCTTACAGTAGCCTGCAGTTCTCAGAAAAGTAAATTGGTTTGAACTCTGGTATGTTACCTCTCATAAAAGCATAGCTTTTTACAGCAGAAAAAGTTATTTTCTCATAAAATCGTAAGAAGGCTGAAAGCCATGAATTGATATACCCAGTTAGTGTTGCCTCTTTTCTCTTCCAGTTAATGGCTGCTCTAGGTAACACTGCTGCCAAAGCCAAATATGAACAGAAGGTTCCTGCGTTTTACTACAGACCAACACACACAGACTGCAAGTAAGTATATAAACAGTACCCTCAAATATACAGGTAGGCCCAGAAATATTTGGACAGTGACACAATCTTCATGATTCTGGCTCTGCATGCCACCACATTGGATTTGAAATGAAACAACTACAACGGAATTGAAGTGCAGACTTTAAGGTTTAATTCAAGGGGTTGGACAAAAAGTATATGATTAAACATGTAGGAATTGAAGCTATTTTTATACAAACACTCCTCATTTCAGGGGCTCAAAACTAATTGGACAAATAAACATAACCCTAAGTAAAAATGTTACTTTTCAATATTTTATTCAGAATCCTTTGCAGGCAATGACTTCCTGAAGTCTGGAACCAAATGCTGGGTTTCCTCCTTTGTGATACTTTGCCAGGCCTTTACTGCAGCTGTCTTCAGTTGCAGCTTGTTTTTGGGTCTTTCTGACATGGGGCTCTATTTTCGTGCCTCGACGGAGACGCGCGGCGTAAGTCAGGTCTGCCGCGCCGACAAGGCGTTCCCAAGCACAATTTGGTATTTTGGTGAGTGGCGCAGCCCGGCGTAAGTATCCCCCCTCCCTAACTCAGCTCCTCCCAGCGGCGTAAGTCGTAGCGAGGGAGGAGAGAGGGCGTGGAGTGGATTTAACACAGCCGAGACCTGTATTGACCAATAAAATCAGCTCCTCTCCTCGCCTTTAAATCCACCACCAGTGCGGCGTATTACTATTTTCATGAAGTAGTCAAAGAGATCAAGAGATGTCTGAAGACAGTAATGCCACACGATGGCGACAGAAGGCAGCTTCTCAACAAGTGTTGCTGCAGAGGGCATCCTCCACACTCTCATTTGAGCACAGATGGATTTGGTGTGTGTAATGTTAAAGCCACTAGTAAGACAAACATCCCTTTCCACAAATAAAGACTCTCACATAAAGTTGGATATATTCAAACCTCATGTGACAAAGGTGGGTTATGCGCACAGATCACAACATAAATTCCAAAAATGGCATTAAAATCGGAACCACCTGTGTGTAATGACACATCACGCTCCATGGCCTGGCTCTTTCTTTCATAGATGTTGGCATATAAAATAAATTTGGCTCACAAAACTGAATATTATAATATTCGTATGTAGGCTTAAAGTAAATAACTCATCTGATCACTAAAACAAATCATCTGTTCAGCCACTGCAGCAGCAGGACGGGGAGAGGACACGGAGACATGTGTAGGTCAAGCTGCGCGAGAAATAAGAGGAAGAGGATGAAAGAAAAGGAGGGAGACGAATTACATATCTTGTTAACTTCATCATGTGTGTCTATTTACTAGATATTTAATTTAATTTAATGCGGCTTCAGCTTGTGTGTCCAAACGCATGCCAAACGCGCTCATCAGATCAGATATAGATCAGAATATATCTATATAGATCTAAATGTATGTGCTGACTTAGATTATTTGTTGTTGTTAATTATTTATTGCACTGAAATGTGCCTGACACTTTGGAAACCTGCCGGTAAGGCATCAGTGATGTATGCCGATACGCCGCCGGTCTACCAAAATACCACTAGACCAGCTGCGCTCCGCCTGCGCTGAAAGCTGACCAGGTTTGAATCGGCGAGTTTTCAGCACACTTTATACGACGGTGGCGAGCACGAAAATTTCACTGCGCCCGCTGATTATGTCGACACCTCCCACTGCCACGGACCTCCGTGCGCCTCAGTCCACGAAAAATAACAAACTGTCTGTACTCCGGGCTCCGCCAGACGAAAATACAACTGGGAGGGTTCCGCTACCCTCCGCCGCCTCACCGGCGTACAAGAAAATAGAGCCCTTAAGTTTTGTCTTGAACAAGTGAAATGTATGCTTGATTGGGTTGAGATCTGTTGATTGACTTGGTCATTGCAGAATATTTCACTTCTTTGCTTTAAAAAACTCCTGGGTTGCCTTTGCAGTATGTTTTGGATCATTGTCCATCTGTACTGTAAAGCGCCGTCCAATCAACTTTGCTGCATTTGGCTGACTCTGAGCAGAAAGTACATCCCTATACACTTCAGAATTCATCTGGTTGCTTCTGTCTTTTGTCACATCATCAATAAACACAAGTTACCCTGTGCCTTTGGAAGCCATGCATGCCCATGCCATTACACTGCCTCCGCCATGTTTTACAGAAGATGTGATGTGCTTTGGATCATGAGCTGTTCCAATTATTCTCCAAACTTTCTTCTCCCCATCATCTGGTACAGGTTGATCTTAGTCTCATCTGTCTAAAGAATGCTGTTCCAGAACTAGGCTGGCTTCTTCAGGTGTTTTTTGGCAAAGTCAATTCTGGCCTTTCTATTTTTGAGGCTGATTAATGGTTTGCACCTTGTGGTGAATCCTTTGTTTTTACTCTCATGAAGTCTTCTTTTTTTGGTAGACTTAGATACTGATACACCTACTCCCTGGTGTTTTTCACATGAGTGGATGTTGTGAAGGGGTTTTTCTTCACAATGGAAAGGATTCTGCGATTATCCACCACTGTTGTCTTCAGTGGACGTCCAGGCCTTTTTGAGTTCCCAAGCTCACCAGTGCACTCTTTGTTTCTCAGAATGTACCAAACTGTTGATTTTCATTTTTGCTATCTCTCTGATGGATTTTTTCTTTTTTTTTCAGCCTCAGGATGGTCTGTTTCACCTTCATTGAGAGCTCCTTTGCCAAAGTGTTGTGTATTCACAGCAACAGCTTCCAAATGCAAACACCACACCTAGAATCAACTCCAGACCTTTTAACTACTTAATTGATGACAGGTTAACGAGGGAAGAGCCCATGCAGCCTTGTTAATTTTTTAATTTTTTAATTTTTTTACAGCCTTCTGAGTCAATTTTCCAATTACTGTTAGACCCTTGAAAATGAGGCAGCTACATATTAAAGAGCTGTAATTCCTAAACCCTTGCTCCAATTTGGATGTGAATACTCTCAAATTACAGCTGAGAGTCTGCACTTTAAGTCCATATTGCTTATGTAACTTCACCCTGAATATGTTTTCATGAACAGGGACTGTCCAAATATTTCTGGGCCTAACTATGTGTGTTCAACTAGTACATTATGTGTGTGGATGAGGTAGGTTTACATGGCATAACTAATATGAAAGTAAGCTGTGTGTTTTTTGTCTGCCATCAGGCTGCTGAGAGAACAGTGGATCCGAGCCAAGTACGAGAGGAATGAGTTTGAGTTTATTGAGAAACAGGAGCCTTACTCTGCAGGTATGTCCCTGCTAAAATGTTGTTCCACCAGTCCTATGATGTTCCTTATCACTGATAAATTTTTGTGTTCTAAGATTCATTCCTTGTCTTTGAAATGAAAAAATGTTATATACATTTATTTTCAGATGATTACCTACATTAGTTTCGCTTGGTGAACACAAAACTGGTTGCTTCAATGACTGCTGTGTTTATCCCTGCAGTTACACTTGGAACAGCCTTGTAGAAGTCAGATAACACTGGACTATTTCATGGCTAGAATATAACAAGACGCTCCAGTATAAACTAAAAAGCTACTAATCCAAAGATATTTCAACATAAAAAGATTAATATCTGTGATTGAAACAAAGATGACAGAAATTTCAGAGCAGCTAAACCATGCCTAAGGTTGGCTGGCCTCTGTAGAAGATGCTAATCCATTTGCCACCATAGAGGATGTTGCTTAGAGCTCAGAAACAGACTGGATGACTTTTAACCTGGGCGTGGAAGTGGGGGGAAAAGTGGACCTGGCTACTGAGGGCCGAAGTAGGGAGAGGAGCCAATTAAAATCCTTTTTTTTTTTCTCACGCACATTGTGCACTGGCATGAATAGAAGCCCACTGACATTGAGAGTGTACAGGGCTCAGAATTTGGTGCTATGCCCCTGACTATGAAAATAGGGAGAGAGGTTTCTCTGAGGAGTGTAATAGACAGTGCTCAGGCTTTTCTGTGTGTCTGATATGAAGCTATGGAAAATCATTTTTACCAAGGGGCAGATTATAGCTTGTAGTGCGTTGTGGAAGCTGCATGTTAAGGCAAGATCAGCTGGAAAAGGTATAATGTGATGTTGTTCCTCAAGTACTAAAGTTTTCCTGATGCCAACTTCAGATTTTGTGACCACAGAGCAAAGAATCATGCTGTAGCTAGACCTACAAGCATGACCTGATTGAACACGATCAACAAGAGAGGATGTAGAAAGTAAAAGGGATGGTTGGACAACACAGCAGCTTGTCACCAGGCTGCTACAGTGCATCGAATGTCTCTTGGCCATGTTTTTCTATCTGTCAGTTGGATACAATCGTCCTTTAACGACAAATGATTAAAGAAAGATTAGATGGTTTTCACTCAGACAAGAGCTAGCCGATAATTTAAATAATTTTTACCTCAGGTTTGACATGGATGATCTTGAAGGCAGAGCAGATCAGACAAGGTTTGACTTTGCCTCTACCACACTGCCTGATTCTAATCTTGATTTTGATGTTGAAGATGTGAGGATTTTACTTAGTAAAACCAGAACTAACAAAAGTCCAGGTGCTGGTAACATCTCAGGTCACCTCCTTAGACACTGTTCAGATCAACTGTCTTTTATTTTCCACCACATATTCAATAGCTCCTTAGAGCAGCAGACGGCCCCTGAACTGTGGAAAAAGTTGACATCTGCGCCTGTGGCTAAACTCAAATCCCTAAAGTCCATCAGCGACTACAGACCTAGAGCCCTGACCTCATTTGTTATGAAGGCATTTGAAAAGATAATCAAAAGAGAGTTGGTGGAGGCTGTGGAGGACATCTTAGACCTCCAACAATTTGCATCTAGGAGTAAAAAAGGGGTAGGTGATGCGGTCTGAACCCTACTTAACTTTTTAAACACCTTGAAGGCCCGGCCACCCATGCACACTTACTGTTCTTAGATTTTACTTCTGCGTTTAACACAATTCAGCCACAAAATTTAGCCTCTTAATTATTATCAAACTTTAGGCTGTGTCCTAGTATTCCTGGATGGGTTTTAGATTTTTTAACAAACAGATCACAATGTGTCAGAGTGAACAGTACTCCACTGGTTCTCCTCAGGGCTGTGTCCTCTCACCCATCCTATATATCCTGTACACTGATGACTGCAGAAGCTCACACACATCCAGATGGACATGTACTTAAGTTTGCTGATGACACGGTTATAGTGGGTCTGTTGCAGGGGGGGGGGGGGGGGGGGGGCACAGCCCCGGGATCAGTGGTGGTGTGATGATTCCTTACTAAACTGAAATGTGACAAAAACTAAAGACGTGTATAGATCTTAAAAGAAGTTCTAACCCTCCACTCCCAACAGTAATTAAGGGGGACACTGTGGAGTGCGTCATAACCTTTAAGTACCTTGGTGTCGTCATTGACAATAAGCTGTCTTTAATGAAAACATAGACATTGTTTAAAAAAATTGTAGCAGCGACTACATTTCCTCTGGATGCTCAACCAGTTTGGGTTGTGCAGCAAATTAATGACAATTTTCTATCATTCTATGGTTGAATTGGTCCTGACTTTTGCCATCATCTCTTGGTTTGGCAGTCTCAAACTTAGTGATAAAAAGAGGCCGGAACACATCGTCAAAGTAGCCAGTAAAATCATCGGGGTCACACTACTCAATCTGTCCGTAATTTTTTACAGGAGGATAATCTGTAGAGCTCAGGACATTATTCAGCATCCTGATCATCCTCTCCATGCCAAGTTTGAGCTCCTCTGCTCTAGCAGGACATTCAGATTGCCAAAAGCCAAATCAAATCAACTGAAAAACTCATTCATAACACAAGCCATTACCCAAATTAATTGAAATTCTAAACAATTTTGACACTTATTCATTTATTTATTCATTTATTTATATCCTTGATAGTATGGAACAGCTGTGGATGTGATCTATATGGTTTTTTTGTTTGTTTTTTTGTTTTTTTTTGTTTGTTTTTTTGCCTTTCTGCAACATGAATTTCCCTTTGGGGACAATAAATTTGAAAGTTGAAGTTGATGTCTGTTCCATCAGTAAGTCCTTAACCATGGATGTGGAGGCTAATGCTGAAAGCTGTGTCTGTCTGGTTGTGTTTCTATAAAGCAAAATACAGCGATAACTGTTGGTAGCTAACAGATCTCTGGGTTTAGTTCGATATTTTGTCAAGTGCTGCCTTTAAATTTCTTACCAGTGCTTATCCAATCACAGGACGCCTACATGTCCAGTTCAGCCTAAAGGTCCTTACACACCAGGACCGACGCAAATATACGACGCCAAATTGCGAAATATTCGGAGGCGAATTTTGACGCGCCTGACTATACACATCAACCCGATGCAATTTTGCAACTTTCCGGGGGGAAAAAAAGACATGTCCCGGGTGGAAGAAGAAGACTGACATAACACCAGACTGACTGCTTTTCAGTTATGATTAGACACTAGTGTCGAGATGGCTGTCTGTCATGATAGCATGTACTGAGTAGGGGCCAGTACCAGATAAGTACATTAAACTATAATCCATAAACGTAAGGTAACAACCAAGACCTAACAGTGCTGTAACAGCAACGCGATTGAGTTTGAGAAAATACATATGAAATGTTATATCTTAACAGGTTAGCTTACAAGCTAATGTTGCTTAACACATTTAAAAGTTAAAACAAAGACGTTTCGCAAACTGTTAAAGCACACAAGCTATCGTCATTTGAGAGAGCCGACGGTATAACTCTCCACAAGTTGTCCTTTAGGTCGTTATCTTTGTAATGTTTGTGTCTTTTATCAAAAAGCACTCTGTCGGCCGGTCGGCCATGTTGGATATACCAGTGAATCAGACGTTGCAACAACACGCAATCTGATTGGTAATAAGAGGACACAAAGTAACTAGAAAAATTGCATTTCCTTGCAGAAAATGCGTGGAAATGCTGAGTGCTGAAAGCTGAAAAAGCAATGCAAAACTGCCAATAAAAATGGAGGAAGGTATGAGCTGATAAACTGTTGAAAAGGTGGAGTAGAAGAACAAATTGTATGAATAGAAAAATTGTAGTATAGCTGAAGGTAAATTAGTTGGATTAATGTACAAATTGTCTGATAGCCTAAGTGAAAAATGTATATGATTGATGTGAATAAACAGAACTGATATGGATAATTGAATTTGAAAAACAAATGCCTTTAAACGATGTGTAACAATGTTCCTATTAAATGTACAAATAGTAAATCAGATTTTTGCAGTCTGCAGCATCCAACCATAGTAACTTGAGAATGCAGAACAGCACCATCTATTGCCCTGCTTCAGTTACTGCCCTACATCTGAATGTAGAAAGTATGAAACAGCTGAAGTTCAATTAATTGTATAAATGTAGAAAGTATAGAAAAGAAAAGCAGAAGTAGAAGAAAAAGAAGAAGTTAGTATGTTAAAAGAGTTAAAGACAATAACTGTAAAAACAAAGTTAATATTGGGGGTGTATTTTCTACTGAGAGAGAGACAGTAATGCACACATGGAAACAGTGTGTGTGTGTGTGTGTGTGTGTGTGTGTGTGTGTGTGTGTGTGTCGCGCGCGTGCATGTGCGTGTGTGTGCCCGCGCGCACGAGCGGCCGAGCCCGGGCGTGTGCGATCGAAGCACACAGCCCATGACAAGTGCAGAATCTCCGGCTCTGAAGGAATGTACTCACCTCTTGGGCAAACTGTACAATTTGATGACTTCAGACCTATTTTGTGAGAAGCAGGCCGAGTGTACCTCCATTTTGATGTGTTTTTTATCGCTGTGGAGTGAAAATTGCGGCCGTGGCAGCAAAATAATCATGCTTGGTCTAGTGAATCCAAAAGGCTCCGCCCGCATCTAGTGATGACGTCACACGCTGTAGCGTGAGTCAGGCTGAAAAAGGCAGAAAACTTCATGTTGCTCCAAGCGAAATTGTGCAAAAACGGTAGGAAATAGCAAAAAGGAGTGAATACAACATTTGTAGCAGACACGTTGCTGAACATTTTAAAGCAACAATGAGGTCTGTAGGTGAAAGTATGCAGAAGTTATAAGGGTGAGAAGGTGTTATAGCTGTATCTCCATTCATTTGTAATGGAACAAATTTTGCAGAAAAAGTGAAATATTGCAAAAAGTATAAATGGTAGAAAGGTGAAAAGTAATAGCAATAATGTCCTGAAGGAGTGCATTAGTATAAAGTTTGAATGGTTAAAATAGCACAAAGTGGTAAGGAGTTGAAAAGGGCCAAAAAAGGTACGGAAGAATAATAATAATAAAAAAAATAATAATAATAACTAGAAAAATTGCATTTCCTTGCAGAAAATGCGTGGAAATGCTGAGTGCTGAAAGCTGAAAAAGCAATGCAAAACTGCCAATAAAAAATGGAGGAAGGTATAAACGGAAAAACTGTAGAAAAGGTGGAGTAGAAGAAGAAGAAATTGTATGAATGGAAGAATTGTAGTATAGCTGGAGGTAAATTAGTTGGATTAATGTACAAATTGTCTGATAGCCTAAGTGAAAAATGTATATGATTGATGTGAATAAACAGAACTGATATGGATAATTGAATTTGAAAAACAAATGCCTTTAAACAATGTGTAACAATGTTCCTATTAAATGTACAAATAGTAAAACAGATTTTTGCAGTCTGCAGCATCCAACCATAGTAACTTGAGAATGCAGAACAGCACCATCTATTGCCCTGCTTCAGTTACTGCCCTACATCTGAATGTAGAAAGTATGAAACAGCTGAAGTTAAATTAATTGTATAAATGTAGAAAGTATAGAAAAGAAAAGCAGAAGTAGAAGAAAAAGAAGAAGTTAGTATGTTAAAAGAGTTAAAGACAATAACTGTAAAAACAAAGTTAATATTGGGGCTGTATTTTCTACTGACAGAGAGACAGTAATGCACACATGGAAACAGTGTGTGTGTGTGCCCGCGCGCGCGGCCGAGCCCGTGCGTGTGCATGTGCATGTGCGTGTGTGATCGAAGCACACAGCCCATGACAAGTGCAGAATCTGACAGAGAGACAGTAAGAGAGAAAGAGAGACAGTAATGCACTCATGGAAACTGTGTGTGTGTGTGTATGTGTGTGTGCCCGCGCGCGCACGAGCGGCCAAGTCCGTGCGTGTGCGATCGAAGCACACAGCCCATGACAAGTGCAGAATCTCCGGCTCTGAAGGAATGTACTCACCTCCTGGGCAAGCTGTACAATTTGATGACTTCAGACCTATTTTGTGAGAAGCAGGCCGAGTGTACCTCCATTTTGATGTGTTTTTTATCGCTGTGGAGTGAAAATTGCGGCCGTGGCAGCAAAATAATCATGCTTGGTCTAGTGAATCCAAAGGCTCCGCCCGCATCTAGTGATGACGTCACACGCTGTAGCGTGAGTCAGGCTGAAAAAGGCAGAAAACTTCATGTTGCTCCAAGCGAAATTGTGCAAAAACGGTAGGAAATAGCAAAAAGGAGTGAATACAACATTTGTAGCAGACACGTTGCTGAACATTTTAAAGCAAAAATGAGGTCTGTAGGTGAAAGTATGCAGAAGTTATAAGGGTGAGAAGGTGTTATAGCTGTATCTCCATTCATTTGTAATGGAACAAGTTTTGCAGAAAAAGTGAAATATTGCAAAAAGTATAAATGGTAGAAAGGTGAAAAGTAATAGCAATAATGTCCTGAAGGAGTGCATTAGTATAAAGTTTGAATGGTTAAAATAGCACAAAGTGGTAAGGAGTTGAAAAGGGCCAAAAAAGGTACGGAAGAATAATAATAAAAAAAAAAATAACTAGAAAAATTGCATTTCCTTGCAGAAAATGCGTGGAAATGCTGAGTGCTGAAAGCTGAAAAAGCAATGCAAAACTGCCAATAAAAAATGGAGGAAGGTATAAACGGAAAAACTGTAGAAAAGGTGGAGTAGAAGAAGAAGAAATTGTATCAATGGAAGAATTGTAGTATAGCTGGAGGTAAATTAGTTGGATTAATGTACAAATTGTCTGATAGCCTAAGTGAAAAATGTATATGATTGATGTGAATAAACAGAACTGATATGGATAATTGAATTTGAAAAACAAATGCCTTTAAACAATGTGTAACAATGTTCCTATTAAATGTACAAATAGTAAAACAGATTTTTGCAGTCTGCAGCATCCAACCATAGTAACTTGAGAATGCAGAACAGCACCATCTATTGCCCTGCTTCAGTTACTGCCCTACATCTGAATGCAGAAAGTATGAAACAGCTGAAGTTAAATTAATTGTATAAATGTAGAAAGTATAGAAAAGAAAAGCAGAAGTAGAAGAAAAAGAAGAAGTTAGTATGTTAAAAGAGTTAAAGACAAGAACTGTAACAACAAAGTTCATATTGGGGCTGTATTTTCTACTGACAGATAGACAGTAATGCACACATGGAAACAGTGTGTGTGTGTGTGTGTGTGTGTGTGTCGCGCGCGTGCATGTGCGTGTGTGTGCCCGCGCGCACGAGCGGCCGAGCCCGGGCGTGTGCGATCGAAGCACACAGCCCATGACAAGTGCAGAATCTCCGGCTCTGAAGGAATGTACTCACCTCTTGGGCAAACTGTACAATTTGATGACTTCAGACCTATTTTGTGAGAAGCAGGCCGAGTGTACCTCCATTTTGATGTGTTTTTTATCGCTGTGGAGTGAAAATTGCGGCCGTGGCAGCAAAATAATCATGCTTGGTCTAGTGAATCCAAAAGGCTCCGCCCGCATCTAGTGATGACGTCACACGCTGTAGCGTGAGTCAGGCTAAAAAAGGCAGAAAACTTCATGTTGCTCCAAGCGAAATTGTGCAAAAACGGTAGGAAATAGCAAAAAGGAGTGAATACAACATTTGTAGCAGACACGTTGCTGAACATTTTAAAGCAAAAATGAGGTCTGTAGGTGAAAGTATGCAGAAGTTATAAGGGTGAGAAGGTGTTATAGCTGTATCTCCATTCATTTGTAATGGAACAAATTTTGCAGAAAAAGTGAAATATTGCAAAAAGTATAAATGGTAGAAAGGTGAAAAGTAATAGCAATAATGTCCTGAAGGAGTGCATTAGTATAAAGTTTGAATGGTTAAAATAGCACAAAGTGGTAAGGAGTTGAAAAGGGCCAAAAAAGGTACGGAAGAATAATAATAAGAAAAAAAATAATAATAATAACTAGAAAAATTGCATTTCCTTGCAGAAAATGCGTGGAAATGCTGAGTGCTGAAAGCTGAAAAAGCAATGCAAAACTGCCAATAAAAAATGGAGGAAGGTATAAACGGAAAAACTGTAGAAAAGGTGGAGTAGAAGAAGAAGAAATTGTATGAATGGAAGAATTGTAGTATAGCTGGAGGTAAATTAGTTGGATTAATGTACAAATTGTCTGATAGCCTAAGTGAAAAATGTATATGATTGATGTGAATAAACAGAACTGATATGGATAATTGAATTTGAAAAACAAATGCCTTTAAACAATGTGTAACAATGTTCCTATTAAATGTACAAATAGTAAAACAGATTTTTGCAGTCTGCAGCATCCAACCATAGTAACTTGAGAATGCAGAACAGCACCATCTATTGCCCTGCTTCAGTTACTGCCCTACATCTGAATGTAGAAAGTATGAAACAGCTGAAGTTAAATTAATTGTATAAATGTAGAAAGTATAGAAAAGAAAAGCAGAAGTAGAAGAAAAAGAAGAAGTTAGTATGTTAAAAGAGTTAAAGACAAGAACTGTAACAACAAAGTTCATATTGGGGCTGTATTTTCTACTGACAGAGAGACAGTAATGCACACATGGAAACAGTGTGTGTGTGTGCCCGCGCGCGCGGCCGAGCCCGTGCGTGTGCATGTGCATGTGCATGTGCGTGTGTGATCGAAGCACACAGCCCATGACAAGTGCAGAATCTGACAGAGAGACAGTAAGAGAGAAAGAGAGACAGTAATGCACTCATGGAAACTGTGTGTGTGTGTGTATGTGTGTGTGCCCGCGCGCGCACGAGCGGCCAAGTCCGTGCGTGTGCGATCGAAGCACACAGCCCATGACAAGTGCAGAATCTCCGGCTCTGAAGGAATGTACTCACCTCCTGGGCAAGCTGTACAATTTGATGACTTCAGACCTATTTTGTGAGAAGCAGGCCGAGTGTACCTCCATTTTGATGTGTTTTTTATCGCTGTGGAGTGAAAATTGCGGCCGTGGCAGCAAAATAATCATGCTTGGTCTAGTGAATCCAAAAGGCTCCGCCCGCATCTAGTGATGACGTCACACGCTGTAGCGTGAGTCAGGCTAAAAAAGGCAGAAAACTTCATGTTGCTCCAAGCGAAATTGTGCAAAAACGGTAGGAAATAGCAAAAAGGAGTGAATACAACATTTGTAGCAGACACGTTGCTGAACATTTTAAAGCAAAAATGAGGTCTGTAGGTGAAAGTATGCAGAAGTTATAAGGGTGAGAAGGTGTTATAGCTGTATCTCCATTCATTTGTAATGGAACAAGTTTTGCAGAAAAAGTGAAATATTGCAAAAAGTATAAATGGTAGAAAGGTGAAAAGTAATAGCAATAATGTCCTGAAGGAGTGCATTAGTATAAAGTTTGAATGGTTAAAATAGCACAAAGTGGTAAGGAGTTGAAAAGGGCCAAAAAAGGTACGGAAGAATAATAATAAGAAAAAAAATAATAACTAGAAAAATTGCATTTCCTTGCAGAAAATGCGTGGAAATGCTGAGTGCTAAAAGCTGAAAAAGCAATGCAAAACTGCCAATAAAAAATGGAGGAAGGTATAAACGGAAAAACTGTAGAAAAGGTGGAGTAGAAGAAGAAGAAATTGTATCAATGGAAGAATTGTAGTATAGCTGGAGGTAAATTAGTTGGATTAATGTACAAATTGTCTGATAGCCTAAGTGAAAAATGTATATGATTGATGTGAATAAACAGAACTGATATGGATAATTGAATTTGAAAAACAAATGCCTTTAAACAATGTGTAACAATGTTCCTATTAAATGTACAAATAGTAAAACAGATTTTTGCAGTCTGCAGCATCCAACCATAGTAACTTGAGAATGCAGAACAGCACCATCTATTGCCCTGCTTCAGTTACTGCCCTACATCTGAATGCAGAAAGTATGAAACAGCTGAAGTTAAATTAATTGTATAAATGTAGAAAGTATAGAAAAGAAAAGCAGAAGTAGAAGAAAAAGAAGAAGTTAGTATGTTAAAAGAGTTAAAGACAAGAACTGTAACAACAAAGTTCATATTGGGGCTGTATTTTCTACTGACAGATAGACAGTAATGCACACATGGAAACAGTGTGTGTGTGTGTGTGTGTGTGTGTGTGTGTGTGTGTGTGTGTGCCCGCGCGCGCGCGCGGCCGAGCCCGTGCGTGTGCATATGCGTGTGTGATCGAAGCACACAGCCCATGACAAGTGCAGAATCTGACAGAGACAGTAAGAGAGAAAGAGAGACATTAATGCACTCATGGAAACAGTGTGTGTGTATGTGTGTGTGCCCGCGCGCGCACGAGCGGCCAACTCCGTGCGTGTGCGATCGAAGCACACAGCCCATGACAAGTGCAGAATCTGACAGAGAGATAGTAAGAGACACAGTAATGCACTCATGGAATTGGGTGTGTGAGTGAGTGTGTGTGTGTGTGTGTGTGTGTGTGTGCGCGCGCGCATGTGCGTGTGTGTGCCCGCGCGCACGAGCGGCCGAGCCCGTGCGTGTGTGATCGAAGCACACAGCCCATGACAAGTGCAGAATCTCTGGCTCTGAAGGAATGTACTCACCTCCTGGGCAAGCTGTACAATTTCATGACTTCAGACCTATTTTGTGAGAAGCAGGACGAGTGTACCTCCATTTTGATGTGTTTTTTATGGCTGTGGAGTGAAAATTGCGGCCGTGGCAGCAGAATAATCATGCTTGGTCTAGTGAATCCAAAAGGCTCCGCCCGCATCTAGTGATGACGTCACACGCTGTAGCGTGAGTCAGGCTGAAAAAGGCAGAAAACTTCATGTTGCTCCAAGCGAAATTGTGCAAAAACAGTAGGAAATAGCAAAAAGGAGTGAATACAACATTTGTAGCAGACACGTTGCTGAACATTTTAAAGCAAAAATGAGGTCTGTAGGTGAAAGTATGCAGAAGTTATAAGGGTGAGAAGGTGTTATAGCTGTATCTCCATTCATTTGTAATGGAACAAGTTTTGCAGAAAAAGTGAAATATTGCAAAAAGTATAAATGGTAGAAAGGTGAAAAGTAATAGCAATAATGTCCTGAAGGAGTGCATTAGTATAAAGTTTGAATGGTTAAAATAGCACAAAGTGGTAAGGAGTTGAAAAGGGCCAAAAAAGGTACGGAAGAATAATAATAAGAAAAAAAATAATAACTAGAAAAATTGCATTTCCTTGCAGAAAATGCGTGGAAATGCTGAGTGCTAAAAGCAAAAAAGGTCTGTAGGTGAAAGTATGCAGAAGTTATAAGGGTGAGAAGGTGTTATAGCTGTATCTCCATTCATTTGTAATGGAACAAGTTTTGCAGAAAAAGTGAAATATTGCAAAAAGTATAAATGGTAGAAAGGTGAAAAGTAATAGCAAAAGGGCCAAAAAAGGTACGGAAGAATAATAATAAAAAAAATAATAATAAAGAAATAGTAGAATAACAATAAGTGGAAATGCTGTGTCAGCATTTCCACTTAATAATAATAAAGAAATAGTAGAATAACAATAAGTGGAAATGCTGTGTCAGCATTTCCACTTAATAAAGAAATAGTAGAATAACAATAAGTGGAAATGCTGTGTCAGCATTTCCACTTAATTATTAATCCATTTGTTTTGACACAGGCAAGCAGGTTGTGGTAGAGGGCCTTAATCCATTAAATGTCGGTCCAAAATCAAAGGATAAGACAGTCTGAATCAGTGGTTAAAGGGGACCTTCCACCAAAATTTCATACCTATTTTTATCATTTTTTCATAATCCTTGATGTCCTCTGATCATGTTTGTAACATAATTTTAGTTGAAAAGTTATTTGATGGTTTGTTTTAGCATGCCTAAAAAACCTTACAGGAAAACCAACTGGTTTTGGCTCATTAACATTTATGGTAATGAGCTTTGCTCTGATTGGATCGCTGCTGTGAAGCCTGCTGTGCTCTGATTGGCTCAGCAGTGGAGGTTCGGATTTCGGTTTATCCATTGTTATTATGCTAATGCTAATAGCATATGCTAATGTGTGCTAAAGTAAGGTGCCCAGATGTCTGTAATGATATCCGGGGATATTCGGTGCGGCGGTGGCGGTGCAGGGGCTGCAGGAGCTGTATGATCACAGACAAAATCTCGGTACTATTTAGTAGCAGCGCATGCCCCTTGTAATAACCCCCGTAAGAACTGTTGTTCAGGACTGCTAACTTGTGCTTCCTACCCACTCGGCTACTGTAATAACCGTTGTTCGAGCCCACACGCAACATTTTTGGTCTCATTAATGAAACGCTTAAATCGGGGACATTTTCAGGGACAGCTTTTGCCGGGGACAGGTCATCCAATACGGGGACTGTCCCTGGAAATCGGGGACGTCTGGTCACCTTATGCTAAAGGCTAAAAACGGCAGGTATTAAACCATATATTTTAGACCCCGAGTCCGAAGAGGAGGTGGAAGTTGAGGAAGAAGCCGGAGATCATTTTCTCATTCATTCTGCCCAGCTTTAAGTTCATTTTCCCGGCAGTGAACCGAAGGAAACACCGGTCGTTTGGAAGAGACCCATAGCGGATACAGTGGTAGCTGGGTCTCGCTCTGGCTGTGACTGAGGACGAGAACGAGTGGGCGCGGCTCACCGAGGACGCACTCGTGAATTATAATGAGCAACGTCAACGCAACGTAACACCGACCTGCTTTTTTCAATTGGCCTGGTTTACTCGTTCCTTTATTTTAAACCTTTACAGAATGCAAACGACGTAACGGTTTGTTTTCACATTTACAACATAAGACGAACATAATATGGACCTTATCTGACACAAAAAACCCCAAAAATTACATTTTTATGGCAGGTCCCCTTTAAAAAAACCTTTTTTTTTGGTATATTTGTGAAACCTGGGTCTCTACTTGCACTGCTGTCAACATTTCTCACTCAAAGAGTGACCCTCCTGCAATGAGGAAATTCCTGAGTGAAAGAGTAATCAATTGCAGAGCACCAGCTTCAAGAGAAATACTTGGGAGCAGTATATGAGAAGGAAAAAGAAGAGTTGAAGACACACTTTTGTGCACATAGCTTAACTTTACAACAATCATACAGATTACTAAAAATTGTGAAACTGATTGTTTGTTAAATTAAATTATTATTTTTCACACACAGGTAGAAGGCCATTTTTAAGCCATGCTTAAGTTGCTAAAAAAAAAATAAAAAAATAAAGTGAAGTAACTTGGTTCTAGTATGCTTGTTTATCAAATAGTCTTTAAAATGGCTCTTTTTAATTCAGTAGTAGCCTTGTAACAGGGCGTTGGAGAATAATCTTTTGGGGGGGGTTTTCCCTGCATATTTTGCAACTTTGCATAATTCACAACTTGTCGCATAATTTCATTTCGCATAATGATGAAACACCCTACTTGGTAATTTGTACCGTGGACTCAGGTGTTTCGTCAGATTTACGAAGCCTTTATCCTGTACTACGCTAAACAGCTGGTCCTCCAGTGCCACAAACTCCATTATTTTCCTAGTGGTGGCTTTGGACTTTTCAGTGCTGATGTCGAACATAGGAGCCACGGCGGAAGGTTGTTGTGGTCGCTGCGACTCTACTGCATCCCTCCTCTTAGTGGCAGTGTATTCCTTATATTTGCTAAACAAGCCTGGGTGCTTCTTTTCCAAGTGGCGTATTAAGTTTGTCTTAGGCGTTGATCCTCCACGGCTGACTTTTGACTTGCAAGCATTACAAACAGCGTGTTTTGGGTCGCTCTGGCACACAATGTCAAATCACCGACATGTTTTCCTCCTGAGTCTTGCTAATTTTTAGCAGTTTTGCTCGGAGCTGAGACACACCGCGCATGCGGGTCAGTTTGCTCGGCGAAAACCGGCAAATTACGACAGTGACCGGCCGGTCACCGGTTGGGGCGGGTTGGATATAAAACCGGCTTTTTAAATCGGCGGCCGATTAATCGGTGCATCTCTACTTATGATGACTAGAAACAAGTTTGCACTGTTTGGTTCAAAACACAGAGTCTATGTCCACAGACAAACTGGTGAATGTATGAAATCCATGTGTTACACCCACAATTCAGCATGGTGGTGTTAGTTTCATGGTATGGGGATGTTTTGCAGGTGATGGAGTAGGAGATTTGTTTGAAGTAAAGGGTATCATGAAGAAGGAACAGTACCACTCCATCCTCCAGCACCATGCTGTTCCATCTGGACTCAGACTTGTGGCTCATAAGTTTTTTTTGCAGCAAGATAATGACCCTAAGCACCCTGCCAAGCTCTGTCAGGGTTACCTAGACAAAAAAGAAGAGGAAGGTGTTCTTCAAAAGATGGTTTGGCCCCCTCAGTCTCCAGACCTTTCTCCAATAGAGCTTGTGCGGGATGAACTGGATCAATCGGTCAGAAAAACGCGTCCCACGAATCAGCAGTCTCTTTTTAATGAACTTAAGAAAGCTTAGAATGCAATCCCTGGAACATACCTAAAAAAACTTGTGGAACGTATGCCTGGTATATACCAAGCTGTTGTTAAAGCCAGAGGAGGTTACTTTAAAGAAAGCAAAGTCTAAGCAACAATATAACTCAAATACCTGATAATTATAGTTAAAATGTCTTCTGATAAGTTACTCTTTACACAACAGTCATGTTTATTGTGTTTCAAATTATATATGTGAAACTATGATCTTTTTTTGTACAAATCTGATCTTGCTTCCAAACTTTTGGCCTGTAGTGTACATACGTGCACGCACCTAGTATGAGTATTAGGATTTGTGAGTTATCGTCGGCGATGTCACTGCTGACTCATCACCCCCCCAACCCCCATTAACCCATTTAAAGAGGGACAGCAAGTACGCGTGCTGTCTCAAATGACGAATCAAATCATCATACCCGCCTGCCTCTGATAGGCTAATGAAGCGATTGTATTCATGCTCGGACCTTGAATTGAATGGACGCTTGAATCATGAATGCCACTTGTTTTAAAGAAAGCAAATAGTTGGTAATTTCCCAGTTCAGTCTTTACTTTTATTTATACAGCCATTTTATTCCATTTGAGTTTGTTTGTTCAAGGTTTTCAAAAATGTGATGAAGGTTTGGAAAAAAAAAAACAATAGTAATCTTGAACGCCACATATAAAAGCTCTCAAATACTTTTTGAATTTTGTTTCTATCTGCTACAGAGGCCGAGATATCAGCTTTTTTGTAAACCTCAACACTTCAGAAAACCTCAGGATCTGGGGGCCCTTCTCAAAACTGCCCTCAGGATTTCCGACAGGGTTCAGGTCTTAATGGGTTAATAACAAAGTTATGTTCAGCGAACTCACTGCTGATCCATAACCCCCGCTCACCCCCTCTGTAAGGAGCGAACTACATCTACCTGTGTGGGTCCTTAGGCACGACCTTTAACCCTATGGCCTACCTCATAAACATGAGTGTGTACCATTGAAAGCCAAACTGGCTCAGTTGGTACAGTTTGTAAAAGCAAAGCTCCCCAAATGCATATATCAATTTTAACCCAAGATCACAAGTCAAATTAACTTGAAGATTTGGTTAGCTGACCCTGAAAAAGAGTTATTGTGTCAACCAGAAATTTGGGTTAATTTGAATAACCCAACATTCTGGGTCAAAATAACCCAATAAGTAGCCAGTCCCTTTTCAACCCAAGTTTTTAGAGTGTATGCTATAAAAAACCAGACACTGCCAGATATACCCGCCATTATGATCTAAAATCAGGTATCTGTGCTGAAAAGATGTCTTCTTTGAAATCAAGATTCTTGTGCATCTTGATGCTCCATTTCCTGGCGCAGAAGACACCTGCTGACCTGAAAGTTGACCAGAAGAAGATCATTGACTCCCTCCATAAGGAGGGTCAGTCTCAGAAGGTCCCTGCTGAGAAGTCTGGCTGTTCACAGTCTGTATGAACCAGATTCATGGAAAAGTGAGGGAGGAAAAAGAGACAAGAAACAGGGATGACAGCAGACTGGAGAGGATTGACAAACAAAGATTCAAGAACTTAGAGGAGCTTCACAAAGACTGGACCTAGGCTAGAGTCAGAGCATCACATAGAAAAATCTGGAAAATGGATTACATTTGTAAGGGTTAGGGTGTCAAGATGCTCCTGAACCAGCGACAACCTCAAAAGAATCTCTCCTAGACAGGTCCAAAGTCCTGTCTTCAGATGAAAAGTCAATCAGCTTCTCAAATGATGCGCTTGAAACAAGAGGTTGCTGCAAGTCTGGTCTCTCTGCATTATCTGTAATTTTTGCTAGATTTTTAAAATATTTTTGTTGTCATTTTGTTGGCTGCTGATGGATACTTCTGCTGGGTGAAGAGTTTACTTAAGACAAGAGCTCCTTTCATTGAGAAAAAGCAAATCTAGACAACATACAATTCCAGAGGACATCAGGAGGTGTTATCGTGGTTGCCGTGCTGGTGCAAAGGAGAAGGCAAAGCTGAATGCTAGGAGGTGGCGATACAAACCCTTTCTTCCATCAATCATCATGGGAAAATTCAACTCTCTGCCCAACAAAAGCGATGAGCCTGGAGATATTGGTGAAGACTGAGAAAGCATACTGTGAGTGCAGTTTCCTGTGATTCACTGAAACCTGGTTGAATCAACAAAACTCAGACTCCAGTGTGGATCTACCTGGCTTCACTCTTATAAGGTCAGACAGATATGCTCAAGCTAGTGGCAAGAAGAAAGGAGGAGGTCTGACTTTATTTTCAACCAGAGATGGTGTAACCCTTCACACATAACTGTCAAGGAGAAGTTGTGTTGTCCTGATCTTGAACTGTTGGCAGTTGTTCTTCGACTATATTATGTTATATAGAGCTGGAGTACAAAAAAAAAAGATAGAGAAGAATCTACAACACAGCAACATCTGTGAAGTGTGGAGAGAAATCAGTACCATCTCTGGACACAGCAATAAAAAGAAAGCCAGCCAGTGTTGGGTGATCTGGAAAGAGCTGATGAACTCAACCTGTTCTTCAACAGATTTGACACTGCTGTCACACCCACTTCCACTGCTTCTCCACCTTCCTCTCCGCAACAAATCACCACTACAACTTCTCCCTTTCCTCCTCCATCTTGTTCAGATGTCTCAACCACATCAACTGCCTCCCTCCTAGAACACCAGTCCTTGTCTGTCACTGAAACAGGGGTGAGGAAAGAGCTTGGAAGACTTTGTCCTGGGAAGGCAGCTGGTCTAGATGGTGTGTGTACAAGGCTGCTTAGAGACTGCGCTGTAGAACTGTGTCAATCTCTCCACAGGATCTTTAACCTGAGTCTACAGCTGGGGCGGGTACCTACTCTGTGGAAAACATCCTGCATTGTGCCAGTACCAAAAACAAAATGTCCTGCTGAACTCAATAACTACAGACCAGTGGCCCTCACTTCACACATCATGAAAACCCTGGAGCGGCTGATTCTACGCCTTCTGAGGTCTGATGTCAAAGACAAACTGGACTCCCTGCAGTTTGCATAAAAAAAGCACATTGGAGTGGATGATGCTGTCCTCTACATGCTTCAACGCGCCCCGTCTCATCTGGAGGAACCTGGGGTTTATGTGAGGATCATGTTCTTTGACTTTTCAAGTGCATTCAACACCATCCAACCTACCATAGTCAAAGGCAAGCCAACAGAGATGGGATGGATCCTGCCTGTGTTTCCTGATCACAGATTACCTGACAGGAAGGCCACAGTTTGTCAGGCTGGGAAACTGTGTTTCTTGGACATTAATGAGCAGTACAGGGGCTCCACAAGGGACAGTGCTGGTGCCATTCCTGTTCACACCGTATATGTCAGACTTCAAATACAGCACTGAGTCCTGCCACATCGAGAAATACTCAAATGACACTGCTATATTGTGGCATGTATCAGAAATGGACAAGAAGCTGAATACAGAGCTCTAATAAGAGCCTTCAGTGACTGGAGTCTCAGAAACTGCCTCCTCCTCAATACCTCAGAGACAAAGGAGATGGTCATAGACTTCCGCAGATCCAAACCCCCTCTTCAGCCAGTGAACACTTGTGGAGTGGACATCGAAGTGGTGACATCATATAAACATCTAGGTGTAGTGCTGGGCGATATGGAAAAAAATGTATATCACGATATGGATCATTTTATATCACGATAACGATATATATCACGATATAGCTATGGTATGCTTTCAGTTCTATGAAAAATTAAAGTGTATACAGCTGCCCTAGTACAGTGCCAGTACAAGACAAGCGCATAAAACTAGAAAAATGAATAAATAAATACGTGGCTGAAGTGCGTTCATGTCTGTGCTCACCCAAAGTTATGCAACACTCACAGAAAACGCCGATAGTGTGAGCCAAAGCACTCCATAATAATAATAATAATAATAATAAATTTAATTTGTAATGCACTTTACATTTACAAAAAATCTCAAAGTGCTACAGTACACAGTAAAAAAAGAACAGCAACAATAAAAAAAGCAATAGAATGACAGTCACAGATTGGCATAAAAAAAGGCATAAACGAATAAAAAAAATTAAGAATATAGAGTTGCAATGTAAGAGGCAAGGTAGTAAAAGCATAAAGCATAGAGGAAAGCTAACTAAAGGCTTTATTAAAAAGGTAGGTCTTTAGGGCTCTTTTGAAGAGGTTGTTCACACTGCATGATGTTTCTCCTCCAAAGCTGCTCTCTGCCTCCATCATTGTTTACTTTACTCTTGAAGCACGTAGCAAGACCCGAGCATGAATCCGAGCGCTTTATTCGCCTATCAGGGGCAGACAGGTAAGGTGATTTGATTCGCCACGACTCCAGAAATGATTGAAAAACTACAGAATGTCACAAAATTACGTTTCCCCGCCCCTGGCTCGAAGGGTAGCGCAGCCGCGCTCCCAGCTGACAGGAAGTCAAACCACTGTTGTAGTTCTTTTGTGTTGCTAGCGCGGTCAAGAGTGTTGGCTCTCACTGAGACATGACTACAAAAATGGACGCACCTGTTTATCTGGTTGTTAAACACGGCTGAAAATTATCATCTATTAATGTTGTTCCCGCTCCTGCCGACTCCCGTTGCTTTTTTCCCGTCCCGTCCCGATCAAGGGATTAATTAAAAAATGACTCCCATCCCGTGGGATTCCCGCGGGAATCACGGGACCCACGGGAATTCCCGACAAACGTCATCCTCTACAGGGAAGGTCCCGGAGCAGATGAAACAGGTACCGGAGCGGCTGAAATAGGTCCCGGGTCCGATCAAAAGAGGTCCCGGATCGCGCTCCGACTTGCTCTGGCACAAATTAAGCACTGCTTACAATGATTTCCTCACGTGTGTAACCCAGGTAACCCGCAACGGCGGGAGACGCTGGACACGAAGAGGGCACGTAAAGCGGCGTCATGTCGTAAAATCGAAAGAGAAATGCAAGCCTACATGTCAACGCATCCTTTTCTTTGTAAGAAAATATTGTTTTCTTTCCCGTTTGACACCAAATACACTTACTGAATGTGCAATTATTGTTGTTGTTACTATGAATCATCTGATGGCACAAGCCCTATGGATAAAATACAGCCTTTCGCCCGAAAAGATAAAAATAGAAATGGCACGATAGACATTTTCTATCGTGCCCACGATATCTATCGTCCTATCGCCCAGCACTATCTAGGTGTATATCTGGATAATAAGTTGGACTGGTCTAAGAATATAGACTTCATCTACAGAAAGAGGCAGAGTCGCCTCTTTTGCCTGAGAAGACTCTGATCAATAGACATCTGTAGTAAAATGCCGCAGATGTTTTATCAGTCTGTGGTGGCAAGTGTTCTGTTCTATGCTGCAGTTTGCTGGGGAGGAAGCATCAAACACAAAGATGCAAGACATCTTAATAAACTGGTGAAAAAGGCTGGCTCTGTGGTTGGACTCAAGCTGGACTCAGTGGAGGATGTGGTGGAGAGATCTACACCGAGGAAGGTGGAGTCTATTCTCAAGAACATGGATCACCCACTTCACAACACCTTGATGGACCAAAGGGCCAATGGTGGTGGACGGCTCCTCTCTCTTCGCTGCAGGACAGAACGATTCAGAAGATCTTTTGTACCAACAGCCATTAGACTTTATGACTAATGTAAATAGTAGATAACTGTTATATACATATTACATGAGACAAAGGACAATTGAATTTCCCTTCAGGGATTAATAAAGTTATTCTTATTCTTATTAGAAATAATGGAGTTTTAAAGTCAGAACTCATAAAGTTCTTGTATCAAGGTTACAGAGTCGGGGGAAAATCAGTGAGGCCCAAGGAGCTTCAAGTCTAGTGTGACGCTTCCACAGTCTGTGATGGTTTAGGGTGCCATGTCATCTGCTGCTGCTGGTCTACTGTGTTATCAAGTCCACAGTCAATGCAGCTTTATGTCTACCAGGAGGTTTTACTGAGATCCAGATTTCCTTTTTCAGTAGGACCTGGTACCTGCCCACAACACAAAAAAAACAAACAAAAAAATCTTGGTGTTACTGTTCTTGATTTTCTAGCCAACTGGCCTAACCTAAACCCCATAGAGGGTCTCTGGGGTGTCATCAAGAGAAAGAAAAGATACACTAGAGCAACAATCCAGATGAGCTAAAGGAGGTATCAGAGACCTGCACTTCAATAAGTCCACAGCAGAGACACAGACTGACTGACTTCGTGACACAATACCCTGATGCAGTAATTCATACCAAAAGGAGCTCCGACCAAGAACTAAGAGCAATATAGGATAATTTTTCCAAAGGTCACCATTTCTTAGTTATAAGTCCTTTTTTGGATCACTGCTCTGTAATATCCTGGGGCCTTATGTATCAACGCTTGCGGCGCAAGAAAACCTTGTGTACGCCAAAATCGGCGCACACATCCAGATTTATCATCGCGAAACGAGCATCGGTTCCAGCGCTAATCAACGCAAAGTCAGGAGGTGGTGTAGAAATTGGCGTTGAGCCGATACTTGCGTTGACTGTGATTCGCACATTGGCGACGCTGTGTGGCGGTGTTTGGTGACTCACTATGTGACAAGCGTGCACCACATCCCCGTGGCCGAGCAGCACGTCGCCCCACATGACGAACCAGCAGCAGACGGAGGGATGTGAGCTGATCCCTGCCGGGCCGCCGTCCTCGCGCGGGAGAATCTCATCGCCACAGTGTGAATGGGTAAGAAGTTAATACACAGTCAAATTAATGAGCCAAATTAATTTATTTTCTCCACCAGACGCTCGAGGACATTTACGAGGCGGTCCAGCCGCTCGTTGATCTCCGCGATCCCCCTGATGATTTCTTCCTGCGATTGCAGGACCCCCTCTGCGAGGACCCTTCCACTGCGTCCGGGTGGTCCAGCGGAAGCGCCGCGGCTGGTGGACGCTCCACCGCTTGTCGGCGCGCTGGTGCTGATGCTGGTGCACCAGCTGTCCCGACGACTCCGAGCCGGCAGACGGGCTGCCGCGGGCCGGGGTTCCGCAAACCGGCGACACGGCCGACACATTGATTTCTGTGACACAATAAAAATATTGGTTCATTTCAATTCCTGCTTCTGTGTATCTGTTGCGTTTACATCTCTCTTCACGGTATCATAGGTAATGTAATCCAGTATTTAGAGGTCAGTTATGCACATTACAGTTGTTTATTGCATAAAAAGTTATCGAAAAATGAGGTTAAGGGCGAAGTATAAATCACGTCTAAAAATAACCTGAATCCCGACGTTGAAATGAAGTATAAACTTAGACTAGACGTCTAATATATGTCTTTTGCTCAGTGGGATGACAAAGCATGTGGACATTTGTGTGACACGCCACTTACCCTATAATAATAATCGCCACCACCCGCTGCTCAAACGGTGTGAGGGTCTCCTCCCCCGGACCCCCACCTGTCTGGCCAGTACTCCTCCGGAGGGCAGCTGTACGCCGCTTGACCTCCACCTTGAGGTCTGACCACTTTTTTTTAATCTTCGCGGGGGTGCGTGTCTCGGAACCCACCGCATTCACCCTCTCGCAAACTTTCTCCCACTCCAAGCGTTTTTGTTTTGCACTGACGCCACTGGACAGGCTGCCAAACAAAACACGCTGTCGCTTCTCCACCTCGCACGCCGTAAATTTAGTTTTTCTTGTCATTTTGTCTGCGTGCGAGGACAGGGAGACCCTATTTAAATAAATCTGCATATTTATAGGAGGGCGTAACGGGGACGGGCCCAGTCACTCCGACATCTGCGCTCAATTCCACGCTGATTGGGATTTATCAAGGAAACACACGTGGATTTCGGCGCCCGCACACCTTGATACATACAGATTTTTTTCAGCGTGACGGACCTTGCGTGCGCTCGTTTCTGGTATGAGTTCCACGCAAGTGTTGATACATAAGGCCCCTGATGTTTTGAGATAGAGGATTTTGATGCTGGTGAGCTGTAAGCTGTAATGATCAAGATTCAAACAAAAAATCTGGAAATGTTGCACTGTAAAAGAGATGAATCTGGAATAATGAAAGTTGCACTTTTTGAGTTGATTTATGTGAGAATTTTTTTTTTGAGCTGCACCTGTAAATGCCAACACTACTCTTGTTAATGGTCTATGTTTTTTTATTTCTGTGTAAGTTTTTTCCTCAGAGTGGCAAAAGTTCTAGTATTTAGGAACAGGTTAGATCAATTCTTTTTTTCTCATATGAAGTGGTAACCTCCAGTCTTGAAAGATAAAGCAGGGACTGAACTTTTTCCTCCACCCCAACCACAGCCATAACAAAAAACAAGGACAATGTTATAGAAAACCCCCTACCAGGGTGGCACACTTACCAATTAGCATGTAAAAGAATGGTCTTTGGCACATAAATAGTCATAGTCACGGAGTTAATAAAACTTCTTTGCAGGTAATGGATCTAAAGTGAGAACACTGCTTATAAAGATCAATAAATACTTTGTAATGCACTTATCTAGAGCTATAAAAGTGGGGGTACTGTGGTAAGTGTGCTCAGGTTCAAACCCCACTTTTGGCTCCATTCCCACATGCCATGACCCCCCCCCCCCCAAATTCCAACTCTGTCAACTGTACTTTCTCTTCACTTAAGGCACAAAAATCTATGGATGTCCTGACCAGGTTTTTTTCGCCCCCAACTCCAAGTCCAAGTCATTTGATTTTGAGTATCTGCCGATACAGAGTCTCAATCCGATACTTCTATAGTACATTAAAAAAATTAAGAAGAGCGAAGAAATAGATCCAGGATGTCCCTGATTTTTTATTTTATTCACCATATTTGATCATTTCAGACTTATAAACAGAGCACTCTGTGTGGTAACTTGAACAATCAAGTAATAAAAAAATTCACAACATTGAAGTTTAGTGCAACAATGTCTAATTTAAAAACAAACAGCAGCTCAACTTGAATTACCTGGTAGGTATGTAAACAAATAAGATAATAATAGTGCCACAGTGTTATAAAGTAAGGCCAGTAATGTGATTTCCATGAACCTCTGCTGATGTGCTTCTCACGGATGGGGCCTGTGACTGCCTCTCTTGTAGGATTTCCTCAAAGGCGCTGTCCCGGCTGCTGCATGATTCATGCCGTGGTGCCTCGCTCACTAGTTCTGCCAAAGCCACTGCTTCCTTTTGGACTGCACTGGCGACCCTTGTCCCCTCTATTTTTGCCACCTCCTGGATAAGGTGTTCCTTTGGAAGCGTCAGGTTGGCAGACTTTGTGAAGATGCTAAATATATATATATTATATATTAGAATTACAGTAATCCAGCCTAGAGGTAACAAAGGCATGGACTAGTTTTTCCGCATCACTCTGAGACAGGATGGGTCTAATTTTTGAAATATTGCGCAGGTGGAAAAAAGCTATCCTAGAGATTTGTTCAATGTGGGAGCTAAAGGACAAATCCTGATCAAATAAAACTCCCAGATTTGGAAATCCTCCAATAAACCGTTGTTATGAAGAAAATCACAAAGTTGATTCACAACAACTTTCTCCAGGACTTCAGAAATAAAAGGAAGGTTGGATATTGGTCTATAGTTAGCTAGGGTGCTTGAGTCAAAAGTAGGTTTTTTAAGGAGAGGCTTAATCAATGCAGTCTTAAAAGAATGGGGAACATACTGATCTTAAGATGGCGCCGTCCTAGCGGCAGCTTGTTGTAGTCTCCTTTGCACATCTACACTTACAGATTCATTCATCTTAGTACATACTATTTAAGTACTCATATTCATTCATTACCTTGTATAGTCTTGTATATTTTATCTATTTTTTGTATTTCTCTGTATTGCTTGTATCGGCTACTACAACAACCGAATTTCCCCTCGGGGATTAATAAAGTTATCTATCTATCTATCTATCTATCTATCTATCTATCTATCTATCTATCTATCTATCTATCTATCTATCTATCTATCTATCTATCTATCTATCTATCTATCTATCTATCTATCTATCTATCTATCTATCTATCTATCTATCTATCTATCTATCTATCTATCATATCCTGTTAATAAAGATGTGTTGATCAGGTTAAGCAAGGACATACTGATCAAAGGAAGAGTTTCCTTCAGCAGTTTAGATGGAATTGGGTCCAAAAGACACGTAGATGGTTTGGCTGCCAGCACCACTGACTTTAACTCAGGAAGGTCAATAGGTGCAAAGTTACTAAGGTGCACCAGAGGCCTTAGGGGCTCCTCAACAATTTCAGGGTTATCCAAGAGAGAGACACCTGACAAATGCAAGAGGTTACTAATTTTACTTCATATTTTTAAGATTTTTTCATTGAAAAAGCTCAAGAAGTCGTCGCTGCTGAGGGCTAATGGGATACATGGTTCAGCAGTGCTCTGACAGTCCGTCAGCCTGGCTACAGTGCTAAAGAGATACCTGGGGTTATTCTTATTTTCTTCAATAAGAGACGAGTAGTAAGTTGTCCGAGCACGTCGTAAGGCCTTTTTATATTTATCAAGACATTCCTGCAAGAGAAAACGAGCTTCAGCTGTTTTGGAAGAGTGCCAATCCTTTCTCGTCTTCTTAATAACTATTTCAGCGCACAGGTTTCAGCATTATACCACAGAGCCAGCCTCTCGCGTGTAAGAGTTTTCTGTCGAAGAGGAGCAACTGAGTCAAGAATTGATCACAATGTGCCTGAGGTATCATCGACGAACTGATCAAGTTGCAAGGGACTGATGTTCAAGTATGAGCTATCAGTGAAGTTCCTCTCAAGCACTGAATTAAGAGCAGATGGAATTGCCTCCTTGAACTTAGTCACAGCATTATCAGACAACCTTCTAGTTAGCACGGCTTTGTTATGAGGAGAGTAGCCTGAAAGCACAAATTCAAAAGTTACTAGAAAGTGATTTGATAAAAGAGGATTTAATGAGCTGACTGACAAGGCTTCAGCTTCAAGGCCATAAGCCAGGACAAGATCGAGGGTGTGGTTAAAGCAGTTCGTAGGTCCATGTGCACACTGTGTAAACCCAATTGAGGCTCGCAAGAACAAGAAAGAAATGCTTAAGCTATCATTTTCCACATCCACATGAATATTAAAGTCACCAATGACAATGACTGTCTGCACGAAGGACTAGATCAGATAGAAACTCTGAGAATTCTGACAAAAACTCAGAGATTGGGCTGGGAGGGCGATAAACTATAGCAAATACCAGTGGTCTCATGGTCTTGAGGCTGGATGCAGAAGACTGAGAACAAGACTTTCAAAAGAGTTATAATCCAGTTTTGGTCTTGGGTTAATTCCAAGACTGAAATTATTACAGTTTTTCTCAGTCGCTTTGGTACATTTCTCGAATCATCCTCGACATTTGCAAAACAGTAAGTTCTTTTCTCAAAACAATTTGTACAAATAGCAAAACACCATGGATTACCTGCAAAAGCCAGTCTCTTGCTCAAAATCCTTAGTACATCTCTCAAAAGTAAATATCTGTGTCAATGAACATGTCAGTGCCATCAGAAAGACAAGTCCTTGTGTCATTGTGTACGGATAAGACAGTCAAATTGCTTAGTCATGTTGTCAATATAACAGTGTACTCTGGAGGGATGTTCTGATGTAAACTATGGCCAAAGTTTTGATGACAATCATTGTAAATTGTAAGTTACACCTCAGTGTATGTGGGAGATTGATTGCAAGAGACTGTAATTTGATGACAGACCATGTCATTGCGATACAGAAAAGAAAAAGACAGCACTGCAGAGCACAATAAAAAAAAACAAAAAAACAAAAGTAGAAATGTGAACATAGGACAATTTCCTTAGGGAAAACTGGAAATGCAGTGCTGTAAGAATTACAGTACAGTCTTCCTACACCTCCTGATGTTCCTGTCTGTTGGGCAATAAATTCTTATCCACAAAATGTCTCTCATCCAAAATGTCACTGTATATACTATACTTACTGTATATTGTAAAATGAAAGTCGAATACTGCAATATTGTATGAAGCATCACAGAAAGTATACAGTATTACAGTACAGTGCCTATTGTTAGATTACAAACCTGTTCTGTCAACGAAAAGTCTCAATGATTGAGGACACAGTTGTTCTCCCAACATTTGGCTGCACCCTTCGGCCAGCCTCAGCCATTGTAAGCCCATGATTGAGAACGTGGTCTACAAGTGTACCTCTTATCTCATCAGGAACATGCATATGTCCTCTGCCTCTTCTGCCTCTTCCTCTGTTTTGCCTCCCAACTCCTCCGCCACGCAGCCTCACTCCTCTTCCTCTTCTTCTCTCTGGCTGTTGACCCCGTCCAATTCCTTGTCCTTCCATTGTCAGACATTGTAACATTGTGTTGTACCCTGGCAATATATGTACTTGCCAGTTGATGGTTCATGAGATGCACCTTTGAGCTGTTTCAGAAAAGTGGTTGATCATTGGTTGATCTAATGCTTCACACATTTCCCACCGTTAGAGAAAGTCAAGATTCACCTGGGAGCAATTTACCAATTCAGGGCAGATTCAGAAACGTCTCATGAAAATGTATAGAAATATGCTTGACATATTATGACAGCTTGTTCAACCATTTTGCGTGTAAAGACTTATGCGATGAACTAATGCCTAAATGTTGTGGGGGGTGAGACTATTCAACAGAGACCCATTATAATACATTTTGATCAACATGACATAAGCAATTGATAATGTAGAAAACAGCAGAAAATTGTACATAATCATTTGCATGGCTGTACCAAAGCATTTGCAAGTTGGTCAAAGAAATGAGAAACTGCTTTTTTGATGTGCACAAGTGGCACAATGATGTGAAGATTGAACACTTAGTTTTGAGAATTTCAATTCTGATCTAAGAAATGTACCAAAGCAACTGAGAAAAACTGTAATAGCTGCAACTCCACCACCTCGGCCAGAGTCCCGAGGAATGTGAAAGCTTAGGTGGCTAGGAGGAGTGGATTCATTCAAGCTGACATATTCATCCTGACGCAGCCAAGTTTCAGTTAGGGAGAGTAAATCAATGCGATGATCAGAGATTAGTTCATTTATTAACACAGATTTGGAACTTTGAGACCTTATGTTCAGTAGACCACATTTTATCTTACTACTACTCAGTTCAGCTATGTTAGCAGTTTTAGTTCTAGTAAGGTTGTTGTTATTTACTCCTTTGTTAATCGATCGGTTAGAATGAAAGAGCAGAGGACAAGGGACAGACAGTCTCTATATTAAAGTGACAGTAGCTGCTCTAACAAAAGTGCAGAGGAACGTGCAGAACTGTGGCTCTGCTCCCTTGTCTCTGTATATAAGTGATAGTGGCTGGGAAGCTGCTCTAAAGGAGGCGCAGGGGGGCATGTAAGACTGCGGCCCTGCTCCCTTATCTCTGCTCTGAATTGTTAGTGGTTCGGACTAATAAAATCGGCCAGATTTCTTGATAAACGGGCCGCTACATCTCAAGTGGGATGAATGCTGTCCCGACTAATCAGACCGGGCCAGGGTGTCTGTCACACTCAGCTGGATAAGCAGGCCCTCATGCATACAGACTTGGCAAGCCAAACTCCGCACTCCCATATCCTCCATGCCTATCTTCATATTTGCAGCATTGTCACACAAAATTACGTGGACCTGCTGCTTGTCGATTCCAAGTTGTTTAGCATCTTTTTCATGGCCTGTTGGATGCACTGTTGTGTTGGATCCACAAAATTCCTGGGCGTGCAGAGTCGCACGGCATAAAACAAAACTGGGGGTCGATAAATTGTCAGGTGAGAGTCAGTAATGACATCGGAACCACAGACGAACTTGAGATATCTGTTGTAAATGAAACATGGGGCACGTCTGGTAACAGGACACATAGGGCTCTATTTTCATGTCTGCCGGTTTTGCGGCGGACTCCGCACAGTGGTATTTTTGTCTGGCAGAGCCCGGCGTACAGCCAGTTTGCTATTTTCATGGACTGAGGAACACCGAGGTCCCAAGCTAGGCATGGTGGCGTGGCAGGGGGAGGTGTCAACAGAATTAGCTGGTGCAGTGACATTTTTGTGCTCGCCGCCGGCGAGTAAAGTGCGCTGAGAGCTCACCGATTCAGACCTGGTCAGCTTCAAGCACAGGGGGAGCGCAGCTGGTCTAGTGGCATTTTGGTAGACCGGCGGCATATCGGCAGACGTCACTGATGCCTCACCGGCAGATTTCCACAGTGTCAGGCACATTTCAGTGCAATAAATAATCATCAACAACTAATAATCCGAGTCAGCACATACAGTACATTTAGATCCATATAGATATATTCTGATCTATATCTGATCTGATGAGCGCGTTTGGCACGTGTTTAGACACTCAACCTGACAGAATTAACACAGCTGAAACCGCATTAAATTAAAGTAAATATCTAGTAAATAGTGAACAAGACATATTATTCGTCTCCCTCCTTTTTTTTCTTCCTCTTCCTCTTATTTCTTGCGCAGCTCGACCTGGACATGTGTCCGTGTCCTCTCCCCATCCTGCTGCAGCTGCTGCTGTGGCGGCTGAACAGATGATTTATTTTAGTGATCAGATGAGTTATTTACTTTAGGCCTACATACGAATATTATAACATTCAGTTTTGTGAGCAAAATTCATTTTATATGCCATATTCTATGAAAGAAAGAGCCAGGCCACGGAGCACGATGCGTCATTTCAAGCATTTTAATTCCGATTTTAATGCCATTATTGGAATTTATGTTGTGATCTGTGCGCACAACCCACCTTTGTCATGTGAGGTTTAAATATATGCAACTTTATGTGATTGTCTTTATTTGTCGAAAAGGGTGTTTGAAGATTGTAATACGTCTCACCGGTGGCGGATTACAAGGCGAGGAGAGGAGCTTTTGTGTTTGGTGAAAACAGGTCTCGGCTGTGTCAAACCCACTCCACGCCTTCTCTCCTCCCTCCCTACGATTTACGCCACTGGGAGGAGCTGAGTTAGGGAGGGGGGTTATTTACGCCGGGCTGCTTCACTCACCAAAATACCAAATTGTGCTTGGGAATGCCTTGTCAGCACAGCGGACCTGACTTACACCGTGCATGCGCCACGTCGCCAGCGAGGCACGGAAATAGAGCCCATAGTTAGTCACAAACCTTTTTTTGAAGGCAGAGCCTTCTCAGTGAAATAGTGGCAAGAGGGCATGTAAAATCAGAGTTCCAAGTATTCATTAGCATAAGAAATCCAGGATCTTCTACAAGGGCGAATGGCTGGTCACTCATTGCCATCATTTGTGCTATTTTAGCTGTCAACAACCGAGCCTTCTCACAGTCATCGGGCATTTTTTTCTCTCCGTTTCAAAGTGTCTTGCAGGGTAGGCTGACTTGTATTTGACTTGGTTGCCTGGGTAAACTGTGTGTATTGTGTCGGGTGTTTGTTTCTAAGGTGCCGTATCAGGTTGGTTGTGTCGAATGCAGCCTTGTCCTTGCCACTTCTTGAAATCCCAAGTTTGCATATCTCACTGTTAGCAATCGCACCATTTTTGTCATCCACTTTAAAATACCTCCACACAGCAGACATATCCGTGCCCCCAGGTTCAAGCTGCTGCCGTGTTCTGCTCCGCTTTACCGCACGCAGCAAAGAGACGTCATGTCGCATGCACCACCATATAACAGTAAATACTAAGCTGTTATTTTTCCCATTTGTTTTGAAATATTATAGATATGATAAGAAAAATAATGAGAATAAATATACATATTGGAGTGAACCCGCAATAGTGAATGTGCATGGCTGGGGTGTATGTGATTGGATGTGAGAGCGAGGGGGTGGGGAGAGTGACTGAGAGATGAGGGTTATGTGTGTGTATGTGTGGGGGTGATGAATGGAGGAGATCTGTCTGTTGGTAGTTGCATGGATGTTCCCGGAAGTTCTGCAATAAAGGCAGCGGCTCTGTTCAGAGCATTTTGTCTTCAATACATCTTGCTTTACGCGTCAGACAAGACACTACAATACATAGAAATATATCCGATCCCTGATTGGGATGTAACTTCAGATTCCGATTGAGTCTGAAAGCATGTGATTGACCCCGATTTCCGATCACATAATTGGATTGGGGCATCCCTACAAAAATCCCAAAAATACAATTAAAAAGGAAAAAAAGCAAATCAAACTTATTTGCTGGTACTGGATCTTAAAGGTAGGATAGGCAGTGATGTTCAGATACACTTTTTGTTATAGTGGATGAAATGGCCCTTCCACCCTGAGAGTAGTCAATTCATTATGTATTCAGAAAGAGAAAGGAAAAGAATCCAAGATCTGGGGCAGCCGCAGGACTGTAAAAACTTTAACCAATCATAGCATTTGGTCCGAATGTAAAGAACCAATCAGATGCCTCCAAGTCTCGCCCAGCTCCCTCTGCCTCACCTCACCTGTTATCTGGAGAATATGTGACCATTTTACAATGGCAGAGAAAAAGCAGCGTAAAATACTAGTTCCAGCGCTGGCTGTGACGGCCCGGTCGGCTACACCGCCAAAGACGAGAAAGGTGGAGGCAGAAAGGGCTGCAATGAGGAAGTTTCTGGATAAAGCCAGAGGACAAACCAGAGTCAACAGCAGCCTCCCCTGCGGTGGAGACAATAGAGCGATTGTTTTGTTTCTGTTGGAAAGGTAATTATTTGTTTAGCTTTGGTGGATTTTTTTTTTTTTTCTGAAAAAATTTAATGTTCGCCAGCTTAGCTGCTTTGGTAGCTCATATTAGCCCGATGCTAATATTAGTTTTTCTCTGCTTTTTAGCGGTCGTGGCAGTCAGTGTTGCGCCGTAGAATGCACCCCTGACAGGAGCATAGTTGAAAGTACTTAACAAGGTGAAATAATCCAAGTTTTCCTTACCATTGGACAGATTCAAAAGCTTGTGCCTTTAACGATTTCATTCAGGCTATTCAGATAAGCCAAAAACAATAGCCCTATGATTCAGAGTATTTGCTGTCCCGATAATATAATGTTCTTTACCTTGACAGCTTACTGTACATTTTATATACCCGAGTACACTTCTATATATGCATTTTTGAGTCAGAGTCAACAGAACGAAAGTTTGCTGCTCCATTTGACATGTTGTCATGATCCAATAACTGTGTTTTTTTTTTTTTTTAATATGAGATCATTTTCTTCCACTTTAGTGCTGCATTCGAGTTACCTTGGAAGTCAGAAGTCCAAGCTGAAAATGACGTCACACCCAAGTTGCTAGCGTTTCAATTACCAAGTCGGAAAAAAGCAAAATTGGAGGCCTGAAACAAGATGGCCACATCTACGAAATATATTTTAGCTGTTGCCTTCTCCGGATATAAGCCAAGCACCAAAATAACTTTCGTAGTTGTAACCATCCTGTCTCAGGTCTCCAATGTTGCTTTTTTCTGACTTGGTAACTGAAACTCTAGTAACTTGGGTGTAATGTCATTTACAGCTCCGACATCTGACTTTCGAGGTAACTTGAATGCAGCATAAGAAGCTAATGAGTGGATGGGATGTAGGGGATGCATTCCACAGCACAACACCGGCGTTAGGGTCCTGCTGTATTGAAGAGGTTGTTGGATGTGACATTTTGGTCATATCGCACACCTTCAGTCACCAGTGTCTGCATGGTAGTCTGTTGGCATCTACAATAGCACCAATGCTATTTACTTTCCTGTTGCCTGTTCCCATTTCTAATTATCTAAAGAATTTATCTGTATTATATCTGAATTAAATTGGAAGCACCATTGTTGTTTAAAAAAGGCCTGCGTAGTGGTGTTGTTGACTGATTAAGCAGTTTGGAAAGTATGCAGATAAAATAAATAAGTACAACAGCTATTTTAGGCAGCGTATTTGTGGCATGTGGTGTATTTAGAGGACCCAGAAGCAGACACAGAGGCAGATAGCAAATTAAAGATGTAAGTTTAATGTCCAAACTCAAAGGGGAAAAGACACGAGGAAAGTCCGGTTTGCTGGCTGGCTGTTGTATGGGCTGGAGACACTAAAAAAACAAAGGAGATGGGAGTGAGACAACACACAAAAATTCACAGGGAGCAAAAAGTCACAAGCACTTTTCCGAAAAGAAGGCCAGGAGACGCGGCTGTACCACTCAGGAGTGAAGACAATACTCAAGTGCTGAGACTGAGGGCTACTGGCTTCTTAAAGGGCCTTGATTGCCGATGCAGTGCAGGTGTGGAGTCTCACTCAGCCTCAGCGACCTGGGAGGGGGAGGGTGCTCTGGAACAGAGTCAAACCAGACCAGAGGCCTGTACTACGAAGCTGGATTTGGTCTTAGCGAGATAACTTCTCGATAACTTCTGGGTTTTCTGTACTACGAAGGTGGATCTCTTTTTATCCAGGTCCGTTGCCCCGGTAACTTACGCGGAACGGCAAACCTGCTCCGTAGCAGGTTATGTTTCAGGATAAGATCTCAGCAGGTATAAAAAACCGCCCACTGACCAATCGGATCTCTTGGAAAATGGCTTGCCCAATCTTGCCGGATCCCGGGGACATCGTTGCACGGATAGTGAGAGGAGCGCTTCGCCGAGAGCGTTATATTCATGATCGTTCAATCCCGTTTGATTTACCTGATGATGTTCTCTATGAATGTTACAGGTTTTCCTCGGACGGCCTCAATATTCAGGTAGTATGAAGTCTAAGCAATGCACAAATATTTGCTAAGCTCCAGGTTCCAATTTCATGCGGCATGTCAGTCGTCATTCAGAATTTATTGAAGCAGATTAGAAAACTCTTAACCCCAAATGTGTCTGCAGATGACATGTGACCATCAGATGATGAAGAAAAAAGAAAAAAAGGCAGTGTGAGGAAATCACTGTTTACGTGTTGAAATATGTACAAATAAAATCTTCCAGTAAACTTACAAACTACTTTAAAGGATGTTTTTAGATTTATTTTTATTTGCTCCCACGTACTCTTTTCCCCACTGCTGTTGTGTCTGAAATAATGAGGTCTATGATGGAGGTGATCACACACGCTGCATGACAACATATTAGGGGGCCATAAATTTATGAACGCACAAATGTAATTTACACAATCGATGATTTTTTTTGTCAGCAGTCCCTCCGGCTTTTAGTGGCTGTGGCTGTCCTGCTCCTCGCTGTTATAATGTTGCGGTACTCCTCGTAAAATAATGCTCTGTTCTTCAGCTGTGAAAAATGACGTGCAGCCTTCTCCATTGTGGAGATTGGTCCGGTGGCACTGACCCCACCCCCTTTACGTGTGCGCGCACAGATCTGAAGTGGCCACACCTGGATTCAGTTATCGAGTTGGATAACCAGCTTCGTAGTACAGCTGATCGGGATCGCGGAGATCCGGTGAAGTTGAGCGAGTTGTCGCAGAGTTATCCTGGATGTGTTAATCCAGCTTCGTAGTACAGGCCTCAGGAAAACAAAGAAAAACAGGAAGTCCAACTAAAATAAAACAAGAGGAGAAGGCGTCTCACCACAGTAATATCTTTATGCCACACTCTCCTGTTCTACATTTCAGCTACTGCAAACTGTATAACAGAAAGTCCAGAGCAAGGAGTTTGTACACCATAAAGGCCCCACAAGATGTACATCAGACGAAGAGGACTTATTGTTTGGATATTTTTTTTCCAATAGATTGATGTTATATTCTATCTTATGTGTCATTTTAAGGCACCGCTACTACTGCTGACTCTGTTGTGACAAAAATTGGTCAAGTCTTTGCTGATGTGGTTGGTAATGATAATGATAATTTACTCGTCTGGTAATAAATTGCCGGGGAGTCGGAACAAGTATGAGCGTCTGTTTGTGGGCTGGGCCTGCTGGAGCAGCGAGGGAGGGGAGAGGAGGAGCTGAGGAGAAAACTGGTGGGGAGGGTAAGTGTTTACATTCAAAATTTCTCCCAAAAACTGGCACTTCTGAGATCCTGCCTCCCCCACCTTTAATCTTTATAGGCAGTGTTCCTACTTTAGATCCAGTACCTGCAAAGAAGCTTTATTAGTGCACAATAAGTGCATAACAAAGTATTACACAGCTTTTATATTTCCTTATGAAGCATAGTTAATGTAAACAAACAGCTCATTGATGTTTATGACAGTATATAAACAATAAGTTTCTAATCAGAGCATAATGAGTGTCTTAGAAGACATGATAAAGGTATTTATTATGTCTCTATCAACATTTATACAAACTTATTTGTGTTAATAAGAATCCAATAATGTCTTTTAATGTCTTATGAGTGACTTATTACATATTAATTACAACTTATTACAACCACCTTAATATAAAGTGTTACCCAATTTCCTTAGTGCTGTCTCATGCTGCAGTTTCCTATCACCTCTGACTGCCTTTGTTCTTATCACACTGAAAAGGAGGAACAGTGAAAACACGCTATCAGATGATAAGTTTTAACTCTCATCACAGTCATTGTCACAGTCCCCAATGTTTTATCTCATATCTGACTGTTCTGTCAGTGTTTCTACCACAACAACTTTTTTCCTCTGTGCAGGGTACAGAGAGGGGTTTCTATGGAAACGAGGAAGAGACAACGGTCAGTTTCTGAGCCGAAAGTTCATCCTCTATGAAAGAGAAGGAGCACTGAAATATTTCAACAAACAGGATGTAAGTAAGAGGACACAGCTCTTAACAGGTCTGAAATGGTGTGTACCGCAGCAAAATTCTACTTTGGTAAAAGCCAGTCATTGCTTGAAATGTAAGTCATCCATGTTGTTCCTCTACTAAGGCAAGGGATCCCAAAGCAGTGATGAAAATAGAAACCCTTAATGCTACTTTCCAACCAGCCAAGATCGGCAACCCATGTGGTCTGCAAATCACCTACCTGAAGGACAACAGCACAAGAAACATCTTTGTCTACCACAGTGATGCAAAGGTAAATGCAAAAGGTCCCATATAATTAGAAACATTTTTTTGCCTACACAGTAAACCTATGCCATCCTTCAGAAATCCCGTGGAAGAATCATCACAAGAGTAACCCTCATAGCCCTGTATGAAAACTGCTCCCACTCCGGGAGTTTTCCACTTCTGCATACTTATTGTTTTACCTTGCAGAGTCATGATGTTTCAGGTAAGATCTAAACATGCCAAGTGCCCTGTTGTATATATTCTGTCCCAGCAATGCTTTTTATTTTTGACAACAATGGGCGAGCTATAGTGCTAGCCATTTTACCTCTGCCTGAAAACAGGAATAACACTCAGTCACACTAAAAATGAGTAAGCCCAAATGTCTGTTTATAAAGATTAAAATGATTGATGAGGTCCATTTTTCTAAGTTTTTAATTTCATGGTTTAAAAAATAAGATGTTAATTTTCTTCTCTTTATCATCACTAAAATTTTCTTCTAGCAGAGACCCCAAGACTCAAATCCCCAGTCCTCAATTATTGACATTTCCTAAACGAAAGAGATGATCAAATTCAGCTATTGAATCATAGACAGATATAAGCCAAAAACTCTTAAGTGGCTACAGTTAAGTGTATAAAATCTGCAGCTGCAATGTACTGTATGTAAAACTTCTTCATAGAATACATGGCTAAATTTCCCAACATCAGTCCAAATAAGGGATGCATTAAAATGAAAATTATTGGCCGAAACCAAAAACCGAAAATTAGGGAACCGAGGCCGAAAATCCGAATCACAGTATGAAATTATCATGCCAATAATGAATTCCATTGCATTTATGGTCATGATTGCACACGAACCTCACTAAAATAAAGACATTGCAATTGCAGAAATAAATATTTAATTAATATTAATTAGTATTAAATATTAGATCAATTTTAATTCATGCAATTTCAATGTGAGTTTTGAGATTTTATGAGTCACCGTGTGTCTGCATGTTCTGTGTTGTTTACAACCTTTAGATGGTGCCTGTGAGTCAGGGGCAAATACAATTTGAAAGTTCTACTGGGGTGTTTATACCCAGCGTGAATAAAATCATCTACTCTCTTTATTTGTGCATATCTAGATGTGTGAATGAAAAGTATTTACTTGCTTTATTCACACAAATGATTCACAAGGATCCATTTGAGAATCAACAGAGTGCTTAAAAGCCGTGGATAGCGATTTATGCTAATTTCAACTGTGATCCTTGCCAATTCAACCAGCGGTAGCAAGTGATTTACAAGATAATCTGACCTCCTCACTCACTTTCCTCCTGGGGGGCACCTTTGTATTCCTGTTTTTATTAAAAAAAGCTATGGATACAAGGGAGTGGGAGAGCCTCCTTTAAGCATGGTAGGAGTGTACCACATTCAGCAGATTGCTGCTTTGTTTTTATTGTGGAAGGCCCACAACCTCCAGAGATGTAGGCGCCGATGTGTCTGGGTCTCCTCCAATAGCTGCACCTGGATGACGGCCGTTTCCAGTGATAGTCACAGGTTACCCGAAACCCAATTTGACGACCTGTCGGTGGGTTGGTGCCAGGATATCTCACCAGGATGCCAATTACAGGCCAACAATCGTGCAAATAACTCGCTCAATCCGTGGTATTTGTGCCGCCCAATTCACATCATTCATGCCACCAGAGTAGAAAAAGTGTCAAATCACGTGTTTGCATTGACTTTACATAAAATGTATTTGTTTTATCATTGATTTTACTTGCACTTGGTGTGAACACCCCTTAAGATAAGAAGTGTTATGAGCGGTTTAAAGACGTGGCCAGAGGAAGAAGTACCGTCAGTGTGTATTTTCTTTCAAGCAGCCGAGAGCTGGAGCCAAGCATTAGTTTGCGTTGCAATGTTGATGATAAGGCAATGAATAAAAAATGAGAAGAGGTGAAACTGCCACAGACAGAATGGGTGTGCTTCGGGGATTTTCCTTTTTTGTGCTGCATTTTTCTCATATTCAGAATGGTGACTGGGATGTTTGGATTTCAGGTGATAAATTAAACCAGACGTGAAGAAACTCTATGCAGATGCACCCCCTCCTGAAATTTTAGCATCACACGCTATGCTAATCACTATCCATGGTTCTCAGCTACATTGAAACACATCCACACCGCAGACATATTGGCCCTTATCCAGACAAGTGTGTGCTGGCTGTGGTTTTTGCTTGCCTCATCACAAAATTCACAACATCCTGTTTCGGCTGTGTTGTTTCGGTGATAAAAGTCTTTTGGACGAAAACTGAAAATGTAATTTTGGGCTATTTTAGGCCAAAAAATTTCAGTGGTGAAATATTTGGTGCATCCCTTGTCCAAATACATGGAAAGAATCTGGTGCGACAAAGGATGTGGGTGTCATATTTTCACATCCTCACACCCTCTTAAACCATGTGAGTTTTTAGCCAGACAAACTCTTTATCCGTAACAGTATGGGCTCTATTTTTGTGCGTTGCCGGAGACGTGCCGCAGGTGCAGTGTAAGTCAGGTCCACCGCTCCAACAAGGCGTTCCCAAGCACAATTTGGTATCTTGGGGAGCGGCCCAGCCCGGCGTAAGTATCCCCCCTTCCTAACTCAGCTCCTTGCAGCGGCGTAAGTCGTAGGGAGGGAGGAGAGAGGGCGTGGAGTGGGTTTAACACAGCTGAGACCTGTATTGACCAATAACATCAGCTCCTCACCTTTAAATCCGCCACCGACGAGGCGTATCACTATTTTTGTGAAGTAGTCAAAGAAATCAAGAGATGTCTGAAGACAGTAATGCCACACGATGGCGACAGAAGGCAGCCCCTCAACAAGTGTCACTGTAAGCACTGCAGAAGGCGTCCTTCACACTCTCTCATATGAGCACAGATGGATTTGGTGTGTGTAAGTTTGGACCCACTAGTAAGACAAACACTCTTTTCAACAAATAAAGACAATCTCATAAAGTTGCATATATTTAAACCTCACATGACAAAGGTGGGTTGAGTGCACAGATCACAACATAAATTCCAAAAATGGCATTAAAATCGGAACCATCTGTGCGTAAATGACGCATCGCACTCTGTGGCGTGGCTCTTTCTTTCATAGATGTTGGCATATAAAATAAATTTGGCTCACAAAACTGAATATTATAATATTCGTGTGTAAGCTTAAAGTAAATAACTCATCTGATCACCGAAACAAATCATCTGTTCAGCCGCCGCAGCAGCAGCTGCAGCAGGATGGGGAGAAGACATGGAGACATGTCCAGGTCGAGCTGGGCGAGAAATAAGTGGAGGGGAAGAAAGAAAAGGAGGGAGAAGAATTACACATCTTGTTAACTTCATCATGTGTGTCTATTTACTAGATATTTAATTTAATGCGGTTTCAGCTGTGTTGATTCGGTCAGGTTGTGTGTCCAAACGCGCTCATCAGATCAGAATATATCTATATATGGATCTAAATGTATGTGCTGACTCAGATTATTATTTGTTGTTGATTATTTATTGCAATTAAATGTTCCTGACACCGTGGAAACCTGCCAGTTAGGCATCGGTGACGTATGCTGATTCGCCGCAGTTCTACCAAAATACCACTAGACCAGCAGCGCTCTGCCTGTGCTGAAAGCTGACCAGGTTTGAATCGGCAAGCTTTCAGTGCACTTTATACACCACCGGTGAGCACGAAAATGTCACTGCGCAAGCTAACTGCGCAACACCTCCCTCTGCCACGCCACCACGCCCAGCTTGGTGGACCTCGGTGCGCCTCGGTTCATGAAAATACCAAACTGGCTGTACGCCGGGCTCCACCAGACGAAAATACCACTGCATGGGGTCCACCACCCTCCACAGCCTCACCGGCGGACATGAAAATAGAGCCCTTTATGTGAAGCATTTGCTTTCGTAGCTACACTTAAATTAAAAATGTTTTGATGGATACATATGTTTGCTGACAATGACTATCAGGATGCTCTTGGCTTTGGGCTTTCTGCTAGGGGCATTTGGAGAGGGCCTCAATTTCTGCAGTGTAAACCATTATGGATGTAAATAACATCAAACAACCCCTGATAAACAATGTAGCACAAAATGTAGATATCCACTATCTCTGTAGTCCCTAGCCTGCTAATCTTGAATGTATTGTTGTAAATTCTGTTGTATAAACCCTAAACTCAGTGTAAATGCACTGATGTATAACTTCTTTTCTGCACCCTATGAAAAAATCAATTTTAATCTCTATACTTTTTGACTTAACTGCACACTCTTTCATGTGATTTTTTTCATGAAAGTCCAATGTGTGTGCATTGCATGCAGCCAGGATTCCGGATGCTCAAATGTAACAGGGAACTAGGAGCTCTCGTAGGTATGAGGGTGCCTGCCATAAGGAGCTTTGTAGGTCAGAAGAAGAATTTCACAGTCTACCCTTAGATGAGGGAGTTAAAGAATGTATCCTGGTCAAAAAGACTTCCCAGATTTGTCACTGTATTACTTACATGTAGTTTAGCCTGCTTATTCCAAAAATTCCACAATAAGAAATTGTGTCTCTAAATCTATGCTGGTCGCTCTTTCAAACTGCAACTCCCTCTTCTTTGTGGTGGTGCAACCTCTTTTTCCTTGTTGATGTTGGCATCTGGCCTAGTTCTTGAGCCTCAAAAAGCTTTGATCAGTTTTTGGAGGTCATAGGAGAGCCTAAAGTGTGTGGGAATGTATTTAAGCAGCACAGGGCCTGAGGCCAGTGCTCAGTGGACAACAGTTCCTTTTAGTTTTAGTCACATCTGGTTCAAGTAGTTTGTCTAATTTAAGGAGATGACAAGTCAAAACATTTAAGTTGTGTTGTTTTCCACTTACTCCCACCAAAGAGCTGGTAAAGGCGCAAACAACTGTACCCTAGACTGTAAAAATGGCACCGATCAGCAGTTCTGTGATCACAAGTTTACTACTGTTTGCAGTAACAAGTACCCAAACACCTTTCCAAATGCCGAGATTTTAAAAGGCTTGTTAATCACTACCTTTGGTCAAATAACAGCCAACTAGACAACATTATGGCAGAAAGCAGTATTTTTACTGTTGTTTACACTCTGTGTATCAGGAGCTACATGAAAGTATGCCAAAGGGAAAGCTCAGTTCATCACATATTGACTTTTGATTCCACTGTCACACTCTGCTGTGTATCTCAGGCTGACTCCCACTCACCTGCCACACCTCACCCCTGCCACACCTCCTCATCAGCACTGATTCCCCACACCTGTGAGTGACAAGCTGCAGCTCCTCACTGCTGATTAGCCAGCCAGCATTTAAGTCACTCTGTGTCCCTCAGTCAGTGCCAGATTGTCTTCGTAGCATGCACGACTCTCCAGCATTATTTCTTGGATTGACTTCTCGGTTTCGACTCCTGCCTGTCTCTGACCACGTCTTATCGTCTCAGCCCTTGGATCCCCTGTCAAGTTTCTTCGCTCCGGTGAGAACTTCAGGTTTTGCTGTGTTGCTGGCTTCCCGACCTACTGCCTGTCCACGACTATCCTTTCGTCCGATCCCTCTGGAGTTAGTCTGGCCCGCTGATTGTCTGCCTGGATTCGACCTTGCCTCTGCTTCGACCACAAGCTCAGCCTGCCCCTCGACAGTGCTGCTGCACTTCACAAAGACTCTCAGGTGTAGTGTGTTTTCTGTGTGCACTCACCTTTCTGCCTGTTGGACCTGTTACCTGTGGATCTGTCTCCTGTTGGTCTTGAAGATTCTACAGAGACTGCTTAATCAATCCCAGTATCTTCAGTTACCTGTTTTTGCTGTGAACTGTTACAATAAAAGTAGTTTCTAAACAACTACCTGCCGTTGTGCTGCACTTGGGTCCTACATCCACACCCCCTGACAGTACAATCTGGCCAGAAATGGACCCAGCAGGCAACCCATCACCCTTGGACCGTCTGACCAAAATTGAGAGCGTGTTGCAGCAGCATGAGACCATGTTGTCTGCTGCAACCTCAGAGGCCAGACAGGCAGCCCAGGCTTATGAGCAGACCCTCTCTGCATTAGCTATAAAATTACAACAATTAACAGACTTTATCACCTCATCGGCTGCTACCCAGTCCTCACCAGCTACCCCAGCTTTAACCCCAGCTCCAGCTCCAGCTGCACCTCTGTCCTGTGATGCTCCTTAGCCCCGTGTGGGAGTTCCGGAACGTTATGATGGCAGTCCAGAGACTTGTGGCCCCTTCCTGACGAACTGTTCATTGTTGTTTTCCCTTCAGCCCTGTACCTTTGCCTCAGAGCAGGCAAAGGTCACTTTTACAATTAACCACCTCACAGGCAGAGCTCGTCTGTGGGGAACTGCTGAATGGGAGAGACAATCAGAAGCCTGCTCTTCGTTCCAGTGTTTTGCTCAGGAGCTACGCAAAGTTTCGGCCTGGGGTTTTCCAGATCAGAGACTGCTCGAGGACTCATGGGGCTGCAACAGGGGAAACGCACGGTGGCAGACTATTCAATTGACTTCCGCACCAGAGCCAGCCTCAGCAGCTGGAATCCTGCCGCTCTGGTGGACGCCTTTCTCCATGGCTTGGCTGAATACATCAAGGATGAACTGGTCTCCCATGATTTGCCCTCAACACTGGATGGAGTAATAGAGCTAGCCATCCGAATCGATCACTGTGTTCAGGCTCGCCGACGGGAGAAACACCAGGCGTCCTCTCATCATCCCCGGAGGAACGAGAGCGACGCAGGCGCTCAAACCTCTGCATGTACTGTGGTCAGGCCAGTCACTTCAAGTTCACCTGTCCAGTAAAAGCCAAGGCTCACCAGTAGTTGGGGAGATACTGGTGAGTCCTACTTTCGTGCCCTCCCCTCAACCACAGAGACCTCAGCTCAAAGCCCGGTTGCTCCTTCCTGGTGGCTCCCAGTCCCTGCTCACACTCATAGACTCAGGTGCTGATGCCTGTATTATCGACGAGGGGTTGGTTCAGCAGTTGGGGCTAAAACAGGTTCCTTTACCTCGTCCAATTCCTGCCCGGGCTCTTGACGGACACATTCTGGGAACTGTCACGCACCAGACTGTTCAGATTTCTGTGTTGCTTTCTGGCAACCATCATGAGGAGATTCAGTTCCACATCCTGAAGACTCCTCATCAGCCTCTCATCCTGGGTTACCCCTGGCTTCGTCAGCATAACCCCAACATTGACTGGGAGAAGGGAGCTGTACGTGAATGGGGTCCATCCTGTCATCTTCGTTGCTTGAAGCAAGCCTCCTCTCCAATCCACTCACATTCCTCCAGTTCACCGCCTGATATCTCTGGGGTACCCTCTGAATACCATGACCTCAGCCTAGTCTTCAGCAAGGCCAAAGCCACATCACTGCCCCCTCATCGACCTTATGATTGCGCCATTGACCTCCTGCCTGGCACATCTCCACCCAAGGGTCGCCTTTACTCCCTGTCTGCACCTGAAAAAGAAGCCATGGAAGTTTATATTAAAGACTCTCTAGCAGCAGGCATCATCCGTCCCTCTTCCTCTCCTGCTGGGGCGGGCTTCTTCTTTGTGGAGAAGAAGGATACTACTTTGAGGCCTTGCATCGACTACCGAGGACTGAATGACATCACCATAAAGAACCGCTACCTCCTGCCTCTCATCTCTTCTGCCTTTGAATTGCTTCAGGGGGCCACAGTCTTCACCAAGCTAGACCTTCGCAACGCCTACCACCTGGTCCGCATCAGAGACGGAGACGAATGGAAGACTGCCTTCAACACTCCATCGGGGCACTACGAGTACCTGGTTATGCCCTTCGGCCTCACCAATGCCCCTGCTGTCTTCCAAGCCCTAATCAACGACGTTCTTCGAGACATGCTCAACCGCTGCGTCTTTGTCTACCTCGATGACATCCTGATCTTCTCCAAGACCCTGAGTGAGCATGTCTACCACGTCCGGGCGGTGCTCCAACGTCTCCTCGAGAACTCACTGTTTGTCAAAGCAGAGAAGTGTGAATTCCATGCCCCATCTGTCTCCTTCCTGGGTTACATCGTGGCCAAGAATAGTATCCAGATGGACCCAGCAAAGGTGTCAGCTGTCACTTCCTGGCCTGTTCATGACTCCCGCAAACAGTTGCAGCGTTTCCTTGGTTTTGCCAACTTCTACCGCCGTTTTCATCCGCAATTGCAGTTCAGTTGCTGCTCCCCTCACTGCCCTAACCAGCTCCAAAGTGCCATACCAATGGAATCCTGCTGCCAATGAGGCTTTCAAGAATCTAAATCCATTCTTCAAGTACCAGATCCCAATCAGCAATTTGTGGTGGAGGTGGATGCCTCGGATGTGGGGGTCGGAGCTGTCCTCTCACCTGCCACACCTCACCCCTGCCACACCTCCTCATCAGCACTGATTCCCCACACCTGTGAGTGACAAGCTGCAGCTCCTCACTGCTGATTAGCCAGCCAGCATTTAAGTCACTCTGTGTCCCTCAGTCAGTGCCAGATGGTCTTCGCAGCATGCACGACTCTCCAGCATTATTTCTTGGATTGACTTCTCGGTTTCGACTCCTGCCTGTCTCTGACCACGTCTTATCGTCTCAGCCCTTGGATCCCCTGTCAAGTTTCTTCGCTCCGGTGAGAACTTCAGGTTTTGCTGTGTTGCTGGCTTCCCGACCTACTGCCTGTCCACGACTATCCTTTCGTCTGATCCCTCTGGAGTTAGTCTGCCCCGCTAATTGTCTGCCTGGATTCGACCTTGCCTCCGCTTCGACCACGAGCTCAGCCTGCCCCTCGACAGTGCTGCTACACTTCACAAAGACTCTCAGGTGTAGTGTGTTTTCTGTGTGCACTCACCTTTCTGCCTGTTGGACCTGTTACCTGTGGATCTGTCTCCTGTTGGTCTTGAAGATTCTACAGAGACTGCTTAATCAATCCCAGTATCTTCAGTTACCTGTTTTTGCTGTGAACTGTTACAATAAAAGTAGTTTCTAAACAACTACCTGCCGTTGTGCTGCACTTGGGTCCTACATCCACACCCCCTGACATCCACAGAATTTTAAATTACTTGGAGGGGTTGAATTCAAGTGAAAGTTTAGTCAACGTCACCTGTGTCAAGTCAACATCATGTCCATAGAGGTCCCTGTAATTAAAAAAAATCGCAAAAACCCTAGGCTATTGACAGTGTAACCATTAACAGTGTAACTGACTGTAGGAACCTAGACCAAATTAATAAACCAGGACCAAGTGTGAACCTGGACTGAGAGACACACCATTCTTGACTACATCCTCTGCTGGTTGAGTTGTGTTACTACCAGTGTTGTGCTAGTTTTTCGTCGTAGAAAGGATTTTTGACCTGGACACAGTTTACATGTTACAGAAATGTTGTTTTCCTTTTTGCTCTCGAGTAATGAAAATAATGTGAGTATCTCCATGAGGATAAACTTATCTTCCCCTTCTCACTTGCCATCATGCCGTGACCTGACCTGTCCAGTCCTCCTCATGGTGCATGTTTGATTACGTGTGTGACGCCAGAGGTTGACAAGTGCTTTGTTTTTCCAATTTAATTAAACTTCATTAACTGTTAAAATGTTACGGGAACTGTGTGCTGTTGTAAAACCTTACCAAAGGGAACAGAGTAATGCAGTGTTTGGTAAAAGAAAGGGAGTTACTGAATTTAAATAAACTACGCATTACATTATAAGTTACTGAATAAATTAACCGCATTACGTGACAGCGTTACTAATAACGTGTTACTACCCAACACTGGTTACTACAGACAGAGAGCTCATCAGGTTCATTTTGTTTTCCCAGCCCTCATGTTCTGTGTTAGAGTTATCCACAGCATTGTGGTAGCCACACAGTAATTATGCCTTTCGCTACCTTTAGATATTTTAGAGAAAAGAAAATTTATTGCATCTCAACAGGACCTATTTCTACTGACAGTTTTTTGTTTTTAAAGTGTTGTGTTGTGTTTTTCAGGAAATGGTTGACTGGTTTAATGCTATCAGAGCAGCCAGGTTCCACTACTTACAGGTGGCATTCCCTGGAGCGAGTGATGAGGAGGTAAGAGCTTTTGATCTTACATTACAGAAATATTTATAGGCGATATCTTTGTTTTAATGTGTCTTACTATTCCAAGACATAGACGAGGACGTTGAAATGTGAATGTCAATTCAAAACAGAATAACTTTGGGATTTTGATAATTGTAGTGTGATATAAGTGTGTGTGTGTGTGTGTGTGTGTGTGTGTGTGTGTGTGTGTGTGTGTGTGTGTGTGTGTGTGTGTGGTCCCAAAACTGACTCGGAACTTCATGAAGGAAGGCTTCATGGAGAAAACTGGTCCAAAGGTTTCTGTTGGTTATACTCCATTAATCTTGCCACCTATCTTAAAGGTGCAGTGAGTAGTATATAATGGCATTTAGCCAAACAGACAAACAGATTAGGTAGAAAGGGGATATCATTTGTAACTCTGTTTAAGTTATAATATAATCACGTCAATATGAAAACTGTATTGTCTTTTTGTTAACTCAGAATGAGCTTTTTATATCTACATGGGAGCAGATCCCCCTTAGCCTGGCTGGGCCATCCAGTTGCGTGAATCACTTGCTGTTCCCTCCCACAACAGTCTGGACTTCGGGCAATTGGGAACGTGTATTAGAAATCAGAAAATAACTGGGCCAATCAGTGACTGTGTTTCCACTGTTCCCCGGACAACAAGGAAAGGCAGCCCCTGATTGGTCCATGTGTAGATGGTGACGTCTAACACCTGCTGCAGGACTTTTCAAAGCGCCGTTCATTTAGAACGCCGTTAATTCTGCAGTTGACTTTGCAAAGTCGGCAGAAATCGTTTATATCCGCAGAAGAAGACATAAAAGACATTGTTTGCTCGCACACGTTGAAATATTACCAAACCTTTACTTGATGCTTGAGAGCCTAGCAGGGAACACAGTTGCACACTGTGATGACGTTAGGTGTTTGGTTACGGTGATTGGTTACAGTAGTCTGTCTATCAAGGAAAGTACTCCCGCCCACTTTTAGGGCTCCCAATTGGCTGAAATCCAGACTGTTGTGGGAAGGAACGGCAAGTGATTCACGGAACTGGATGGCCAAGCCAGGCTAGGTCCCCCTTACACTGTGACTGACATTGTAGTATTGTAGTGTTCCTGTATTTTGTGAAAGACCACAAAGAATCTAGTATCTGAATGCTCTATTTTGCTTATTCCCATCTCTACACACTGTACCTTTGAATAAAAACATTGTATACGAGTCAGGCATTAAATAATGGTTCTCTTTTAGCCTTGTGACCAAAGGATGCCTTCATAAAATGGATTTCATTCAGTAACTTATTTCTTTGTGTCAAGTTTGAATATTTAAATGATGTTCATTAGTAAAGGCCAAAAGATCAAACATTTAGAAAACATCTTTTCGTTCTGTTCCTAAATTCTAGTTATTTTGCTTGAACTGTAGAGGACAGTGGCATATTAATGTATTTTTATTTAATGCTCAAAATTCTTCAAGATGATTTTTACGTTTGACTTATAATAACTTAGATTACAAAACTTTGAGCTTTAATTTGTAACATCAGCAAACAAGTTGTAAACCCCACTATTTTCAATACTGTCCTTGGTTGACTCATTTCCCCTTCCATAGCACACAGAAGGCTTCAAGAAGAGGTGGTTTACTATGGATGACAGAAGGCTCATGTATTTTAAAGATCCTCTGGTAAGAAGAGGCGACACCTTTAACCTTACCTTCTGTACTGTGCAAGCACTTTATTTGTAAAGGGACCCCCATTTTTTTCCCTGTGTATCAAAGGATGCCTATGCACGTGGTGAGGTGTTCATCGGCAGTAAGGAAAGCAGCTACACCGTCTTGTCTGGCTTGCCCCCATCCACACAGGGCTACCACTGGAACCATGGCATCACCATTATCACGCCAGACAGAAAATTCCTGTTTGCCTGCGAGACAGAAGCTGAGCAACGAGATTGGATTGCTGCCTTCCAGAGGGTCATTAATCGACCAATGAGGCCTCAGGAGTATGCAGGTATAAATAAATGTAATCATTTAAACACTGAAGAAATTTGTTTAGATCACATAAATGTCACATAAATATTCACGACTGCTCGTACTTTATAGTATCAAGTTTAATAAAGCAATCAATCTCTCTCTCTCTCTCTCTCTGTATGTATATACACTCACCGGCCACTTTATTAGGTACACCATGCTAGTAACGGGTTGGACCCCCTTTTGCCTTCAGAACTGCCTCAATTCTTCGTGGCATAGATTCAACAAGGTGCTGGAAGCATTCCTCAGAGAGCTTGGTCCATATTGACATGATGGCATCACACAGTTGCCGCAGATTAGTTGGCTGCACATCCATGATGCGAATCTCCCGTTCCACCACATCCCAAAGATGCTCTATTGGATTGAGATCTGGTGACTGTGGAGGTCATTTGAGTACAGTGAACTCATTGTCATGTTCAAGAAACCAGTCTGAGATGATTCCAGCTTTATGACATGGCGCATTATCCTGCTGAAAGTAGCCATCAGAAGTTGGGTACATTGTGGTCATAAAGGGATGGACATGGTCAGCAACAATACTCAGGTAGGCTGTGGCGTTGCAACGATGCTCAATTGGTACCAAGGGGCCCAAAGAGTGCCAAGAAAATATTCCCCACACCATGACACCACCACCACCAGCCTGAACCGTTGATACAAGGCAGGATGGATCCATGCTTTCATGTTGTTGACGCCAAATTCTGACCCTACCATCCGAATGTCGCAGCAGAAATCGAGACTCATCAGACCAGGCAACGTTTTTCCAATCTTCTATTGTCCAATTTCGATGAGCTTGTGCAAATTGTAGCCTCAGTTTCCTGTTCTTAGCTGAAAGGAGTGGCACCCGGTGTGGTCTTCTGCTGCTGTAGCCCATCTGCCTCAAAGTTCGACGTACTGTGCGTTCAGAGATGCTCTTCTGCCTACCTTGGTTGTAACGGGTGGTTATTTGAGTCACTGTTGCCTTTCTATCAGCTCGAACCAGTCTGGCCATTCTCCTCTGACCTCTGGCATCAACAAGGCATTTCCGCCCACAGAACTGCCGCTCACTGGATATTTTTTCTTTTTCGGACCATTCTCTGTAAACCCTAGAGATGGTTGTGCGTGAAAATCCCAGTAGATCAGCAGTTTCTGAAATACTCAGACCAGCCCTTCTGGCACCAACAACCATGCCACGTTCAAAGTCACTCAAAGCACCTTTCTTCCCCATACTGATGCTCGGTTTGAACTGCAGGAGATTGTCTTGACCATGTCTACATGCCTATATGCACTAAGTTGCCGCCATGTGATTGGCTGATTAGAAATTAAGTGTTAACGAGCAGTTGGACAGGTGTACCTAATAAAGTGGCCGGTGAGTGTATATATATATATATATATATATATATATAAATAGTTTTGTCATATTGTATTTTAGCACTTCAAAAAACACACTTTAACTAAACAGAACAGAACAGGTTACCTGTTTTATCGTATACAACTGACAGCTTTACCTGTTGTGTGTCTCTGCAGTGGAGGCCCATTTTAAACACAAGCCTTGAAGCCTTCAGAAGGCCTCGACTGAGCTGGTGAGCTGGTCCAATCCCATTTAGAACTGAGTTAATCCCAATATATGACCACAGACCAAGGCTGGAGGTGGTAAGATGGGGTTGATCTGTGGGATGCAGTCCTTGGGATGAGCTGAGATAAAAGAAGGTGATGATGGAAAAGAGGACAAAGACAAGGAAACAAGTCCATCCATGTTTAGAAAACTTGAAAATTGAGACAGTTCGCCAGTCATGAGACAAAGCATTGATCCAAGTACAAAGGGCAGACACTGTCATAACTACTGCGCCTTTCAAATTTTTGCTATACATTCCCACACTTCTTTCCTCCATGTGCCATGTAGACCTTCTACCCCAAACAATCCAACCCTCACTCCATGTCCTGTATCAATGTGTACCTGCTACCTGTAATCTAATGTAATCATGTAACCTACAGTCATGTCACTCGTTGCTGGATAAAGACAATGCAATGTTAATTTATTGAATGTACAGTTTTGATGACAGTGGCTGACATTGTGTGTGGACTTGTGCTGTTTTGTTTGTTTTTTGAGGATGCTGTTAGATTGACCTTCTGAAAATAAGACCCTATTATAAGAACCTACAAAGTGCAGTTAACAACAAATATGCATCAAAACAGACAAACTCTCAGTAATCACCGCTGCTGTTAATGTAGCCAAAGCTGGCTGATCTGTATCCAGACAGGGTCTTTACCAAACCTCAATTAGACAGCTGTTCCCTATCTCTTTGTACTGTTGAACATATTGAGTCTTAGCTGACAGATTCAATTGCTGTTTTAAAGGATTGGTATGTGATAGATTGTAAGTTGTATAATATTTCTCCAGTTATTTGATTTTTGTTTTGCATCTTGTGTAAAAGAAAAATTGTGTTGACCCTTAAACTGCAGTAATGGTGCGTTTCACTATGAAACTTGACATGACCTAACATGAATACAGATGAACCTAAAAACCTGTAGTGTTGTTTGGTTTGTGCTTGGTGTCTAAGACAGATCTATATCATCCTCAGAACCATACTGTTTTGATACCATCCCTTTAAATTTAAGGTGGTAGGTCAAAGGATCATTCTGGTTAACTACATCTTTGACTTATTGCTGGACTATATATATATATATCATTCCTATCAAAAATAAACAGTTTGTTTAAAACAAACACATTAGTGGATTTAATGAGCCTCCTTGTGGTGGAAAAAGCAACTCTGTTTGGTTAGGAAAAGGCTGAGGCCGCACTCCTGGATTGGTTAGAACATCTGACACCACAAGGACATCCTTTGGAATGACAGCAGACCCATCTGCCAGCAATAATGAATAGGTGCTGGCTGGAGACAGCACACGGCTAATGTCATCTTCATGGGCATTAGAACCAAGTCCTGCCAACTTCAAAAAGGTGTTCATTTGGACCCCTTCCCTTCTACTGTGTCACAAATGCAGCACATCTGTCTCTTCACCCTGCGCTATTTTCGGAGCACTGACAATGAAATGAAGTCCCACAGAATCTTTAAATCAAACTCCACAATACCACGGTTTAAGTGTTACTCTTCCACTTTTTCTCTGTCTCTGTGCTTCTATAATGGGCCATGTGATTGGTTGATATGACTGTAGCAATCAAGACAACCCTGGATGTGAAACCCACACATTCCTTACAGGGAAGTTTCCTTATCTGGTCCCAGGAAACAGGATATAAATCTTTCCAGACGTGTTTGCACTTTCAGGTTAAATAAGTGACCCAACCGGAGGTTGACTAAACCTCTGACTCTTCAGGATTGGTCAGTTCGGCGAACAGAGACAGAGTTTTTATTACCTTTCAAACTGACTCCATTACTGACCATCTAAATAAACATTAACGTCTCAACCCAGATCTCCCATTTGAGATTTAGCGTCTTAAAGTGTGTGAACATACGGACCCCAGGATAAGGGGGGACACTGACCTCCAGACCTCGGTCGTAAAACCCTGCTCGACCATACACTGATAAAGACTGCATTCCTTTGGTGAAAGAATACAAATGACTGATCATGACATCTTATGCATTCAGCAATGTACTAATCTGTCTAATCATGAAATTTGTGTTAAAATGAGATGTTTCCCATTTTTCTATGTGCTCCAGAAGCCGAGTTATCGCTCTTTAGTTTCTTTAGACCAACAGCTTTTCAGACTGTTTCATGAACTTTTAAGAGTTACATTTATTGACTATGGATCATAACTTTACTCTATGAACACAGAAATAGTTTAGAAATGTTTGGTCTATATTTTAATCGTTTATTTAGTATTTTTAACCATTAGGTGGTTATAATGTCATTGAATAACCTTAATGTGAGTATTTAGAATCCATTATTAATCATGATGACGTTCATTCACATGTGTTTACTCTTTTGTTGTTCACAGTTTCTATGTGTTACTATCTGTTTCATTTCAGAGTAATTTAGCATGTTTAATGTGATACTTAAAACATAATGAGAATGTTTGATGTGATCCTACACTTCATTCATATGTGTTTAGTATCAAATTATTTATCATGAAACCAAGCATTCAATGATATTAATCATAGTGAGTGAGTATCAGATCTGACTCTTTTACCAGCCAAGAGAATAAGTTAGATCAAATAATCAGAGACCCGATGACCCCTCCTCTTTCTCCTCAGACACTCCCAGTGTGAGAAGATAAAACCAGTGGAGTGGGGTTGCTCACTCTCTTATCTCTCTTATTCCTCTTATGCTTCTGCTCTTCTGCTGACTCTCTTGTCCCCGGCTCTTATGCCCCTTCTCTTCTGTCCACACCCTTCTGTGGTGCGTTTCTTTGTTTTCTCTTAGAACTTTTTCTTAGTCTTCTAAGTTTTACGCCACGTGTTGATTCACGTTGATTTTTCTTTAACATCGTCTTAGTTCAAGTTTTGAAACTTCAACTTTTTGTGCACATAGCAATTCAAGATTAAGCCTTTGATTGATTTTTCTTTAATTTCGCGAAGCCATTTTTGAAAGTTTTCTCTGCTCTTCGAGCCTCGTTTTTCTGAGTTTTCTGCGTGATTTCAAAGTCACCTCCGAACGCAACCCAACAGGCCCAGGTCATCCTCTGTGCCAGAGTTTTTGAGTGAGACCAAAGAAGTACCCAAACGAGCATCCACAGGATCCACAGGCGCTGGCTTTGCTTCGGGCCCGAGTGCTGCAACTCCTGGCTCATCCTTCGGCTGACTTCAGTCGTCTTCTGAGCTGAACCGCTCGAACCGCCAGTAGCCCGGACCTTCGGAACCTGCTCCATCTTCTCCAAGGACCAGTCTCACTTAAGTATGCAAACCTCCAGAGCTCCAAAGAGGGCTGGTGCTGTCTCATGCGTTCATAACTCAGATATCCACCTATTTCTGGTGATCTTAGATTCCTCCAAATCCACATCCGAGTTTATCTCGACACCAAAGTTAGTGTAGGTTAATATGTTAGCGCATATTCACTCACTATCATTAACTTTAGTGCTCCTAGCCTGACTCAGAATCTTTATTTATTCACCTATTATTATTTTATCCTCATTATCTTATCATCATTTATTGCATGTGTGTTGTACCATCATTTATCCTGTAATAAACAGATCATTATTTTTCTAAGTTCCTGTCTGTTAGTGTTCTTCCAGAAGTGGAGTCCCTGAAATTAGAATTTCGACTTAAGATATGAGACTGATTAATTAAGACTGATTAATTAAGACTGATTAATTAAAACTGACTTGATGTTTGATTTCTGAATTAAACTTTTGTTTTCTTTATTTTCCCACCATTAAGGGTGGGTGGTGCCCCTTTCAACGAGTGCATAAATGTCATAATTTGAGATTAATAATCTTCAGACATTTATTATAAATTCCAATCGCTGCAGTATTATTTTGGTGCGGCCTTGTGAGGCTCATTTCAAATCGCTACATATATTTTGGTGCGACCGTATGAGGCTCATTTCAAATCACTACATGACATCCCCATTGTCACATGAGTGAGTTGCTTATACTGTATAATATGATTGTAATGCCTTTACAATTGTTTGCTGTTAGCATGAGTTTGTGTGAGGAGCCAAAAGTTTCATGGTAAAAATGTGACTCATTACTTGATGACTCTGTTAGTTTTGTTAGCTCAGCTGCAGCTTCAATGCTGCAGCTGGGGTTATGGTTTTTTAGGGTGACCATATGTCCTCTTTTACCTGGACATGTCTTCTTTTGGGGGGCTGTCCGGCCTGTCCGGGGGGAGTTTATAAAAACCCTTTAAATGTCCAGGGTTTTGTATGGAAGCCCAATTTTTTCACTGGCAGAAACAGGCTTCCATAGCTTTGAGTTTGTGTAGCAGCCATTTTTGCTTCACATCATAGACCATTGTAGTAACCATGTGCGTTCAATGGTTCATGTGGAAACACGCTCTTAAACGCCAGTTCTAAGCAAAGCCACTGACGAGACACAGGCATGCACTGTCTGGGTGAGCTAAAGAAAAAGGAGAAATATTTGTATGTGACTGATAATTTTGTCGAGGAGAAATGCTTCAGATAAATGAATATATTGTTTGTAAATGCAACTTTTTGAGAGTATTTTCAATATACTGGTTAAGTGTCTGTTTGGTAATTCAGAATATGCGTTTCACTGAGTCAGAAGCGCATAAAACGCTCCCCGACCCAAAAAACCCTTTAAAATTTTGCGCATGCACAACTCTGCCCCATTTAGTAGCGTCCTCTTTATGGGGATTCAGAATATGGTTATCTGTTAACATAAATACCTGATTCATGTTTGAAGGCAGTTAACAATGGTCTGCAGTGATGAATTGTCCTTGGCCAAGGCACTTATATATATATATATATATATATATGTATATATATGTATATATATATATTTATATATATTCTTTTTTAAGTATTTTTTTGGGGTGATTTTTTGGATGGATGTGGGGAGATAAAGAAAGAGGGGGGAAGACATGCTGCGCATGGTCGGGGCCAGACTCAAACCCACAACAGCTGCGGGGACCATGGTCCCCATACATGGGGTGCGCTAACCCATTTGGCAATTTGCATGCCCCCTTCTAGCTGTGCCCAGCTGTTCTCAACTGTATGTCGCTTTGGATCAAAGTGTCTGCTAAATGACATCGTAAATTGTAATTTCTAAACTGCCCCAATCATCCCACCCTAAGCCTTTTTCTGCTTTTTTTCACAACTGCTTCACCTTTTCAATTCTGCAACTTCAATCACTGGAATGACTCAAGAAAAAGTGTATGGTAGGATAATGAGAGGAATAGCAGTTACAGCATGTTGTCTTTGTCCTGGAGGTATGACTGGGCAGTGTGAGAAAATACAAATATTGTCATGTTTTAACACTATTAGATTAGATGAGATTTAATTTTCCGTTATTCATCCTTCGGAAGGGGAAATTAAAATTGTTAACAGCAGCAGTTCACACAACATACACATTCAAAAAAACATAAATAAAATAAAAGAACTTGTGTAGAAAAGAAAGAGCAGTGCAAGGGAAGAACAGTATTAAAGACAAGTATAAGAAAAAAACATACAAAGAGCAAAAGATTAGTGCCAACAAAAAACAGGTATGGATTTGATTATAATGATTTTGACGACTGAAGTCAGCTGAAGAATGGGCCAGGAGTTTTTTTGAGGAACCAGGGCATTGTGATGAGAAATGGGCTACTGGAACAACAAAGAGAAGGCAATGGACACGAGATGAGAACAAGGGTCTCAAAAACAACCCCAAGTTGGGTTGTTTTTAACCCAGGGGTTTTTAGAGTGAGGAGGTGTCGTTGGTGCAGCTCCTGGAGAGGAGACCTAAAGGACACTGATGAGTTGATCTAACTTATACTAATGGCTGGAAAAAGAGTCAGATCTGATACTCACCATGATTGATATTATTGAGCGCTTGGCTCACAATAAATGATTTGATACTAAACACATCTAATACATACAATAAGGATTGTAGAATCACATCAAACATTCTCATTATGTTTTAAGTATCATATTGAAAGACTGAATTACTCTGAACTGAAACGGCTAGTAACACGTAGAGACTGTAAACAACAAAAGAGTACATACATGTGAATGAACTTCATCATGATTAACAATGTGTTCTATAAGCTAACCTTCAGATAATTCAATGACATTATAACCACCCAATGGTTATAAATACTAAATAATGATTAAAAGATAAACCAAACATTTCTAAAATATTTCTGTTACTTAGAGTAAAGTTATGATTCATAGTCAATACATTTAACTCTTAAAAGTTCATGAAACAGTCTGAAAAGCTGTTGGTCTAGAGAAACTAAAGAATAATTTATTGTGTCAGAGTGATAGCTTGGCTTCTGGAGCACATAGAAAAATGGGACATGTCATGATTAGTACAACTAGAGGAGCAAGCGGTTGGCAACATTCATTCCTCGAGGGGGTGTCTAACTCTGTGTTACAGTGTGTTTGAACCTAAATTAATTTTACACCGGAATATCCCTTTAACATGTCTGGTTGGACTTTCAAAGGTGGGCTATTGTCTGAGCTAGACTTTAATTCACCAGGCACAGTATAATTCATACAGCATACATGGACAACTTGGTTCCGCCTTCCACCAGAATACGGTTTGAAGCCGAAAAGCTCTCAGTATTTTCAGGCTTTTTCTCCACTTCCTGAAACCAACATTGCACAGTGGCGTTGTATGCACTCCACCACTTGCACACAAGCATTGAATGCTGTTGGCGGAAGAGTTGCCGTGATGAAGCTCGGCTCAAAAAGCGTTTCCCCCCCGGGTGAGCTACTCAATCTTTGTACCCCTATAGGCTGTATCAAGTGTCAATTGTAGAAAACATAAACCCCCAAATAACTTTTAAAAATGGAGCTATACAGAAAAAAAGAGGACTTGAGCACAAACCAGTCTTACAGTAACTGGGTCAGTGACGTATAAGGTTTTTCAACATGCCAATTTTAAAATACCCAAAATAAGAACATCTTTTGTAACTGTTCAAACACTGAGGATGTTGTGTATACAAAAATTAACATTAAATTTTTAAATTAGGCAATTTTAGTGTTTTTTCATATAGATGAATTGCCCATGACCTTAAAAAAAGGTTTTGGTAAATAATGATCTCATATATTAGCTCTATAATGTCACAGTTGCTATATTAAATGTAGTTAACTGACTATTTTTTTCTTCAAATTGCATAATACTGATAAAAATGTTTTAAAACTACCTTTCATGTAAGCATATTGTATCAGGTATTAATGTCCCAGAAGTGAAATGGTGCGCACAAACGTACAGATATTTTGGAAGTGCCGCAGGTACATTCCCATTATAAATAAAATACACCCATTGAGTCCTCAAATCCTCAGACAAGGGAGTTTTCAAAAGAGTTTTGTGCTCGTTTGTGCAGCCAACAACAAAGCAAACGCTGCCTCTTTTTCAGATCGTACTCTCGCCATGGTTCTAACCTGAGCAATGCGAGCTCGGGCCGGGAATAATGGCGCTGTTTTGATAACTTTTTGGGCAGGGCAGTGGGCGGCTCCATGGGCAGTACCATCAACCCGCCAGCAGTGGAGTTTTCAGAACGGCTGGCTCTGAGCACACAGTTCCTAAATACGGAGATAACTACAAAACGACTGGATGGAATTTTTTCGAACTTGGGGGGATTGTAGCGGTTTTCTATTTCTGACATGCACCCCCCTCCCGTTAACAAAGTCAGTTTTTCATGCCATGGCCCCCTTAACATTTCAAACATGAACACAAACATTTAATTTCATTTTTTGGACAAAAATGTAACTCTGTGTACGTGGCCCCCCCTGTACTATAAAACCAAGATGGTGCCGGTGTGTGTGGCCTGCCGTCTCTCGCTGTCAGCGCTGTTTGTGTTTGTGCTGTGTCTATCGTTATCAGTAATGTCAGCTCACTGCTTGTGTATGATCGCCAAACACTGCTGGATCTTCACCCCTCTGCGAAGGATTTGGTGAAATTAGATCCTGATCACTGTGGTCATACGACGTTTAAGCCGTTTCACCTCCACAGGATACCTGTTCACCTTCGCTGCACCCCCGCTCCAATTCCCCGGCGTAAACGCCGGCGCCACCGTGGCAAACGCAGCGGCCAGCTGGTGAAAGTTAAAGCTCTTTTGGCTCGATCTTCTGTGGTTTCCCTGAGGAGTAATGGAGCGGGATCTGGTCTCTTTCTTCATCTGCGATCGCTGGACCCTGTCGACTCCTGGCTCGGGTCGGGTCGGATGAGGTAATCTGTCCCTGCTGCCCCTGCTCACCTCGTCCGCGCCGGCGTAGGGTGAATCCCCGCCATTTGCGGACCCTGTGTCAGGCTCCACGATCAGCCGATGCCTCGGATGTGCCGATCTCTGCCAGGTTCAGCCTTGTCAATGCCAGATCACTGGCAAACAAAACTTTCATCTTGAAGGATTTCTTCATGTCCCGTGGATTAGATTTTCTCTGTGTGTCGGAGACATGGCTGAGTACTGGTGAGTCCAGCCCTCTTATTGAACTCTGTCCGCCGGATTGCTGCTTTTTTAATTCCCCACGGTCATCTGGTCGAAAAGGAAGTGGAGTAGCAGTTATTTTTAAAAGCGACTTTAAATGCCGGTAGATCTGCCTGCAATTATCCTTTACAAGTTTTGAACTGTGTGTAGGAGCCAGATTGGGGTTTTGCAGTTTATTGTTATGTATTTTTTGTGCCAACAGATGGTGGTATTGTGCCTGTCAATTTAATAGGTGGGTTGATTTGGACAGGTGCGCACACCTGGGAAGCCGAACAGTTTTTTGACCGTGTGAAGTGGTCTTGTGTCTTGTCTTACATAAAATAATGAATGAGTAAATAAATCAAAAACAACAGAAGATATGGACAGTGTGACATGTGACATTATTCCACCTACGGGCACGCGTCAACTCAAGCAAAAAGGTGTTCGCCACAAGAAACAGCATTGGAAAGCTATTTCGTTTGTCAAAAAACTTGGCTCATATTGGACTCTGGAGGTGAGTGTGGAGCAACCGGTTCCAGATTGGGTCCGTCTTGGCCTCGTGAGGAGTTCGGCCGCGGCTAGGGAAAGACCGGTTCAGTTGGAGGCGAACGAGGAGCTGCTGCTGTGTCTTGGCTTCGGGAGGAGTTCAGCCATGGCTGGGGAACGACTGGAGTTGGTGGAGGCAAACGCGGAGCTGGTGGAGGTGAACGAGGAGCTGCTGCTGCGTCTTGGCTTCGGGAGGAGTTCGGCCACGGCTGGGGAACGACTGGAGCTGGTGGAGGCGATCGAGGAGCTGCTGATGCGTCTTGGCTTCAGGAGGAGTTCGGCCACGGCTGGGGAACGACCGGTGCTGGTGGAGGCGATCGAGGAGCTGTTGCTGTTTGGGGTCCGTCTTGGCTTCAGGAGGAGTTCGGCTTTGGCTTGGGGAATGATCAACGCCGTGGTGAGCGAGGAGCTGCTGGTTTCAAGTGGAGTTCAGCCACCGCTGAAGGAGCGAGGCAGCAGAGCATCAGCTGATCATTTCATGGCACCCTACGTTGATAACGAGGTTTGAGTAGGTCTACATAATAAAATGGCCATATGATCTGTGTGTACACATAAGCAATAAAACCAATGCATTGGTAGTCAACGCATAGTTTGATCGAGTGTAAAGGGCGCAGTTGATAAACCGGAAGTGCGTAAACTCTCGTCCAATCACAAACAGCGTCAGATGCAACCATGTAAATGGCAAGCGAGGTTGACGCTCAACCCCAAAAACGGAAGGTTAAAATGACTGAAAAGGCACTTGCGGATAAAATACTAGGGTTGCAAAATGAAAGGAAGGTTAAGTTGAACAAAGCAGCCAGACCCGGAACTGAATGAAAAATCTCATTTCACAGGGTGACCAAACAATGGTGCAGGGTGCGCTTAATGAATTTAAAGGGGTGTGTGATGATGTGAAATCGGTGCATGTTCAGTTGTTGGAGTTTTTGCCTTTTGATGAGCAAGAAAAACATGGGATATGGTTTAAAGCAAAATTGTTGTCTTTGAATGAATGTATTGATGTTGCAGAAATGTGGGTTTTAAACATGGAAGGTGGTTTACAAGAATGTGTTGATATTGCAAATGAAGGTGATCGAAGTAAAAATGTGAAATCAAAAATAATAAAACCGATGCACAAATAGCAGCTGTTGTGGATGACATCAGCCCACATGACAGCATTTCTAATGTAAGAAGCAAACGTTCAAGTAAAGGAAGCAGCAAAAGTGGAAGATCAAGCACCGCCTCTGCACGTATAAGTGCCGAAGCAGATAGGGCTGCTCTGCTTGCCCGTGCTACAGCTTTGAAGGAAAGCCACACATTGGAGGAGCAGGAGCAACAATTGCGGAGGAAAAGGGAGCGGCTTGAGCTGGAGGCAGAGCTGGCTGCAACTACTGCTAGGTTAGCAGTACTGCAATCTTCTGATGTGGGAAGTTCCAGATCAGGATTAACGGATGGCATGAACTCTCACCTGGAAAGGGAAGCAAGGAGAGAGTATTCTGTGTCCACATTAAATCCTAAAGCAAGTGAATATCATCCCGGATTGCAGAAATTAACACAACAAAGTTCAACAAATCCAAACAAACCACTGACTGTACAACCAAAGGAACATGGTCCATGCCGTAAAGCAGCATTTGAACATCAGCCCAATATCTATAACCATCAGGAAGGTGGAGGAATTTCACACCCATGTCAAGGTCAAATGATGACCTCTCAACTAAAAGAAGAAACCAGTCAGCCTATACCAAGTCATCAAATCTTGCAAGTCCTTCCACCTCACATTAATCAAAGCTTATCTGAAGATGTACTTTGTATTATGAACAGACAAAATGAAATAACCTCTGCTTTGGTGCAACAGCAAACCTCAAGATCTCTGCCACCAAGAGAGATTCCTGTATTTGAAGGGAACCCTTTGCAGTTCAGGACATTTATGTAGGCATTTGAACAAGGAGTGGAGAATAAAACAGGGGCAGAAGACTGTCTTTTCTATCTGGAGCAATTCATCAGAGGACAGCCGCAACAATTAGTGCGAAGCTGCCAGCATCTGGCTCCTGGTCACGGCTATGCAACGGCTAAGAACCTGCTCCAAGAGCATTTTGGAAATCAATATAAAATTGCTAATGCCTACATGGAACGTGTTTTTGCCTGGCAGTCCATAAAGGCTCAGGATATTAGCACTTTACAAGCATATTCATTGTTTTTACGTGGCTGTTGCAATGTGATGGGAGAGCTTGAATACATGCAAGATTTAGACATACCTGCAAATATGAGAGTGATTATTTCAAAACTTCCATATAAATTAAGGGAGCAGTGGAGGACTGTCGCTTATGGAATCCTGGAACTAACGCAACAGAGAGCACGCTTTCCTGACCTGGTGGCATTTGTGGAGCGTCATGTTAAGATCCTGTCCGACCCTCTGTTTGGTGACATCCAAGATCCAGCGTCTGGTGCGGCCGGCATAAAGACATTCACTCGGTTCAAATCACATCCCGGAAACCGGTTGGGGGGAAACCGGGTGGGGAGAAACATTGTTGCTACAACTGTAACATCCATGGCCTTGCCAGAGAAAGGGGTAGGCCACCAGTGGAGTCTGGGGAGTCTGTCAAGGCGGGATGCCTTTTCTGTTCACACAATCACACATTGGAGGTTTGCAAATTGTTCAGTGAAAAAAGACACAAAGACAAGATTCAATTTCTGAGGGAAAAGGGAGTTTGCTTTGCATGCTTTTGTGATGGTCACATGAGTTGTGAGTGCAAGAAGCGTTTGACATTTACAGTGTGTGATCGAACTCATCCCACCGCACTACACATCAAAGGGAAATCGGCAACCGCAGAGAAAAGGACAGAACCTATATCACTGCTGACAAAGTGGCCACCCAAAAGCAACAAACATCCTCCCAAACATGTGGTCATACAGGGGCCGGAAAAGATGATTGTGCTCTGTCAATTCTTCCTGTATGTGTCAAATCTGCAAAGGGAAATCTCATCAAACACACATATGCATTTTTGGACCTTGGTAGCTCAGCCACATTCTGCTCTGAAGACCTTATGCAGAAGCTTAATGTAACAGGGAGAAAAAACAGTTTTTTGTGAAGCACAATGGGCCAAGAGACTGTTGTTCCAGCCTATTCACTCACTGATTTGGAGGTGGCCAGATTGGATAGCAATGACTTTTATAGTCTGCCAGGGGTCCTGACTCAAAAGAAAATGCCAGTCACCACTGATAACGTTAAAGCAACCAAGGAACTGGATAAATGGCCTTACCTGTCAGATGTCTACATCTCACAAATAAATGCAAATGTTGATTTGTTGATAGGAACCAACGCTCCCAAAGTACTGGAACCTTGGGAGGTCATCAACAGCCGCAGGAATGGCCCGTATGCTATTAGAACTGTGTTGGGATGGACTGTTAACGGGCCACTCAGTGGAAACAGTGGAACCTTGGAGGCAGAATTGCCCTCTGCCACAGTGAATAGGATTTCTGTGAGCAGGTTGGAGGAATTGCTAACCAATCAGTACATGCATGACTTTAATGAAAAAACTCATGATGGTGAAGAAATGTCAAGAGAAGACATGAGATTTTTGGACATTGTTGGTCAATCTGTAAAGAGCCAGGATGGACATTACAGTCTAAAAATGCCTTTCAGGAAAGAGCATCCGACATTCCAAAACAACTGATCTATGGCCAAGCAAAGGTCCCAAGGGCTCAAGAGGAGATTCAAAAGAGACAAGCAGTTCCATCAAGAATATACAGACTTTTTTAATGATGTAATCTCCCGTGGCTATGCCGAGAAGGTACCTCAGGACCAGCTGGATGGTGTTGAAGGGCAGGTTTGGTATATTCCACACCACGGAGTCTACCACCCTAGAAAGAACAATTTGCGGGTGGTGTTTGACTGCACAGCAACATTCAAAGGAACATCATTGAACAGTCAGTTATTCCAGGGACCTAACCTTACCAGCAGTCTTCTGGGAGTGCTCACCAGGTTCAGACAGGAGCCTGTGGCAGTTATGGGAGACATACACAAGATGTTTTACCAGGTCAAAGTGGCTGAAACAGACAAAGACTTCCTGCATTTTCTATGGTGGCCTGAGGGTGATGTGGATCAAGAGGTAGCAGAATATAGGATGACTGTTCATTTGTTTGGAGCCGTTTCATCACCGAGCTGTGCCTGCTATGCTCTCAGGAAAACAGCCGAAGACGGACAAGCTTTCTTTCATCCTGATGTCATCAACACAGTGAAGCAAAGTTTGTATGTGGATGATTGTCTAAAGAGCACATCATCAGAAGAGGAAGCTGTTCAGCTGATTAAAGATCTTACAGCTCTTTGTCAACGAGGAGGTTTTCAACTGACAAAGTGAGTCAGTAATAGCCGAGTGGTGCTGCAAACTGTCGCAGAAGAGCACAGAGCCCAGGGCTTAAAGGAGCTCGATCTGGATAGCGATCATCTTCCCTTGGAAAGAGCTCTTGGATTGCAGTGGTGCACTGAGAGTGACACCGTCCAGTTTAAGATGGTGGTAAAGCAAAGCCCTCACACTCGACGAGGAATCCTGTCTCTGCTCAGTTCAATTTATGATCCTTTGGGGTTCATCGCACCAATCACGCTACCATGCAAAGTGTTACTGCAGGAGCTATGCAGGAAGAGCTCTGGATGGGATGACAAGTTACCAAGTGACATACAGCTACGCTGGACAAAGTGGCTGGAGGAGCTTGTCAAGCTTGCAGGGGTTTAAAATCAAGAGGTGCATTCGGCCAAAGGAGTTTGGACCATTTAGAAATGCTCGTATGCATCATTTCTCTGATGCAAGTGAATGTGGATATGGTGTTGTTAGTTATGTGAGGATGGAGAACTGTCACGGTGATGTTCATGTTGCATTTTTGCTAGGTAAAGCAAGAGTCACACCATTAAAGTCAGTCACCATCCCACGTCTGGAACTTACAGCGGCAGTTCTTGCTGTGCGAGTGGACAAGATGCTGCGAGCAGAACTGCAGTTACAGTTGGAGGAATCAGTCTTCTGGATAGACACACTTCTGGGGTGTGGGAGCGTGTGATTCGTATGATCAGAAAGGTACTCAACTCTGTTCTGCATCTACAAACACTGGATGATGATGGATTGCATACCATTCTTTGTGAGGTTGAGGCCATACTTAACGACAGGCCCATCACTAAATTATCTGAAGATCCAAATGACCTCGAACCCCTTACGCCAAACCACATTCTCCTACTGAAGGGCAAACCTGCGGTACCACCTGGACTGTTTGAGAAACAAGAGCTGTATGTCAAGCGACGGTAGAGACAGGTCCAATATCTTTCAGATTTGTTCTGGAAACGATGGGTTCAAGAATATCTCCCATTGCTTCAGGAGAGACAAAAATGGAATTAGGGAAAAAGAAACCTTGTCGCTGGCGACATAGTCCTAGCGGTGGACTCAACAGCTCCCCGGGGACCCTGGCTGCTCTGAAAAGTGCTGGAAACCTTTCCTGACAGGAATGGTTTTGTACGGTCTGTTCGTCTAAAAACAAAATATAATACTA